ACTGCCTTGCTATGTGATATCTAGGTTATAAGGCTCCTGTGCTTATAGACAACCGAAAAGACAAACTGGGGTCGTTTTAAAAGAAAGGGATGATGATCCTCAACAGCTGCAAATAATTATCATGTCTTGTTGCCGCGAGAGGCACCGTGTAAACCACTGTTTTCCGCTGCTCTTTCAATAGCTACATCAAGAAGTACTTGATGAATTCTGCGAGGCTGGTTGCGCATCGGCTAAGCGGGCCAAGTTTATTCGCTCTGCGAATGCATAAAACAATCAGCGTCACATGAAGTTGACTTCCTCGTGCTCGGGCTGCAGGTTGTGGCCATTTTTTGTCGCTATGAGAGAGATAGCGTGGGCAATGACGTCGAGACCACACAGCTGGAGCCATCTGTCTGCTGGGGAATATACATTCGCTGAACATCCAGCTTCGCATCACCTGGCAGCAAGTGCACAATGCCTCTGACCATCTCTCTCGTGACGAAAGGTGCATCGCCTTGGTTGAGCTAGTCGAAAACTGAGGCAATGTAATCAGTCGAGCCTTCGCCGCCGCGCCGCAAGTGTACCAAGATCCAGTGAGCAGGGCGGGTCTCTTGGTGCTCCTTCTCTGTTACCTCATCAAGCGGAATGTAAAGTGGAACCAGGTACCTAGACGTGCTAGATATCATGAGAAAGTTGAAAACTAGAAATTTGAGCCATCCAATCACCTGCTTAGCGGATGCTGGTCATGACGTGCACCAGCTGCGATGGCGGCTCGTGGCCGTCACAGGCCGCCGCTGCGCCAAGATGTCGGGCGAGGCCCCCGAGCTGCTGCTCGGCCCCAGCCCGCGCCGCCAGCCTCGGCCTCGCCCCCGATGCCCTCGTCCGCGCCCACCGCGTCTGGGCCGATGGCGTCGTCAACGTACCGAGCTCGCCGCCCGCGTTCCCTGGTTGCAATGTTTACGCCAACACTCATTTGCGGAAAGCCAAGATCTCCTGAGACACGTGGTGCCTAATATAGCTGCCCATGCTGCTTCCAGGGCTTTTGGGGGCTGGATTTATAGATAAGGGCTTTGAGACATACATGGGGCGCTGAATAGTTGCCCAGAGCCTTGAAATTGAACAAACAGTACAAAAGCAATTTATTATACACTCGCCTCGCTTATTATATTGCTTAGAGCAGCATTTAAATTTCGCCCAAATTCTTCGGGATTCTCATTGTTCTCTTCGGGAGGCAAAAAAGATGGATCGTTCCCTCCTACATTCGCCAGGTCTCGTCTACTGAGCAGCGGGCTCTGCTCAGCTCCGGTTACTCTCTCTTGGTCTACGTCAGGTATTACTTCTTCTTCTGACACAGCTGCCGTAGTAGAGGTGGCGCCCCCCTCACTCATAGTTCCTTTCTTCAGCCTCTTTGAGATACTCGGGAAAAAAGAGGCCACGGACAGGAAATGCTTTACCCTCTCCCAACGCCCTAGTCGTGTCTCTTCCGGTGTCTCATTCTCCACGATATGTGGATTCGCGGGATCCGCGCTCATAAATGTGACGTACACACCCTCCGAAGCGCTCTCCATGCCTTGCATCGCAGGGCCAGACTGATGCTGGAACTGCTGATGCAGCTGGGGCCGTGGGCCGTGAAACACCCAGGTGAGAAACGACTGTTTCCAAGGAGGCAGGCGGCTCTGGGCGGTGCCAGTTGCGATGACGGTGAGCAACATGAGCACGCACGTGGTTACGGCTGCCGGGACTGCGATCCAGCCCCAGCGCACGGCGAGGCACGTCCCAGCGCTCAATGACTCGCCTTGCACTGGGGCGCCGAAGTCGTACTCGGGATCCGCCTCCTGAGTGCGCATGAAGCGTGTGATGGACTCGGATATGTTAGCCATGATCTCCTCGACCAAGGCGAACGAGTAATTCCCATAGTTGTAAGTGCGCTGCATCAGTTCCGACCCGCCCAGGATTTCAAAAGTGAGCAAAGTCGAACTCAGCACGTCCAACCACGGGTCTGATGTGCCGATTCCGGTCGAGACGGAAATGGGCAGTCCAATCATAGATGCACTCAGATCCGTGTTCTGGCCAAGCTTAAAAAACAGTTCCTTTTGCATGAACAGTGCCATTTCCCTGCCAATTGCGTATGCACAGCTTTGGGTCCAGAGGTCTTCTGGTACTAGCCAATCGTCTTGAAAGGGGTCCGTTAAATTTTTCGGGACCCAGGCGGAGTAGGTCGCGTTTTTCTTTCCCGGAACATAGAACCGCTGCCACCGACTAGAGGGCTGGGGCTCGGGCCCAAGGACCGTGATATTCTGGGCTGTGAGTAGTTCCATGTCGGCCGGTGAAGGACACTGGGTGTCAAGAAGTCCAAAATAATTGATGGTTTCGTCATCTGGATATTCATTACTTGGGGCTACTAACTTGATAGTGTCGATGAGTGTCTCAGAGAGTATTCCGTCAGTAACCGAGGCATTATACAGCCTGAAGCATGGCGATAGCGTGCAGCTAGCTGCACCGTAACCAATGCATGTCCAGGAATCGTGCTCGGGTGTAGCTGCGTCGCAGTTAAGAATTTGTTGTCCAGTAAGCGGGTTGACATTTGTACTGTTGAAAATTGTGTTGGCGAAAACCAGTTGTATGTTGGTATCGGTCGTTGAGTAACCCTCCGTCCCCTTAACCATGCCGCCTAGGTTGAAGTCGACCGGTGTCGTTGCCCAATTTCTGATGCAGCTTGTACATGCTGGATCCAAAGAGGGTTGAGCTAATTGGGGGGTGGTAATATTCAAGATCTTGGGTCCATTGAGGGCGCCGGCATGAAGACTGGTTACGAAATTGATCCCTAAAAAGCCGGGACCAGAACAATTGGCTGGGTGCGAAATTTCTGTACAATTGCCAGTAATATTATCATGACAGCATTCGTAAGTAAATGAGAGCCTTCTGGAAATATCCTCGCAAGAGGAGCAAAATCCCAATGTGCCAAAGGTTTCCGGGAATGTGCAATTCCCAGTGGGACATTGGAATACAATATCATCACCAGAAGATATCATACCAAGTGCGACCGCCCTTTCAAGTTTTGTGCTGTCCGCGGGTGGCATTGGAAGAGTCGATTCATATCCAAAATAGTTCCTTCGAGGCAACGTCGCGTTAAGCTCTGAGGCCTGCCACGAACAATTAACCGGCGCCACGAGCTGTTGAACGATAGGATCTATAGCCATAGAGATAAGCGTTATAAGGGCGCCAAATGCGGTGAGTGGCTGTTTAATATGGTGCTTCCAAAGCCATACAAGTGATCCCCATGGTCCGCGGCCGGCGTTATCGTAAAGAACTGCATCGTAAAGAGGACGTCTATCGGCGGAAAACCAAATCCATTGCAATTGGCCAATACACGAGGTAAGAACAAAGCCGAGGCAGCCGCGTAAAACGATGCTATAAATGGATAAGAGGCCGTTGATTGTAATTCCATAACGCCATTGCGGCAGGGGGCGGTTGGCATGCGGGTATATTGTAACCGCAACAGCCATCATCATTATGAAGGCAATGGTGCACGCCACTATTTCCCACGCCCATACTTTAACGTGGCGAAAGCGCCTCTTTTTAAGCGATGGAAGCGATGTATTCAAGGGGAAATGTGCTTTTATCCACGAGAAAGGATGCATCGTACGGCGTTACGAGATGTCTCCCCCGGTAGTTAGCTCCTGATATGGATAGAAGGGAGACTAAAGACATACCTAGGTAAAGGGTCCGTAATGCGATGCAACTGTGAGATGACAGAGTCTCAGCTTAAGTAACTACAGGTTTTTCAGATTTTAAGGTTGTTGGTTACTTTTAGTATGGCAGCGTCACTGGCTTTTTGTACTACGCTCAGTATTGTGATAGGCAGAATTGGCATGTCGTGTTACCCCAAAGTGCGATTTAAGGCTGCCACTCTGCAGTGCCATTGCCACGCGTAGGCATGTGAGTAGCCAAGAGGGTAGCAAAAAAAGTGACGCAGAGTACCCAAGGTGACCACCACTGCCAGTGCGTCACTTAATCTGCCAGCCACTTGGTAGCCTTACAAGCCTTGCATTCCGGCCATCTGAGCTGAAAGGCTGCCTCGCACCTGCATCCTGGCCCCTGGTTTGGTCGGTTTCGCGGTTTCGTGGGTTCATGGCGTCCATCCCGCCCCCGCGGGTTGGGGGTCTCATCCACACACGATGTCTTCCGCGCCCCGATTTCTGGCCTCTGAATCCTTCAGATCGCCGCAAGCCCTGCAAAACGAGAGAAAGGCTCGGGAGCGGATTGAGGGGATGCGTACCCAAACATATGCACCCCGCCTCGCAGGCGTAGCCCAGGGCGAGTGAAGGACCGGCGTCACTGGCAGAGACCTGGCCTGGATAAAAAGCCTGAGCGTGCCTGACTTCTAGTTGGGCTGCAGGAAAACACAATGAACGTACCTTCCTATCGGACATCTTTCATATGCTGAGCGCACGCGGGATGCGGACAAGATTGGGGTGGGGGATGTTGGCTTCAATAAGAAAAAACGGTTAGTAACGAGGATTGCGATATCACGCCTTCGGAAGGGCTGGAAAGACACACACTGACGTAAACGGAGTATCTCCTGTGAGAATAATAGGAAAAGGATGCCCCTTAGATTTGCGCACGTATCCTGAAAAGATGGGTGTGCCGAGCTATTCAGCCCAGCGGGATGGGATTGATGGGGGCAGGGAACGGAAAGCGCGAGTTTTGCGCACTTTGGCCGCGAGAAGATGAACCCAAGGCGGCAGCAGAATGATTTACTCATTTATCCCGAGTGATTCCTCAAGATGAGCCTTGGGCAACGGACAGAGTAGGCCGGCCCTTTTGAGGTAGTGGATGCCTTCTGCTGCCGCTCGAGGTTCATGGCAGAAGCAACGATCGGCTCCTGGTCATGCGCAAGCGGTGGCTAGTCCCGATGCTTATTGAATCGAAGAAGTTGAAAAGAGTGTCGCAAAAGGTCATCATCATCACCCATGCGCAGCAAGAACTTATGAACCAGCCGAGTCTCAACTTCAACGCCTATTTATTTGAAACAGCGTGGGACTTTGTAGGAATGTACCCCCCTGGACCCGAAACTTTGCTCATTTCTCGATCCAACATCCAGATGGTTCGCATGATGGGTTATACCGACTTCCCACGGGAAAACCGCATCTTGTGCTGGAAAAGGAAGAGCGACTGCACTAGAATCATTGTCTTCATTGACGTCGAGCAAGCACTGAGATCACAATGCATTCAAGAACCTCTGGAAAATCCTCAAGAAGGATGGTGCTGGATAGCAAAGCTGGAAAAGCCATTCAACTTAGAGTGCGCCCAGAAGCTCTTGATGACCATGTGTAACAAGCAAAACATGCCTCTTTTTGAGTTGCGAGACAATCTAGGACAAATTATTCCATGCCATCAGATTTTGAGCTATTTGGACGACGTGCAGGCCCAACGCAGGCCTAGCGAGGGAGACGTTGTACCGGAGGCTAGCATAAGGACTGTGGATGTAAACGAACTCTTGTGATTACATGGGATTGCTGCTATATATTAAAGAATAATTCTATAATCACTGTGGTTATTTGTGATTATAGGTGACTTGGCATGCCATGTACATTGCTCACGACCAAGTTCCATTAGCACCTCCGAAATATCCAACATCGGGCATCTGCAACCATGGCAGGCCCAAACCATCGGCCGTGTTTTGCCAGACGGTATTTCCCCACCAATCCGGGAACTGCGCATTCGGGCCGTAGGTGACGGCAAAGAAAATCACAATACCGCTAATGGCCAATCCGGTATCCAGGGCAGCGGCGAGCACATAGTTGTACTTTGTCCACCAGGCGTAGAAGCGGCGGTAGATGATCTTGTTGAACACTAGGTTGACAATGTACCACGACGAGTAGTTGATGCCAGTCGCGGGCGGGACATTGTACGTGCCCACAAAGATGAGGGGCCAGTTGATCTTGCGGACAAAGTCGGACCGGGTCTTTTTCCAGATGAAATAGGTCATGGGCGGCAGGATGAGACCGATCCAGAAAAAGTGTAGCAGGCCCGAGTAGATGGCGCCGACAGAGTACAGGCGCGCGGGACCGACCAGACCCCAAATGACCGACGATGAAAAGACGGTACGTCCGTTGGGGCACGAGAAGCCGTTTTGCTGGTCCTCGGAGCAAATATCGTCGACATTGCCCAGCATCCACAGGGTCACGCCCGTCTGGGTCAGGGCGCCGAGGATGGTGGCGACACCCTGGGCAAAGAAGAGGGTTCGCGGGGCAATCTTGAGGTAATGGCCCAGCTTCAAATCGGCGGCAAAGTACAGTCCCTGGCCGACCACATCCGTGGACAGGATCTTGAACAATATGTTGGCAATCGGCTTGCCCTGGAACATGTAACCTCCGATGAACTCGGAAAGGACGTTGAGCTGGTTGGCGTCGACATTGGTTACACCCTGGATCATACCGCAGGGAATCATGTAGACGGCAGGAATGATATAGGCCAGGATGACTCCCCACCAGGGAAGACCGGTGTCATAACCCACGGCGGTACCGATACTCATGCCCAAGACGACAAGTAGAATGGCGGCCCACCACCACCACTTTACCGCAGTGTACGATCGCATGAGACGAGCGTGAATATCCAGTTTCAGGGTTCCGCGGAGGGCGTGCTTGATTTCGTCCCAGTGGAAAAAGTACACATGGGACAAGACACTAAGGTAACTCGGTTAGTACTCTTTTGGTCGCATCTCGATAGAGAGTGATGATGATTACCTAGTGATGGAGGCAAAGGATAGTCCATAGACAAATGCAAATGTAGCCGGGAGGTAGGGAGGCGAGTACGCCGAGTACTTTGTCTGATCAAATTCATTGTTTGTCAAAACCTGGGAAACGTCGTACACGTCGCCGAATCGGTCATAGACATCTGCTGTGCAGAATGGCATGTAGGCGGTAAACCAAGTGTTGGTGTAGTATAGAGCAGGCGTCACAATCCAGAAGAAGAAGGCGAATCCGAAAAAGACGTTGAGCGCAGCCCAGTGCGGACTGAGGAGCGGGTTCGTGTTGTAGGCAATCATGGACCAGTCAAACGTCAATGGGAACAGGCCCATACCCGTAACCATGCCAAAGACCTGGTTGACGGCCAGGTTGTTGGGGGCGATCCAGCAGATCCAGGTAAAGTAGCTGAGGCCGGTCCAGATCAGACCGGGGAACCAGTACCACACAAAGGCGGCGGCGCACACGACCATGAAGAACTTGATGCGCGTGATGCGCCAGCCGTCGGCAATGGCGTTGGCGCGCGAGTGCAGCGACGACAGCAGCGCCACGTTGCTCAGCACGCCGGGCCAGATCATGATGGTGACGAGGGCATGTTCCTTGATGTTGAAGTGGCGGTCCGGGTTGAAGCGGCCAATGGGCAGGGTGTTTGCGAGGCCGACTCCGAGAGGAAAGGCGAGAAGCTCTGCGACCAGGGACACGATGCGGACTCCGGGGTAGCGAAGGGAGAAGAATTGGTTCACTCCGGCGCCAAGAAAGACAAAGATCTAGAATGGATTTGTTGTTTAGATTCGGCCATTACTTTGTGCGCTCTGAAGAGATATGATCGCAACTTACAATGCCAAGTAGCCAAGCCCGGAACGTATTGACAGGAATTGCCGTGTCGTCCGTCTCCGGGACCACGGCCCTCACCTGCGGGAACGGGGAAGTATCGGCTTCATAGTCGCCTTCGTCCTCGACCTTGGACAGGACCCGGCTCATGTCCACCTCGAGCTCGGCGAGGTGTCCGTTCTCGAGCTCGACATCTTGGCCGTGGAGGTTGTGCGCCGTCTTGAGCCCCGACTTTTCGTACGTGGTATTCGGGGATTTCTCCTCGTCGCCAAGCTCGGGCGGCGTGTGGCTGATATCGGTTGCCATTGTGATGGGGTCACTCACGCCTGGTGGTCGCCTCTTAACCGGGCATTCACAGACGTTTCAGATGCAATGGCGTATAGTACAAGCAACAGACTTGGACGGCCAAGAAAACCAAGCTCCCGGCGCGGCATCGTCGCACACTATGTATACCCGAGTTTTCCAAGCCCGCCGCGACCGCATCGGCTTGCTGCGATACGGGACGCGCATACAATGGAGCTGATCGCATGTCTTATCATCACAATCCCTTGCATTTTGGGGTTATAACCGAACCAGGGCCCCGGGGGAATGCACATTTGCAGTGTAGTCTGGGCGACTCGTGGTCAGAGGACCATACCATGCCAGAAGAAATTCGAGTCTAGAATACCATGTTCGCCCAAACTCAAAAACACATCTTGATCTAGATAGGAAATAGATATACCAACGACCCATCACCAATCGTTATGACTGTGACAAATTCGCCGCTCTCTGGGCCAATCTGGCAACCATCCCAAAGGGCGAATATGGCACCAATTGACCAATGGCGTGCCGGCGCTTTATCTACTTGCGATTGTTACATGAGTGGGGATGAAATACAACCCGGTTCGGGAAGGCCAGAAGATCCAGGGTCAGGGCCTGTCTAGCGCTTGACATCGGATCCGGCATATCGGATAGGCCAGTTGCGAATCGTCGGAAGACTGCGAGAGCTTCAACAAGACATATAACCGAGGTGTGTTGTTGTCTTGTATGATCAATTGACAAAGTCAGAATAAGAGATGCATCCTTTGGGCAGAACCGCCCTGTTGGGACGGTTTGGAATTGATCCCTAGTCTTCTGGAGACTGTTTCTAGGGTCTTTATACCTTTCGGCTTCTCGGCACGGGTGCTTTTCTGTACAGTATACTATTGCTTGCGGACGCGGCGACCTCCGTGGGATGTCGATCTATGACTCCAGGTTTATCTTCTCGCCCAGAGTCGTTCCATCAACGGCATATACGCAAAGCTCCTCATGAAATCTGCATGAGGTATGCAAATATTAATCTTGAGTACAACCTCATCACCTCAAGGCTTATCCCGCCCCAGCCCTTCCTTGTACACAGCCAAGGCCCGATCCCTCGAGTCCTTGTGCACAACAATGGGCTTCGGATAGCCCATCTTCTCAACCTTCTTTGCAGCGCCTCTGCCATACGGGTCGTGCACCTCCTTCTCATTGCATTCCCTCAGCTCTGGCACCCACTTCTTAATGTATTCGCCCTTGGGATCGAACTTTTCGCTCTGAAGCACCGGGTTGAAGATTCTAAAATATGGTTGCGGATCGACTCCGACGCTGGCGCTGAAGCCCCAGCCACCATTGTTGGACGCAAAATCCCCATCAATCAGATTCTCCATAAAGTAGCGCTCTCCCATCCGCCAATCAAGCAGCAGGTCCTTGGCGAGAAACGAAGCCACGATCATGCGGCAGCGATTATGCATCCACGACATGGACTGGACCTGGCGCATGGCGGCGTCGACTATCGGAAATCCCGTGTGCCCCGTCTTCCAAGCATCAAAGTGTGCCATGTTGTAGGACCAGGTAATATTCGAATATTCAGGCTTGAAAGGCTTGTTCATGCTGTTTCTCGTTAGCTTCTCACAATTGTCCAGTAAGAAGATTTTGGTCATCACTAACCAGATATATGGCCAGTTGACCATGACGTGCTTGTAGAAATCACGCCAGGCCAACTCGCTGATCCAAGTCTGGATTCCCTCCATGCCAGCATCCAATTTCTTTGTCTTGTTTCGATCACGCGCATATCGGACCGCAGTTCTCGCACTGAGAGTGCCGGCTGCAAGATGCACAGAAATGTTCGAGGTACTGACACCAGCTGGAAAATTTCTTGCGTTATGATATTGCCCGATCTTTTCATCGCAAAATTTCTCGAGTCTGGCTCTGGCTTCATGCTCGCCTGCCGGCCATATGGCGTGTAGACGTTGCGCGTCTTTTTCAGACAGCTGGTGCCCCTCTGGCACGTCGGGAATCTCGCAATCAAAGAGGGCAGCAACCTTGTCTCGCGCATTGGCTGGGTTCTTCTCGGGAGCGTCAAACAAGTTGAGCAGCTCTGGGTCAGCGTGAATCTTGGCGACCCATGCCCGTCTCCACGGGCTGTACACGGAGTATTGTTTTCCACTGCCGCTCGTGAGCAGCCCGGGCGGAACAACACAGGTATCATGGACAACCTGCATATCAATGCCCTTCTCAGCACAGGTTTTTATCAAATTCGCATCCCGGCGTAGCTCATCCACCTCGTATTCCATATTGGCAAACAAATGGCTTACGCCCCATTCCTCCAAGAATTCAATGATGCGCTCAGGCACATCTTTTCGGGTTTCTACGGTTTCAACATAGAGTGGAATATCCAGTGCGGCCAGGTCTTGTTTCAGAACGTGCAATGTGCGAATCATAAAGTCGATGCGAACAGGCGCAGTCAGATGCGCCTTAAAGTCCTCGGGACTAATAACGTATAGGCCAATCAATGGTACTCCAGCTTCTTTCGCCTTTTGACTTGCAAGCCACAGGGCACGATTGTCCGAGGTTCGAAGGTCCATCTTGAACCAGTGCACGACAGCGTCTTTAGCCTTGATGCCCTTGCGCGTCTGCCCTGTGCCTTCCAGTGCGCCAAGCAATGTCTCAATGGGACGCGGTATCTCGTTGTTATTGTAGGCGAGCGCGCGAGCATTGCTCATCTCGTGTGGGTAGTATTTACGGAGCACAATTCCATGCTCTTCTGCTTCGGCGGAGAAGGGGTGAGGATCGCGCAAGTTTGAGGAGCCGTTTGCGAGCTTGAATTTCTTGTTTGAAGCATCTAGATCCTCTGGCTCAACGTCGGGCACCTGGCGCTTTGGCGGACGGCCTCGCTTGAGTGGTGTGGTGCCCGCGGCAACGTCCTTTGGGTCATCAAACGTGCCCTTGGGAGGACGACCTCGCTTGAGTGGCATGGTGGCCATGGTCGCTAATGACAAGTGCGATAGTTGGTAATGTATAGAAGACACTTTAGGAAAACGAGTAAATGGTGAACGCGACAAAGAACGCAGTAACAAAGTGCGAAAATGGGGTATCATTAGTGTAACCGAGGCCTGAAACTTTTCAGCTCAAGGAAAAGCCATTGAATTGGAACCTACATTTCTTCTTTATGTGCTGTGCGTGATTAGAGACATTCTTCGCGATGTCCCTTGCGTCATGACAAGTCCGCGATCGAGCTGGACCCGATACAATCTTGAGCTTTACTCGAATGGCTGGAGCTAAGGAAACTTTGCCGGACTGGGGTGGCCCATATTACTTGTTTCGGTTACATGGACCTGAAAATCACTAGGTTTACACCAGCACCTGCGACTTCTCTCGGACGACATGAATTGCGGATATTCTGTGAGGGTGTAAATCTGGAGTAAATTCTGGAGTATAGACAATGGAGTGATTGCTCAACCATAATAGAATGTTAATATCTTGGTCGATGGGCAGAGAAGGGTCAGATCATAGCCAGCAAAAATGTGCCCATTTGTGTTCACATTACATAGTCACAGGTCCTGAAGAGTTTCTAGCTCAGCCGCGTGAGTTCGGAATCTGTAGTCCTGCCTCGGTCAAAAGGATGCCCTTGGAAGTCATTGACAAAACGAGCTCCGCCACCTGCGCGAGGCGCTCAGGCAACGGGACAAGTCTGTAATCCGTCAAACATCAAGGTCCATCAAGACGACTCGGACAAATTGGAGACATGTATGACCCGTATCTGTACCATGATGGACAGCTCGCACATCACAATTTTTTCAAGGCCAGTCACTCATCTGCGGCACGGAGACTATCGAGGTAGCCCCAGACTCCTCGAGCATAGTGACCACGCAAAGGTGAGCTGCGAGGAGCCTTTGCTAGCCGGTTTCCATCACAAAAATCAACTGCAGGACGGGACCACATCGTGATGCGCAAATCGTGGAAAGAGGCGTAAAGTATGGGTTGGTTCAGGAATCGATTTTTATTTTCCGTTCCTTTGTCAGGATGCTGGTGCGACCGACGTTTCTAATCGGCGAGGTGCATATCAAAGCAGGTACCACATGAAATCGTCCCTCCATCCTGCCGCATTATTCCCAATGATCCAGTCAACACCGAAAAACCTGACGATGCGAATGCGCGTCAGCCGGGGCGGGTCCTGATGAATCGCTTCTCGCAGGAGAACTCTTTTGTCGTCGACATACCACAGACAGAAAGATCCATTGCTTATCGCTGGGCGCTCCAGACGCTCTTGACGAGACCGTCACGCTGGGCCAGGCGGTTGAAGGCGTCGTCGCTCTCACCCATGGCACGGACGAAACCGCAGAGGGCGTAGACGTGGTTCTCGCCCTGGACGGCACGGCCGTTCTCGTCAACCTTGGCGACGGAGATCTGGACAGAGGCGTGGTCCTTGGCCTTGATGATGCGGTTGGTGGCGCTGCACTTGCGGGGGACGTAGCTATGGACACATGAGTTAGTATCGCAGACTTGCAACTCTGTATTTTTCGCATCGGGCTTTTGTCTTCGATTCGGGGAGGCTCGGTTTGATGATTTTTTTTCTTCCTCCATCTTTCCACATGCTCTCCATCAATTGGGGGGTTCAGTTGGCACGTACAGGTCGACGATTTCTCCCTTGTCGTTCTCCATTTTGGCGACTGTGAATTTGTCTGGTGATGGTCCTTGAAAGGGTGTTGGGTGGGCAAGGATGTGCAGGTCGGTCGCAATTGTCGTCACGAGTGAGAGAAGTCGATTTGCTCCAAGTCTCAAATTATTGTTATCCAGCAAAATTCGGTGGAGGGGTTGTGGGCTGAGTCAGCGGTTGAAGTCCGGTCCGTGGTCTTGGAAGATAAGTGGGTCGGGGTCGAGGTAAGAGCTCGAGTGGATCCTCTTTCTGTCAAGGCAGCGCAAAGAAAAGAAGCACGTGCTCTCGTGGCGCCGTCGCGTAGAGCGCTACGCCCAAGACGCCAGGCAATGGCAGCACGGCCCCTCCAAGGTTCCCATATCCGCGGTGCAATCCTGTCGACATCAAGGCTCGAGCTGTATCCAATTCACCACCTTATTGGGAACATCGTATGTGAAACGATATAATTCTTGATGTTGGCAAAGGAGTTCCATGTACTATCAATTTCTCCTCTGTCAACTCATGTTACTGATCGCCAATCGTATCCTCACAAGACACCTGTTGCGATAACCCATTCCCAATCTGCCTCCCTCAGTTCTCCGTGGATGCGCTGGTCGCATACCAGCTCGGCCGCGAATATACTTCAATTCTCCACATAGGACCGCCGCCACTTTGACCATGTCTTCACCGGTTAAACCATCCAAGTTTGAGGCCTATGTCGTACGGTCGTCCTCGCCAGCAGATCTTCCCGACCTGAAGGAGTTATTCAAGAAAAGCCCAAGAAAGGCGCCGCCATTGCGAAGTGGGAGCAATGCAGCAGCAATCCCAGCCACTGCTCGAACCACCTTTGCGAGCGCCGCTGATATACTGCGCGAGGCCCCCGAAATTGACATAGACACGGAGCAGATCACATATTCGCCTCCCCGAAAACCGAAACCTGCGAGAAAGCCCAGAGCGAAATCCCAGAAAGCAAAAGATGCGCTTGGTGCAGGAGACGATGCCGGTGTCGTACTCTCACCAAAGCGCTTCCAGAGTAAATCCAAGACAAAGACAGAAATCCCATTCGACGATATTCCATCAGCCCAGCCTCCATTGCTAAAGGGTCGGGTCACAAAAAAGACAGCTACAGACAAGGGCAAGGCAAAAAAGAAGGTTGAAACTGTTTCTCACCATTTTGCCAATGTACCAGAAGACACTGCAGAAAAGGATCCGACCGACAATGGGCATTCGAAAACATCCCTCGAATCTCAGCAACCTCCGGAACCAGCATTGGCAAGGCGGATAGACTGGACGCCGCCACGTGCAAACAGTGCTCCTATAGTTCTCGACTCTGAGTCAGATGACAAGGAGCTCCTCTCTTCGATCGAGAAAGCCGCAGCTTCCAAGGACGTTTTTCAAAATCTGTTCGACGAGTTTGCACACAAGAAAAGGGAGATCAATGAACAAGGGAATCAAGAGGCATCAGAGGCGTCGCGTGAAGTTTTGAAAAAGCGCAAACGTCTTGAACTTGTGTCTATAACCGACGACAAACCGGAGAAACAGTCGAAACAGTCCAAAGAAACATCACCCGTCAAACCCCCTACTGCCAAGAAGAAGGCTAGAACCATTACCGAGCTTGCCACGGCACCGTATGCTCCTCCAGAGTTTACCGACGTTGATTTGCTCGCTCCCGGGACCAAGGATTCTCTACTCAGATACTTTGATACCGATGGTCAAGTTACAGCCCTAGTCGAGCACCAGTCTATCGCCATGGACAGGAACAGCGATAAGCCCAAGAAGAAGCCAGCAAAACCTAGAAAGAAGAAGGGAGCCACCATCGAGGACCCGATTCTCCTATCACCAAGTTCGGCATTGAAACAATCCACGGCACAGGACTTTCTCTTTGGCACTTCGAGCCAGCTTATGCTAGAAGATTCCCCAAGAACATTGCGCAACTTGCAAGCGGCTATCAAAGCTTCAATGCAAGATGATCCTTTTGCGCAGGACGATCCTTTTGGGAGTTCACCACCTCAGGCTGCCAAAAGGACTGGGCTGTGGCATGCTGGAGCGAGAGGCACAGATGGTGATCTGCTGGAAGCTGAAACTATCGAACTCATCGGCGACAGAGTGGAGGCTGCTACTGCTGTTATTCAAACAGAATCTGTTGGCAAGAATGATGCAAAAGGAGACTTTATTGATATCGGGGATGTATTGTCAAGCCCGCCACAGACTGTAAATGCTCCAACAAATCCCAAGTCACATTTTTGGCAATACCAAAAGAAGGCCGACGGTATCGCCGAGATCACATCTGCGAACACTTCGGAACCTCCGTCTTCAACGCAAGAGCCGTCAACGAGCAAGGAAACTGATGATGCATTGACGCCCCGCCCGAAATATGAGCTCTTTACCGATGCTCAGCTAGCCAAGCAGATCAACACATTCGGTTTCAAGCCTGTCAAGAGGCGGCAGGCAATGATAGCACTACTCAACCAGTGTTGGGTGGACCAACATCCTGGTGCTTCGTTGGCATCATCAACATTGGGTGCACCAGCGTCAATATCAACGTCTGCCGTCCGGAACAACCCCAGAAAACAAGACTCTGCAGCATCTGTGGCTGAAGCTGAGACCATGAAAAAACCGCGCGGTCGACCAAAGAAGGACAAATCTATAGTGTCAGTGGAACCCCAAGTGGTCTCACCAAAGAGAGGACGTGGCCGTCCAAGGAAAGTATCTGTGGATGGAAATGGTGCCACAAATCTAGAGGAGGCGACAGCTTCTCCAAGACGAAAGAAATCGTCCAAGAAGGAAAAGGAGATTGCGGATTCGGAGAACGATGATCTTTCGCTTTCTCCTCATTCCCGCCCGGAATCTGTATTCTCGTCACCTCCGCCGATGGACCTCTCATTGATGGAAGAGGGCGAAACCTCTCTGAATCTCGATCCCACTGAACAGGAGGCAGACATGTTCGCTCACATAACAAAAGCAGTCACCTCTGCCCCGCGGTCAAGAGATCCAGATGAGCCATCATGGCATGAAAAGATGCTGATGTATGACCCCGTGGTACTAGAAGAACTGACGGCGTGGTTAAACAGTGGGCAGCTCACAAGAGTGGGCTATGATGGAGAAGCCTCGCCTGCAGAGGTTAAGAAATGGTGCGAGTCGAAAAGTATAATTTGCCTTTGGAAAGAGAATACTCGAGGCAAGGAGAGAAAACGATATTGATGATACCCCGGTGCTTTTCGTACCTATTTATCTTGCTCATGAGCATTTATTTAATAATGCTCCCAACATATAACAGACTTGAATCGCTTTCGAGATTCTTTGTATGAATTTATATTTACATAAACAGTCATGCTTTGTCCTGTGTTACAGCAATTTCTTGAATTGGCGATGAAAAGTGTCCAACCACCTCTGCTGTCTCTGTAGCGCTTCACTGCGGGATCAGCAGCGGGCAAAGTGTCCAAAATCGCGGGGAGAACCCCCAACTCTGGTGTCAGACCTCGGCATCTCCAAATTCGCGGCGCTCCCTCATCGCTTAACTATTCCGAACTACATTAAATAAAGACCGGCTCAAACCTCCCCAAATTTTCAAGGTCACAGCTCAGCAATGTCGCAAAGGCTATCGCGGCACATACTATTCTTGTGCCCTTTCCACCCCACCCAGAAGTCTGTGCTTTCATTGACACGATCATTCACATTGCTTACAGCTGGTGCACACAATATAGCCGGAAGAGCGACCCGATCGGCGCCTGGCTACATACACAGTACGCGGCATCGTGCTCCATCATCTTTGACACAATTTCGCGAGCGAAAAGTGGTGACTGTCATGACGTCCAAAGTTGCCCACTACTCGATCGCGGGCGTATCGGGCGACAAGCCCAAGGGCAAGCCGCCCATGAACCCGCGGCCCAGCTCGAGCATTATACTCCTGTCCCCGACCAATCAGGTGCTCTTGGTGCACCGGGTCAAGACGTCGTCTGCCTTTGCGTCGGCACATGTCTTTCCGGGCGGTAACTTGTCCGAGTTCCATGATGGAGCAGTGCCGCCGCCAGACGACCCGGCCCGGCACCAGGACGGCCGGCCGTATAGGTTGGGTGCCGTCCGAGAAACGTTTGAGGAGACGGGTGTCTTGCTTGCACGCGGCGCTGATGGTGGATTATTGAGCTTGCCGGCTGCCGAGAGAGATGCGGCGAGAAAGAGGATATACGCCAACGAGATTTCATTTGAAGAGTGGCTGAAGAGTGTAGGAGGAGAGCCTGACCTAGGTAAATACCCAATGCCACCATGTGAATACCACGTCTTTTAAATACTAATCACTGGAGGCTCAGAAAACCTACATCCCTTTACGCGGTGGATTACGCCACCAGCCACGCCAAAGAGATTTACAACACAAATGTATCTGTACATGCTACCATTGTCTGGTTTAGAGTCAACCTCACATGCGACATCCGATATTACCGCGGCAGCCAGCCAGGCAGAGGCGGTCCTGCCGACCCCAGACGGTACAGAAATCACAACATCGGTCTTTGAGGATGCCTCAACCTGGCTTGCGCGCCAGAAGCGGGGCGAGGTGATCCTTTTCCCGCCACAGGCGTTTCTGTTGACGCTGGTCTCGCAGCACTGCACTGAGCCCGCGCCAACTGGGTCTTCCGAGACGGCGGCAGCCCAGCACTATGAAGCCCAACGCCGGGGACTCCTCGAGTTTCTGTACAAGACACCCACAGCTACACACCCCAAGGCGCTGAAGCAAGCAACATCGCAGATTTCCTGGGCCGACAAGGTCATTAGCCCCGTCACGGCCTTGGTGCTGCCCGACGGCCGCGCCGTCTTGAGCTTGGAGAGGCCCGGCCCGGAGCTCAAGGGCACGGGGCGCGGCGGCGACTGGGAGCGCGTTGTGCTGGTGCGCTTCGCCAAGGGCACGGCGACCGAGGTCGAGGTCAGGGATAGGGAGGAGGTATTTGCTGAGCAACGGCACACGGAGCGGTCAGAGAAGGAGAAGGAAGCAAAGTTATAGCCGACAAGACAAGTGACGTAGAGCAATGCATTAAGTGAATGGAATCATGTTCGCACTGTGAGGTCTACTGTTTATTCTGCAAATTGCTCACTGGTATTTGAGCTGTGAGGCAGCACATCATTATGAACATTCCTGCAATACATATATTGTGACCGAGGTCCTGAGACGAAGTGGAAAGAGATTTCAGAAACAAGAACAATCACAAAATTCTAGGAAGGAATTTGGCTATTACCTCATATGCAGACATGTATAAAAGCTTTCCTTGAAATCACTCGCCTGCTGGGCTGAAAAATGAGGTACACTCATCGGAAGCAAGGCAAGTACTCCTTTCAGTGGTATGGGTCGCGAGAGGTGATGGATGCCAGGAAAGGCCGGAAGTGGCCCTGAACACGGCGCCATCTAATCTGTTCTTGCCTCCTAGGATATGCTCGGTCTTTATCTTCAGAAGACACAGCTCTCTGACCTGCCGATAGTAGGTGCCCTCCACGTCCTTGCTTGACAGCAAGGGGGCTCACGGTTCGTCTAGGTGACGGGCGATTACTGGGGCAGGAGGTATCCAAGATGCCGCCCCTGGTCTAGAACATCTCGTCGTCGCGTTGGCCAAACAACCACTCAAGGAACAGGTAGCCACTCATCATTGAGCTCGCCCAAAAACAAATGATGAATTATGAGGGCGCAGGGGGGTAGGCGCGAACGATTGTACTCAGCTTTAAATGTCGATCGCCACTCTCTATGGTGAAGACAGCTTCCATTTGAAGTCTTGTTTCGTTACGCATAACCGCCAAATCACTTCAAATTTTTATTAGTTTGATTGTCGTAGTGACAGTCATCGCAATCTCATCATGAAACTACCACTTCAAGTGAACCCGCTGTTCGGAGGCAGAGGACCTGTCACGCAAGGGTAACCACATGGCATGTCAATAGCTGCCATCGGCATCGGTCGAGACCTAGACTGCAGCGGGAGTTCTTGGCTCCCACCCTCCCCTTTCCAGAGAACAATGAATCTCGCGCCTTAAATCAGCATCTGATCCACATGAAATCAGGGCAGGCAGGATAGTTCTAGATCCAGAAGGCCCGGGCTGGGGAAGACATCCATGTGTGTGTCAGAGTGGCCGTACTGGTCCGGACCTACTTGAAATGCCAATGATACCTGGGTATGTATGCGTGTCATGGAAAAAGTAGCGCTTTCCAAATATCGAAAATCGAATCGTATCTAACGTCCTTGCCAAGTACTATTTCGGCTTTGTCGTCATTGTTGTTGTTATTGTTACTGTTCGCTAAGGACTGGACTTTCTTATATAAAGCCTCATCCCATGTTTTGATTTTCTTCCCTAATCCTTTTGCTTATTTTTCTTTCTCCTTCTTCATATATTCAACGACCAAGACCAAGACCTATAACCATCCCACGCGCTATCGATGATGTGATCTATTGGAAATCTCACGATGGCCACTGCAGCGACCAAATCCCTGCGGTCACTGCTCATTCACGCAAGAAATATTGTCGAATTGCGCAGCACGCTCAAATTGTGAAGAAGCGAAAGCTGGAGGAGGCCACAGTGTACAGGACGTTGCACCATAGACACCCACAGGAGGAGGCCATCACCAGCCAGCTGGTATTTCTACTAGCCTATCCGGTGCATTACTACGCAAACCGTGTTCAGCTCGGCCGGCTCTCTTACCCGTCAGTCAAGTCACCCAGACAAATGAGCGGGCCAAGATTGCTGTAGAGGAAATCACCGCGTCCAGGTACGTGCAGATTATCTATGTTAATGCCGTCGAGACTTGAGTTGACCAAGTACTGCTAAACAAGTTTCACAAGACTGCAACTCTCAATGCACGCTGGCCGGGGTTGTGTTGTCATCGAGATCAAGCTGCTCGACGTGGGCCCAGATGGCATGGTGGTAAACACAGATATGCCGGGCGACCATGTTATGGGCGTGACTAGAGCCATGGATGGTTCAGGGACACTGACAGACAGAGTGCATATCAACCTGGGCAGCAGCGCGGTCGTCAAGAAGCCACCAAATATGCCGTGGACCGAGGCTGCCAGTGTGCCTTCGGCCTGGCTGACGGCCTTTACGGCTATTGAGAAGTGCGCTTCAACTGTCGACACTTCCAGGAAGCACAAAATTGCTATCCTCAGCGGTAGCTCACCCACGGGTATCTACGCGATACAGATCGCCCACAAGCGCGGTTGGTGGGTCATGGCCACTTGCTATGCTCGATATCGTGGATAGTATGACCTTGAGAAGACCTAGGTCCACCCCGACGAGATGCTGGGCAGAGCACTGGCGTTTTAGCTTGAAAGTCATGGCAGGATGAGCATTGACGGGAGGTCGTGTCTTGTCCTGGCAAATATAATTGAGGGACGACGGTTGGTGGGCTGGATTGTTGCTGGGGCACGGAGACAACTTGTACTCCTAAGTACTACTCTTAATTCTTCTTTCGCTTAGTTCTGAATTCTTTTCGTAAACTCTTTCCTGCGCCAATCTTGACTAAGACGGCCCACGACTTCCTGTGCTTAACCTTGCCATTATGTTTTTTCAAGCACCGTCCTCAAGACTGATGGCCAAGTCAAGCCGATGGACATTTAGAAATCTTGAATTGATGCTGGCCACATAGGGGCAAACAGTGACTGCAAAGGAATGTTGACTAGCATTCGGAAGTGAACAACTTGGGAGTGAAATTCGGCGCCAAAATTGGCATGTACACGAAACGGTGTGATGATATTGCACGTCCTTTCTGAGTGGGTGATATACCAGGATTAAAAGATGGCGCTGAAAGCAAGTTTGTTTTCATTTATCCTCCTCCGCTATCTGTGGCGACCTGTGTTGTATGTAGTGCGCTGTTACACCGCAGCCCAGTGTCCCCTTGGCGGAAGCTGAACACACTCAGCCTGCAGAATGCGTCGGGTAATGGTCTGAGCATGACAACTGTGGCTGGCTGCTCTCTTTATCACCCTATCGTCGCCTGCGCAATGCGCTTTGATGTTAAATAGTCAGAAGAAAGTCAAGGCCTCGAGAGTAGCGCCCGGTACTAGGGAGCAGGATCAGAGCTATTTTGTCTGTTCCCGACAGTTTGGGCTTGTTTGGTTACCATTCACACTAAATTAGTACTGTAGATGCGCTGACCCTCAGCGGCTTTGATACTCGGCTCTTGGCATCCGATCCCTATGAGTGGGTTTCCATCTCAATTTCATCCATGTTTCCTGGTTGTGCGCCTATTTGTAAGCAGTCCTTTGAGTAACCCACAATCTCTCGCCATACTATTGCAGGCGGCATGAGGCTAGAAAATCCTTGAAAATCATTGAAGCTTGTGTTGGGGATATTCCCAGGGGCGTGCCATGGTTTTCCATGCATCTGCGTTGTAAATGTGATTTCGTAAACGCGCTCTAGGTAACACAAGCACAGGAGATGCGTAAAGTAATTGAACAGGGGAATTTGGAGGGTTTCTACCACTAAGTATAATCTACCGGTGCGGCCGCAGCCCAAAGAAAAGGCATTGACCCCCAGGTTGCCAGGTCGTGGATGAGCCGGGCAAAAAGGCTAATGTTGCCGATCCTCATTGGCGATCTTTCACGTTTATAGCGTCTATAGCAGACGCTTGCATGGTGAGGTGAGTGCAAGCTAGACCGCGCTGAGGAAAACGTCTACTAGCTTGTCAATACTGCCGCTGTGACAGGCTCGTTTTCCCGAAGGCTTGATCCACCCGGGACATTGGAATCTCACTGCACCTGCGCTAGACACGATCTTTTTTTCTTCCCATATCATCATTATCAGGGGTTTTTTCCTTCAGGTCATGTTGGAGACTTGGATCTCTCGGGAGACTCTACGACGGCGTAAAAGCTTCCCGAGAGCAACGGATCTGAACTAGAGAAAGAACGGGTTCTCCATCGATAAAAGACCCCGGTTTTTTCGTGATTCCCGTGAGATCCATGGATATACATAAAGCGATGGGCCCCGTCCCTTGACGGCCTGCCTCTTGGCTGGCTTGTTTCTAGGTTGTCGAAAATGCTCTGCTAATTCAACGGCCGTCCACTCATTCACTCTGTAGCTGTTGCTCACTATAATAATTCACACTCGTTCGATCAACTTCTCTCAAGTCAAAATGCGTACCGAGTTTGGTGTCCTGGGGCTTGCCTCCAGCAGTTTCGTTGCTGTCACGGCCTTGTCAGCTCCCGCTGGCCACGCATGGAAGGCCGCGGGCCTAGGCGACAGTGAGTCTGCCGCTGAAATACGCATCAAGGGTGTCCGAGTTGACTGTGACTGACATGACTGTTTTAATCTTTCAGGCCGTTCGCCGTGCCCGATGCTCAACGCCATGGCCAACCACGGATGGCTTCCGCACGACGGCAAGAACATTGACCTGGCCACGATCCAGTCGGCCTTTGAGGCCGCCATGGGCTTCTCGACCGAGTCCTTTGTCAGCATCACGCAGTCGGCCCTCGCCGTCTCAACCACGGGCAACAGCTCGACCTTTAACCTGCAGGACACGGCGCACCACAATGCCATTGAGCACGACGGCTCGCTGTCGCGCAACGACGCCTTTTTCGGCGACGACCTGCACTTTAACCCTCTCATCTGGGCCGCCACGGCTGCGCGGTACGGTATCCGGATCCCCTTTACTTCACCTGTCATTACCGTGGAAACCGCTGCCAGGGCCCGCGCCGCCCGTGTCTGGGATGCCAAGCTCATCAACCCGGGCTTCAACTTGACGGCCGCCGGTCTTTCCGGGAGCTACGGAGAGACCAGTGTTTTCCTGACGGCCTTTTGGAACGAGACTGCTGGTGGTGTCCCCAAGGACTACGCGAGAGTACTTTTTGGTGAGTGACATTTGCGATGGATGGGTGACGAATGTGTAATATAGCCAGCCTGCTAATCGGTCTCACAGAGGAAGAGCGTATCCCGTACGCCGAGGGCTTTGTCAAAGGTAGCCACACGTTGGCGGACGTGGTCACAATGCTTTCTGCTGTGCAGGCTGTCGCAGTATAAATAACTTTCTACATCTATACCAATAATTATTAATCTTCGGAAAAGGGGCCAAATCGCTCGAGATTATCTCAATTATTCAAGGCTGACTTCGGTGAATTTTGAAAAGGACTGACGATCGCTTAAGGTTCCAGCATCAGTCTACCCAATCGCCATTGACAGAGGCGGTTTTAATGTACCTGGCGGCGCATGCTGCAACTCTTTGGTACTATATCATCTTGACGCCAAATGTAGTCTGATCACAGTTGGCTTGCCAATGCAATAACATTAACGGCCATTGATCATGCTGTACTGATGTTGGGGAGGGGTTTACTTCTTCTTCTTTCTTTCTTGAGAAGTTTATTCAGAACTTGATGTATACTTGTGTATATAGGTACAATGTTTCATCATTAATGCTTGCCAAGGGGTACCGCGGCTGTCCACAGGGGCTCTTGCGTCAAGTTCCGGCGGAAATCCAGTGCTTACAGTACTACCGGTACATTACCTACCTCGGCCACTGGGCAGCGGCTTCAGTAGCCGGGTTTTGTGGAGAAGAGGTGCATTGAGGTTTGTGGAGAAACCTTGGACGTTCACCTCTTCCCGATTGCCCTGTTCCACCGGATATGATCACAATTCCGAATTGACTGCTGGCAACAAGCATCCTTCCAAAAGAGCTCTCTTGGCCCCTGGCTGTCTTTTTTCGGTTCCATGCACTCTCCTCGAAGAAAAGTGCCCAGTGCATGCCGGCGGTGTCGCTCGCAGAAGCTCAAGGTACGTGCTGACCTAGTCGTTGATCCGCAGTGCTCTCACTCACGCTGGTTAGTGCGATGTCGAACGACCATGCATTCTCTGCACGCGAGCTGGAGTTGACTGTGTCGATGGCCCATCTCGCGACCGCAATGTCAATAGCCAGAGACCAGCTTTCAGGGTAACTCGCCAGAGGCGCGCCCCGAGAAGGGCTCCAACTCCGCCTCCGGCTCCTGATAGTCGTCAACCGCCATCCAATCTACTCGAAGATGCAGAATTCACCGACGAGACAACAACAACAACGCCAGCCGGGACTTCCTGGAACATGAGCTCTACGTCGTCGTACACCCAAAAGGTTGAGATGGTGAAGCTGGCGGCTGCTCCATTGGCTGATTGGCTACTAGGCATTTGAATATCACGACCCGAACGCCGGAAATAGTACCGAGACTTGGACTCCACTAGTCAACGAACTCGTAACTCCCACGAGAAACTCGGGGCAGGGTGAAGCTTTGCTCAATTCTCACACCAACGTGCCCGGGTCGACTGAGCCGGCTCAGTCAACTGACATCTCCAACAGAGTTTCCCCGACTGCGCGAGCGCTCAGTGCACTTCTCCCGGACTTTGAGGTAGCCAGTCTCTTGATCGACACGTACTTTGACCGCGTACATTGGTTCATGCTTGTCTTCTTCCAAAACGATTTCCGACGGCGATTCAGAGATTTATACAACGGTCAGAAGCGCCCAACTGCACATGCTACCGATGCATTTCTCGCTCTGGTATCGACAGTCGCTGCAATCGGATCCCAGTACGTTGGAGCTCACCGCCGTGGTCTACTGGAGACATACGGAGTTGATCCCGATAACCTGAGGCGCGAAATGTTCGCTACTCTGAAGAATAATCTGCTTGACATTGTGTCTTCAGGCTCGCTGGAAGCGGCACAAACATGTGTACTCATGGGCAGCTATTACTTATACCAGGGTCAGCGAGGGCTAGCCTGGCCAATCTGCGGCTGCGCTCTACGCGTTGCCCTAGCTTTGAATCTTCATCGCGCGCGCAGCAATCTTTCACCCGACACTGCAGAGGCCAATGAGAGCAAGAAACGGTGCTGGTGGGCCATCTACGAGGTTGAAACATTTTGCTGCATGTTGTATGGGTATCCCTCAAGCACATCAGATGATGACTGCGACGTAGCCCGCCTTGATCCTCACCACCGGTACAGGCAGACGGAGCCCCCGACCTCCCAGGACGACAGCAGGGCCACTCTCCTTTCATATAAATACTTCATGTCAGAGCTATCCACGCTTACTCAGTACACTCTGAGGGAGCTTTACAACGCTCGTTCCAAGTCACAAGGCGGTACCAAGCCTACCAAAGAGAATTTGCAACGACAGATTCGAAAGGTCACCGAGATCGATGCCCGGCTACTGCAATGGAAAGAGTTTGCCGGCAAAATTGTGCCTAGAAAATCAGACTGCGCCTGCGTATCGCACCGCAGAAGATTTAGATCAGCATATCAAGGCAACTGGCCCTCAGTTTGAAGACCACATATGCCAACTCCAGGCTCTTGCCCTGAAACTCGCCTATGAGAACCTACGGATCCTAGTTCACAGACCTCTGCTTCTGTACCAGATGGTATCACCGCGGGCTGATCCATTTCAGTATTCGATCGGTGTCTGTCGAGAAGCTGCTCTGGAGATATCCGAGACAGCAGACATGCCGGTATTCTCTCAAGCGACTGGCACCTATGCCGTGTCCTTTGTGAGCATGCATCTCTTCACTGCCGGTGTAACACTGAGCATAATGGCCACTTTGGATCCTCTAAGCACACAGTCGCATCATGCAAAGGCCGGTCTCCGCAGGCTCATGGGTATGCAAGCGAACTTCAAGGCGGCATCCACGGTCGCCGCACAAGGACTGGAGTTATTACAGCGGCTCACGAAACTTTTGATGGAAAAAGAGCTACGTTTCATGCTTTCGACGCCCACGAGGCAAGCAACCCCGGCTCAGGAACCAAGTACCAACCGCGTGACACGGCCGGTTGAGAGTGTAGCGCCCGTGGCTCCCACAATCATTCCACCTAGCCATCAAGCTGTGGAGTTTGCGCCCACAAATGGAATGTCCGGGGTCGTTCTCACAGAACCTACCACATCGCCAGAATGGGAATTCCGACAGGACCCCGTTATGACCGAAGCATTCATGGACTTTGAAAATAGTACGTTGAGTTCATTATGTACCATTCTCACTGCTCATGGCTAACAAATTTAAGTGATGTTGTCTTATTCCGAACAGGGACTAGACGGAGCGCAGGGTGCGCTACCGGCGAGCAATGAGTATGGTTTCACAGAAACAGAGCAAGCATGGTTATGGGATTTGAATCTAGCATGAGCCTGAAGATTGCTGTCGAAGCCGTGCCAGGATAAAGATTGTAGAAAAACTCCTTGAACATGTGTATGCGAGACATTAACATTGTAAATGTCGGAACCAAAAGGTAAACACAACCAACGCCTCGATCTGCAATTTTCACCTAGCTATTTGCTACATAGGTCCTACACTGCACACACTTGGCCATGTAAAGTTGTCTATGATTATGCCCTTTTGATGAGTGCCTTGTTAAACGATAGACGGGCGACCAAGGCAAAAGTACAGGCTAACGCACCCACGCCACCGGCGTAGAAAATGGCAGGTCGATAGGCACTGGGCGAAATCTTACCAGACCCCGATGTCTGGAGAAGATAACCGGCAATAGGAGTTCCCAGAAGATACCCAAGAGTCCAGCCAGTACTACCAGTGCTGACGGCCATGGTGCCCTTGCTTGGCTCAAAGAAGCCACTAAAGACGGTGGGCATGGCCGTGAAGAAGCCTCCGTTGGCAACACCGTTGAGCAAGGCGAATATAATCAACGGTGCAGGCGCCGTCGAAACAGGCCAAATGGCCAGCAGTGTAATGGCATTGAGCAGCATGATCAGCATGATCGAGTTCAATGCCCCGATCCAGTCGCATAGAGGACCAGCTGCAAATCGACCAAACGCTGCGGCGAGGTTGTAGCCGGCCGTGACCAAGGCGGCCTTGGCGGAAGACATTCCGATGGACTGGGCAAATAGCGGCAGGTCTGATAGTAGAGAAATAGTTAGTCACTCAATCTCTCCGCCGATAAAGAAATTCCTTGCGTGTAGCTGAGTGCGAAAAACAGCTATTTCCTGGGACAAGATACGCGGACCAGGAAACAAATTTATAGAACAGTCCTTTTAGAAAATACATGCAATGAACAAGGATGCCACACATCATGGGATACTCACAATAGGGAGGAATGTAGAGCGCAAACACGTAAATCATACTAGAGATGGAGACGGCGACAAAAGGCAAGCACTTGAGCATGGACACGTCAATAATCGGCGACCGGCGAAACGGAATCTTTTCCCGGATAAAGCACGCCGCCGGAATGGACACGGCAAAAGCCAGGAAGCCAAAGATGCGAAACGTCCAGGCAATGCCGAGCCGGCGGTTCATGGCCTCTAGCGCGACGCTGAAGACGGCGGCTCCGATGCCGCCGCCCAGCTTGATGACGCCGTTGGCGAGGCCCTGGTAAAGGGCCGAAATGTGTCAGCTTTTGAATCTTTTTCTTGTCGTGTAGACATCACCACCAAATGCTCGAGACATAAATATCAAGGCATAGGTATTTCCCGAGACAGAGTGTGGGGACCGGGAAATAGAAACCAGCAAGACTTAAGAACACCATCCAATTTGAGCACTTACTAGTCTTCCGCCTGCGCTTCCGGTAAAATACTGCGTGGGGATGCAATTGGTAACGGTAAAGAGGAGCGAAGTACCAGTACCGACAAGGAGACCAGCCGTAGCAAACAAGCCGTCGAGATGCGACGTGGTGAAGCCGCTCGCAATGACGCCCGAGATGAAGAGCAGCTCGCCCAGGAGGGCTCCCTTGCGGGCGCCCAAGACGGGCAGCAGCCGCACCCACAAGAGGCCGAAGCCGACGGTCAGGGCCAGGGCGAGCGATCCCACCCAGGCAAAGGTCGAGGCCGACGACGACTCGGCGTCGCTGGCCAGCAGGGCGGCCTGCAGCACGCCCCAGCTTCCGCTGAACCCGGTAAAGAAAAAGTTCAGTACGGCGCAACTCAGAACGATTACCCAGACATTTTGATCTTTATTTATAGCCGGGAATGAATTGGCTGGGCCTCCGGGGGCATCGACTTGATTGTTGGCTTCTTGGTCCTGGGTGCCCGAGGGCTCGCCGTCGGAGCTTGGTTCGTCGACCGCCGCAGTGAGGACTTCTGAGCTTTGCCCTTGGGTTGATCCAGAAAGAGGCAGTGGCTGCCTTCTCAGTGAACTGATCTTTGATAAAAGTATTTCTTCAGGCATTATTGCAATTGGCAGAGGGAGATGGGTGTTCAAGATACTATGTTGATACTATGTTTAGCCATATATTTTTGGGAAATTTTTTAGCCAATTTCTATCGCGTCCTGCGAGAAAGGAGAACAATCCAGAATGGAGTGGGAATCGCTTCAGACAGTACAAGGTCGTATTAGTCGTCAATCCAGAAGCGTTCCGAGATCGGAGCGAGTTGGATCAAATCACGAGGATCTCGACGCCCTCTGCGGACGCCCTTTTACGGGAATTTGCATCGCCTGTGACAGCACATTTGGGGGTCGATATGCAAGCATTAGACCTTCGCGCATGCTTGCCTATTCTGATCCGAGACTTGAATCAGGTGGGCACAACTCTTTGGGCTAGTTTAGGAAATTATGACCCGGAATTTGGTTCCGGCGGCTTGGTGATTTGCCTGGCCCCCACTCGGCATCGTTCGGGCATACAAGTCCGATCCCACCGGAACGCCCAGGAGGCCAGGAACTGACTAGTGTGCACGGAGTGTATACTCTTTAGCAAGCCGCGCCGTTGGTTCAATGCCGACCGTCTTTCATTGGCGATATGGATATTGGCAAACATTATCCATTGCAGTTGCATACGCCTCGGAACACTGAGCAAGATCGCGTGAAATTGGTACTATCACGTACACCTCCAACAAAACTACGAGTAGAACAATGCACTTGTGTATTGCGAATATTCAAACCAGCATAGAGTCTAATTCGAATGCATCAGGCAAGCCCTGAAGATGCCAAGCTGCTATAGTTTCGTAAAAGAGCCTCTTCTGCTCCTCCATTGAAGGCGGCGGTGTACTCAATCCCCGTCGACGTCGAGACCGCTCTGTTTCCACAAGCCTGGCCTCATCATTTCCGGATGCTAGAGAACTCGGCTCAAAGGAATAGGAGCGATATTCACAATTCTTCCAGCCAGTGCCGTGATACTTTGTCGCTGCCTCCCAGTCGTCTGTTAGAAAATGCAAAAAATTGCCGTGCGTAACTAGTGCGATCGTCGCATCTTCAAGACCAGTCTGGACCAACTCTTGAAGTTTTTCTTTCAGCCAGAGTCTTGTCCTTCGCGCGCGCTCTGCAAGTCGAGTGCCGGCTGGAAAGTAGGGGCTTTTCAAGGACCTGTCGGTCCACCCATCTTCCACCAGAGACAGGTCAACAGGCCAGCCCTTTTGCGCGCACGAGTCTCTCAACGCTCCAATGTCGGAGCCGGTATTGAATGGATAATCAAAAGACTCCTGTGCCGTCGGCAAAGCCACTATGGCATCGGCGCACGTCGGCAGCGCGAGTGCGCGTTCAAAGACAAGCATGGCCGTTTGTAGCGTACGGGTCAGAGGCGAGGCGGCAACGAGTGAGATTGATGGCTGTTGATCCGCGAGCTCTCCCGCGCGGCCGCGGCATTGTTGCTCGCCAGTCGGCGTCAAGGCGGGATCGACGAGGTGGTGATGACGGATGCCCAAGTTGTGATATCCTTGTGCATGGCGCATTAGAATGACCGTGGGTGACATTTGGAGAATTGGATTGCAGAGAGCGAGAGAATAATGTACGACTATGCTGGGCGTAAATTGATCTGTCAAAGAGGTAAACCGAGGCGAAACGCGTGGTTATGTGAGAACAAGTGTTTGTGTTTACCCAAATGTATTTAGCAGCAATCTTGCAGTTTTCACCACCTACATTTGTGAGTTGAAGTCGCTATAAAGGCCAGATCCCACCGGATGTGCTGTCTTGTAGTGGACAGCCAGTGGTTGTCAGGCTCGGTTTTAGTGGAGTGTAAGCTAGGCGGGAGACACTATTAGGTTAGGTACAGATTACATCTCTGATTGACTCTCCAAAAATGTACCCAGATTATGTCAGGAGCAAAGCCTTGTGATCAGGAATTACCATGGACAATTAAGGACAATTCCAAAGTCAAAGCAAATGTCAAAGCATCAATTGGTTCCATAATTTAGTGCATCTCCAATTGGTAGACTACTATTGCAGGTATCACAACCGCGAACTTGTTGTGACTACTGCGCAAACGTTGCGGTCGCCTTTTAGTAAAACACTCTCCCCGGCGAGGCAAAGAGTCTAAACGAGAGGATAAAGTAAATTCATATCTATATGAACCACGATGCATCGTATTTGGGTTGATTCCAGTTGTTCAGTCCATATGTTAATCGACGCATAGCCGTACGGAATTCGTTGCAATATTCGTCGCCGCCACAAATAAACACCTTATTCTCTGGACCGTGAATGAACTTTTCAGGGTTCATCTCAATGAGCGCCCAGTCTTTTAGATACCCGAGCTGACTGGAAGACGTCTCATAAATAGGGTGATATGCAAGGTGGCCTATTTTCCTGCACGATTTGTCTTCCAATGCCTGGATAGCTTCCAGGATCTTTGTGTTATACGCGGTATCTTTCTGTAGACTGAGCAGCTTTTGAGTATCCTTGCTCGAAGGCTTTAGCGATCCATTCGGGTAATAGGTATCCTGGATTTTACTATTGATTCTGACCTCCGTGGCGCTCTTTCTTCGAATCCACCATCCCAGGCACCTTCGTCATTGGAATTTGTGAATGAGGAGGAAGATATATTGGAAATGGGATTGGTGAAGTGAGGTGGTAATGGGGCTGACAACGTCCGTTGCTAGAGCCGAAGTCATTTGGCAGAAAACTCTAGTTCTAAAGATTGAGAATGTTGGGAATGGATAATCCCAAACGTTAGGCGTCCTGGCGATGGCTTTGTAAGGAGTACTAGTCCAGCTGCCGACGGTACATTGGCTCTCTGATTGCTGCGGCTACGGCTGCAGACGATAGATGGAGAGGAGGTTGATATGTTAAGTTGCTATAAGCAGAGGGTCCTGAGACCTTACTGGGTCCTCTTTCGCAGTATCGATGACAAATGCTCAATGGGAGTGCAGGACCTTGTGCTCTTCCAAAGGATGTTAAGGCATGGCTAGTCTTGGGGACAACAGTCGATTTCGGTCCAATTGGCACGCTCAATCCTGCATTGAAAGCATTTGAGACTTGAAGATCTTTGTATAGAGGTAAATAGAAGACTAGTGGGATTGTGGTGTTTTGTGTTGTTTTGAAGAGAAGAGAGGGGAGACTGAAAGCTGGGGGGTATTTATATGTTGATTTGTTTGTTTATTCCTTAAAAAAGAGAAGGAGCATGGACGAGCCGTGGCTGCGTCAGTACCTTGCTTTTTTGATTTATTGGGTATGGCACTCTCCCTTTCAGACTCATCCTTGCCATGCTCAACATCATGTAGGTAGGTATGTATCTACCTAGTAGGTAAGCACAACCATGGCCCAAAGACATCCCATGAAGTCCATTCTGCCTTCTTGCAAGTGAGTGCCATATAATTGGTGTCTCTCAGCCTCACCAGCGCTTCCAGGTCAACGTCATTGACGCACTTTTCAGATCGCGTGCAGACTGCTCCTTCGCTCTCTTCCTGATCCTTCCTGATTCTTCTTGATCTGCAGCCGACGCTGCCCTAACAGACGCGCCAGCACAGCCACAGCTTCCACTCCTGCGAAACACTTTCCCGGACAGATCTGGGGATATTCACCCGAAGGAAGAAGATGTTGTTGCTCAAGACAAAGAAGGTTTCCTGCGTAAACACTGTCGGAATAGGTGCTGGGTTTAAGACCCATCGTGACGGCCACCATTCATTTGTTTTGGGCCAATACAATACATGCGTCTGCGTGGCTCGTAAATTGGCTGTGGAGTTGACTTCACTCCTGTCGACACACTTAAGATTTTCTCCCCAACTCGAGACCACGGGTGCTAGCTGGTAATGCCGAGGTTTGCTCGGCTCGCCCACAATTTGAGCATGGCGCGTGCTTGGCACAACGATTCGTCCCAGACGAAAGTCATCATGGTCTCATGAATGGCATGGCCATTGGTGTGCGATGGTTCGTAACATTAATCAATACATAAAACTAATTGATGAAAACGAAAAGTCTACCGCATTATATTTTGTTGTATAAGACTCGATAATAGCTAAATCTCCGTTGATTATCCTTTGCTGTGCTAAATGCGCCGATTTAGCGATATAAGCCGCAAGGTTGGCGGAAGCGGTGGCCTGGCAACACAATGTTTGTGCGGCAGTTCATACAAAGCTCATTTTGGAACCGACGATGTGACAGTCTCAGTATCAGTTGTTGTAGCACCACGTTTAACCTCTCTGCCGCATGGTGGGCAAAAGCGATGACCTGGCACCGCCATGCTGTGCCGACAATTCATACAAAGCCCACTCCTGGGACCCGACGATGTGACAGTCTCAGTATCATGAATATCTGGGAGGTCAGCAAGGCGAGAAATGAATAGAATGGATCCGCCGTGATTGTATGGCGGAGAGCGTTCGGTAAAATGTCCTGGGGTGTGACGATTGGCATCGTCTATGATCAGAAGCCAGTCACCATGACTGACGCGGTCCATCTCGGTCAAGACTTGTGGTATCATTTCGTCACTTAGCTCCAAGTCATCTACGGTCAATGTAGCACTCCTGAGGCGGAGGCCTATTCCACGGAAGCCGTCACTCAAGGTCTTCGTGGAGCGCGCTGAGACCCAAAAGACGGAGTATCTTGGTTGTTGTCGGCGGAACGAGTGAACTGCTCTGAGGGCCAAGGTGGTTTTTCCGACTCCTGCCGGTCCTATCAGGGCGGTAGTTGTGATGTTTCCATCATTCTTCTTGTGAGCTATCTTGACAGAAATGCTCTCGATGAGTTCCTCGTGCCAAACATCTTCGGGGCTATCGTCAAAAGGGATCATGCAGGGAGGTAAGAGACTGTATTCTCCCAAGATTGCCTTTGCTGTCGAGGCTGCCGAAGCTGCTGCAAACTGAGACCACTTCATCTCATCGTGCCCATCGCCATAATCACCTACTCCTAGCACAGTAATGCATGGCAGTCTTGCAAAGATTGAGTCGTATCTGTCCGCAATCCCAAGGACGGAGTTCTGCAGACACAATGTCGAGTGCCAAGCTCTTCGTGCTCCAGGGCTCGCGTGAGAGCACAAGACGCGCCCATAGTGCAACAAAGGTTCTTGGATCCTGCCCTCCTGACCTGATGCAACCTGAATACCCCTCTGAGGTCGATTTCGAGGGACCAGGTACTGATGATCGCACCCAATGTCATTGCAACTCGACCCCAACACGTCATGACAGGCCCCATTCGACAAGAAACCGCTCTTGCAGTCACAGTCTCGTGAGTCGTGATGCTTATGTGGATAGCTAGACACGAATAGTTTGTCCTCTGTTGCTCCAGGATATGCTACCGAAGACGATTCTTGGAGGCGCCTAAGAAAGAACGCAGCATTTCCTTGCAGTCGCCTGAAGCCTTCATCGGTCTCCAATACAGTAGCCAATTTTGTTTGAACTTGTCGCTTGGATGAAACGACCCTCTCATTGGAAATCATTTCAAAATGTCCTGGTGGGTAGGAAACAAGTTCATCACTGATTAATACGTCGCCTCGGAATATCTGACCAGGACTTTTGCTGTCGCTCTGAGGCAAGCCGCTGCAAGTGCCAACAAGGAGCACAAGCTGTAGCCTTTCGAAATCGGAAAGTACTTCGATGGCTTTACGTTCCATCTCAGCTGGAATCGTATCGATCAAAACCAGAACAGCGTTGCAACCATAAATGCGGCCAAAAATACAACGAGAGAACCCGAAGGAGGTACGCATCCGCAATGGCTCGTGGTTGTCGCGGAAACTTCGTGGATCATTCTCGCAGATGCGGTCAAACAGCAGAGGAACGACATCAAATGCTGACACAGAATGACAGATGATCGCAACGTCAAAATCATCCGGCTTCAAAGGTGGCAGGGTGGGTGTCACCTCAAACGGCATCTTTCCCTCTTCGCCCTGTGTATGTCGGACTTCTGTCCCTTGGCCGAGAAGGCTGAGACATGATGAATCTTCGGTCGTGAGGAGGAGTCTGCCCTTAAGCCCACTCGGAAGCAAACCCTCAAGCTGCATATGCAGCAATGTTTGACGATCAATACCATCCAGAACCATCAACCACGGGCTGTGCATCCGCCAATTGAGCAAGTATACGGCAGATCTATTTGACTCCACGGCGTACTCTTGGGGATTCAACATTTCAAAAATTTTTGAAAAGGCACTTGAAATGTGATTGAAGTCCAATGCATCTATCCAGAAGACAGAACAGCCGGTCTCCTCCTCAGCGATTTCGTTAACTAACGTTCTGGCAATAAGCGTCTTACCGGTGCCAGAGGGACCGGCGATGACGACGCGAGGCTGCTGCTTGGGCTGGCTATCGGTAGCTAGATAGAGTAAAGATTGCTGTTGGAAGAGTAAAAATTCCAAGTCGGCTTTGATATCATTTTGGCGAGTGGATAGCTGGAATAATGGGGTCGCGGGCACATTAAACATAAAAACTTTATCTGGATTTAAACAGAGTAGGTGTCAGTCAGACTAAGCGCGCGCGTGAGTGTGCGTTTGTGAGTGAGACGGAGGGATAGAGAATAGATATAGAGGCGGTAAACAATAGATCAATTAAAAGTCAAGAAATCGTGTGAAGATGAGGGAGCGACAGTGGGAGACAAAATTAACCGAATTACGTACCTTTGCTCAGAAAGAACCAAGTTCTGTTCTCGTACTCACTCAAGGAATCAAAAACCTCCTGACAAGTGTTTTCGATAATATTCTCGATCATATTCCTCTCCATATCCCCGGTGCCCTCTCTTTTGAAGGCTAGAACGCAGGATATAAGCGCTGTGCGCACTTTGAGCAAACAGAGGCCCCAAAACTCATGAATCTGAGATTCGGGAAGTCTATCAGAAGTTATGCCAATGCCATTGGAAATAAGATCCTTCACGATCTCAAAAGTATGGTGAGAGTCAGGTAGAAACGTCTTAAGAAGAAAAATTTGCTCCTGCACGGATTCGATTGTACAATTAACAGGGTCGTCTTGGACCTCGTAATTTGCATCTCTTACGTGCGAAAGGGAACCGGAGAGCTGCGAGGCTTTGCTTCGGTCATCAAGTGCTAAGACCGATCTTTCGGGCAGGGCGCGAAGGGAGAACTCATGTAAGTGTTGCAATATGTGATCGTCGACCCTGGAATCCATAGTGCAAGTCGCAAAGTCGCAAAACGGACAGTTCAGTGGCCCGACCAGCGGCTGTTTACTCAATTCTGCAAGCACCGGCAACTGGATCGCCTTGACCTTGTCCGAATGAGCTTTTGTGACGTGGTCCTTCCATTCTTCGTCACTCTCAAAGCAATGTGTCGTTTGGACAGAAGGACTTGCAATAGCGTCACCACTAGAGTGACAAAAGCTGCATATCCAGCGCGTAGTTGAATGTTTGTCTAACAAATGGGCCACTAGGTTTTCCGATGTCAAGTACATCTCAAAGGGTGTTTTACACCCTTCAATGAAGCACGTGTATGGCATCAGGTCTTGAGCCACATGGGCTCTGACCGACGGGTTAGCTTGACCGTTGTAGTATGTAAGAGGCATGTAGATGAATACTTACCTCCAGCTCTGTTCAACCCTTGTGTATGACGAAGGTAGTATGTCATCACAGTATGGGCACGTTAATAAACCTTTTGAGTCCAGCGTTGGACGGTCGGGATAAGTTTGAGTTGATCCTATTTTTGTCACCCTTGTCACTTTCGAGGGAGTCTGAGGCGCCATCACACGTTGCACATCAAGACGAGAGCCGACCTCGGTTGCCGTTAAAGCTGGCTCGAGGACAGAAGATGGGGCTGTACCATCTTCAAAAATCTTCGGCTTTGCTGGCTGAGAGGGGAGTGAAGTTTGTGCTTGGCGAAAGGTTTGAGTCCCAGTAACGGACGAGTTTGTCGGATTAGCGCTCTTATTCAATTGACTCGAATCCTTGGCTGACTCGATTCTGTCATGGACTGGTTGTCTCCCTTCATGTCGCGACTTTGTGACGTATTCTATGCGGTGTCTTCTGAGAATGTTGGCGTGGATAAGGCGCCTCTGGACAGACGTCAGTGCGTTGTGATCAGACACTTGTTTCATCTTTTCCTCGGCTGAGAAGTCTTTGGCTTCTTGAGGATCTACGAGAGATCTGAGAATGATGCTGGTCAGGTGATTGCGAAACTCTTCAAAGGAGTTGTCTTTCAATTCCGCGTCAATCTTCTCAAAACGATACTTGTCTCCCGCTTTTCGGATGGCCAAAGATGTCCTTGCGAGCTGATCGAGGGAGATTCGGACATAGGATAGACATTCTGCCATCACGGGATCCATGCCGAGAGCATCAAGGTCTCTTGTAGAGTCTGGGACGCTCCACTCATCCGAGATGGCATCCCAAGATGCTGGACTGTCCGTACTCTTAGGAGAATCGGATTTCTCTTCATCTAGATCCATGGCCGTGCTTTCGGGCTCCTTTTCTCTCCCTTGCATAGCCATGGCTACGGTCATTAGCGGTGGTCAAACGATGCGACATTTTTTATCCTGTGCAAAAATCCTGTGCAAAAACCACAGAAGCCTGTTTATTTTGTTTGTACTTACCCGTCGCACGTCTTGTCCATCGTTCCAATGACGCTGCCAAGGCGTCAAGGAGTCCACATAACACGTCGCGCACATCATGATGATTTCTCAACCGATAGTCCAGGGACGCCTTGCCCCTACTTGTCGCCTTGATAGCCGAGCACCAGAGATTATAGTCTCCTTGCGCAGAACGTGTGTATATGGCATATTCTGTGCATGCGGGATTAGCAAGAAAAGCATCGAATTGATGGCTACAAGCTTCTGCGGCGCGACATATTCCGTCGTCGAGGTCCATCTGTCCGCTGATGGAGAGGAGTCAAGGACGATTTGGCAATGATGTAGGTGGGTGCGTATTGGATCGACCCCTCGTCAGCACCCGAAAACGAACATGATCATTCGCAAAAGTAGCTTCCGAAATTCCCTTGGATTTTGAACTTCAAGCCACTTTATATTTGCCCCAAGACTTCCATGTTTAAATATACCAGGAATAATCCTAATAGGGGCATGCGGGATAGTCTACAGGATCGAGGCTCAGATCCACAGGGAAATCCAGCTTGAAGATAAGTACCACGGATTTCCGAAAGATGTGCAAATTTGTCTCGAGCCAAGAAGTAACAAATAAATAAGGCGGCATCATACGAAGGCTCAGCGGCCAGAATCCAGGCAATTTTGGGAAGCTAGATTTACAAATAAAAATCAGGCTGAGGGAGGGGTCATGTGCATGGCAGAATGTGGTAAGGTAAGCGGTAGAGCGGGGTTTTCTCTCTCTTATCCTTTCCATGCATTTGGGCCCATGATATTTCTTAACCTCAACCTCCCGCACTGGCATCGTGCCAAAGGAACCGCCAGCCAACCACCATTACTTCTGGTGTTTAGATGCACATGGGCGGTTAGATTGTAGTCATGGAGAGAAGACCACATAATGCAGTGTCTTTTGCGACTGCAGCGGTCGCGGAGTTGAAGAAAACTGCCCAAGTCCTAGCCCGGGGGCTTGGGAAGGACGATCCGTTCCTTACTCTTCTTGGTTCTTTGCTGTCTGATGTAGGGAATCGCCTGAAAGATCTGGATCAAGCCGGGTGTGTCAGGGGTTCAAACGTCGAAAAGAGAGTTTTCAAGCTTCTGGCCATTCTGGAAACCCTCATCAGGGCAAGTAATGCCTGCTTGGTTTCAACCCAACTCAGGTAGCGGCTAACATTTACCTTTTTTATCCCTGCAGTGGCCTGGCGCATTGAAGCCACCTCCAAACCCACCCTTTAAGCCTGGTTATTATCCCTACTTGGAAAGTCTCATCAGTAGCTCTCAACAAACAGCCAAGAACAACATAAGACGACTAGCTAAGAGCACACATGAGCGTGCCCCTCAAGAAAGAGAAAAGTTCTGCGACTCCTTCAGGGCTTTTGCGAATACCGGGAATGGTTCTCGTGGGCCGCCACTCTCTGATCTGGTCGCGGCCAGCACGCAACCGATATGGTACAATGAATACGCTGCCTGTCTTCGCTTGCTACACACAACGTTATGTAATTGCTCTCCCCAGGTGCAAAGCTGCGGCGGAAGCTTCATGGCCAACATTGCCTTGACGCGCGTACAAAAGTTGGAAGGGTCACAAGATAATGTTCCATTCGACTTCTTCTTTCTTCATCGACATCCAGACTCTGTGGACGATATGTGGAAAGAAGTTCGAATCTCAGTTTTTCTGCAAGGGTGAATATATATTAACCTCTCAACTTACCTTTCTTTGAAATAATTCTTATCGCTAATAAAACGCAGCGACGGGTCTCGGGCTCCGAGGGTCAGGTGGCTTAGCTCAAACAAAATTTCCCCTGAGGTGTTTTGCGGCCTGATTCGCCGTCGAGAGCGTGGCCGGTTGATTTTCAACGCTGCAAATGATGGTCTTGTCTACGAGCGAGCCGATCTAGACGTTGAGCAGCTCAAGAGGCTGTTTCTGCTCAAAGCATCAAGCGTGTCTCTCTCGACTGTTCTGAAGAAGCGGAAGTTGCACGGAGATGTGAAGCTCAAATTATTGCTCTCCTACCTCCTCGCCAAGGCCATATGGCAGTTTTACGACTCTGAATGGATGGCGTCAAGCTGGTCAAAACACTCTATACACTTTATGCGCGAGCGTCTCAATGGCTCCTCTAGCACTGGAGAAGTCTTGGCCTTAATACATAAGCCGTACTTTGCGACCGAGCTGTGGTCGCCACCCAAGCCGTCTGGATGCATACCGCAGAATGAGCTCTCAGACAAGCAGGACTTGATGCAGCGATTTCCATCTGCAACACATTTGCACCCAAAAATTCTGGCTTTGGGGATCATGTTGTTGGAAATTGAGCTCGGGGAGGGCATTGAAATACATCGGCTCGATGAGGCCCATGGGGACGATGATCCAATTGAAAATGATGATCATTATACCGCCGGCAAAATCATCCTGTCACCTATGTGGCAGAGACGAAATGTATACCAGGCAGTCAAAGAGATAATTGAGATTTGTCTGAAACCAGATAAGGGGAAATTTGGCTTTCAAGAGGGGATTGCACACAGTAATCTCTACATCTATGTCGTGGCGCCTCTTGGGAGGCTTTTCAAAGAGGCTTGGTCTCATGATACAGATCCGGAGTCGTGCATTCCGGAACCAGTTTCATTCAAGACGACAGATTTTCCAGCCGAAGCTCGTGGTCCCTCCGATCTGCGGACATTCATACCTGACGATATCAGTCGTACCCAATCTCTGGACTCGGAACCGACCACCTGTCCAACATCTGCAGCACCCGTACTGACCTCAACCGTTCCGATCCGGAGTAGACATGATATAGGTACAAACATGTCCAACTTGGAGGACGGTGAACTATTAGGCGACGAGGACGGTGAAACCACCATCGCAGCTCGGTACGTAATTCTCTCATTCCCCAAAGATAACAACTTATGAACATTTACCAATATTGGTTCCTAGACGGAAAAACACGGACAAGTGGTTTTCGAACTTCCAGACGTTGCTTGTGAAGTACCGCCTCCTCGGCCGCGGTCGCGACGAACGGATGAAAGTGGCCATATTGGACTCGGGTATCAATGTCAACCATCCCGATTTTAGCGATGAAGATCGCGATCGAATAAAAGAAAGAACTGCATTCATCAATAGCAACGCGGATGTGGACGAAACTGGCCACGGAACCCATGTAGCTGCAATTGTCCTTCGCCTCACCAAGAACGTCGATCTATATATTGGAAAAATCACAGACAAACCCAATGTGAGCCAACGCGAAGAGATTGCAAAGGTAAGACGTGCACTGATGGGCTGTGCAGACGGCGACTGATATTTGCTCCAGGCTCTCAAGGTCGCGAGGACGCAGTGGGGTGTACATATGATAAATATGTCCTTTGGCTTTGACAGTGTTCGGAGCCCCGACATCATAGGTGATGAAGTCCGCCAATGTATCCATGAAGGCATAATGGTATTTGCCTCAGCTTCCAATGATGGGGGTGAGGGTTTGCGTACCTACCCGGCCAAGTATCCGGGAGTCGTTTGCGCGCACTCGGCAACGTGGAGAGGAAGCAAAGCTGAGCGGAACCCAGGGCTCGAGAAGGACCTGCGGAACTTCAGCTTTGTGGGCGAACACGTGCGACCGGTTTGGTCAGCCAAGATGTCCAAGGACGATGACCGGATGAAGTACGCATCTGGCACGTCTTATGCATCCCCGGTGGCCGTCTCGGTAGCAGCATTCATGATTGGCTATATTCAAAAGGAGATGCCAGAATACCCGTGGGTGATAAAGCCCTGGAGCCCAGAGGGGATCATGGCTATTTTCGACATGATGGCTTCTCGGGTCGACGGGTACGACTGGGTAAGCCCAACCAGGTATCTTAAATATACTAAGAAGGCCAAGATTGTTGGCGATCTGCAGCAATACCTTGGGTAAATTGAAAGAGGCATTTGGGAGGCTGCATTTAGAAACAGAAAGATCTGCATAGAAACAACAACACATAAGAACATAATTAATTCATTTCACTGTACTCTTTCTGCGTGAAAATTTCCAAGATCAGGTCCTCTACGCCAACAGCTCCGTCAGAATCCTCGCTGTCCCAGTTCTGCTCACCGTCCGCAAGCCGGCCCGAGTAGACCTTGGGCCCATCCTCCTTCAGCGCCAGCTCCCGCCGGCGGAGAAACGCCGTGGTGACGATACGCAGCTCCAACGCAAAGATGCTGCGCTGCGCCGAACTCGCGCGAAACACGGTTGCAGTTTTCCCGCCAGAGCCCACCGATACCTGCGGGTTCCCTACATCAACCCCCAAGAGGGCCGAGGGCACACCGGCGGCCGTGAGCGCGACCGTCGCCACCGGAGCCTCAATCACACCCTCGCGCCGGCGTTCTCGGGCTCCGGAAAAGTCCAGCTCCACGTCTTCGGCGATCATGACGCCGACGACGAGACACGGCGGCCACGTGTTGAGTAAAGAAATCCAGTCGGGGACGGCATTGCGGACGGCCTCGTCGGTCTTGAGCTGCGACCAAAATTGCGCATGCTGCTGCAGACGCTTGACGCGGAGCAACTTGCCCTGAAGGCGAACGATTTCCTCTTTGCTGCCTTGCCACTTGAAGCCGACGAGCGACTCCAGCGCCGCCGACGCGTCGCGGGACTTGGTTTCAGTATTGTCGTGGAGGAAGTTGGTGAAGCAGCCTTCCACTAGGTCGTTCTTGTTATAGCGCAGGGGGCTGTCTGGCAGGTATTCGTTGGTGGGCTTGAATGGGTAGCGCACGATGGCACCTAGGATTTTATCCTCGAATTTGGCAGCGTCTAGCCATCCCGGATACTTCAGCACGACAAAATTCGGGTCTCCTTTCATCTTTTCTACTGCTTTGACAGTTTTTTGATCTTTTGGAATGAGATTGCTATGCACGATAGGTATCTGAATTTGCTTACTTGGGTTGCAATGATTCAGCTACACATGTCACTTTCTGCTGTGGTACAGCACCGCCACATTGCCTACTCGAAGGTGGCCGCAAATAGCGGCTGGAAATGCTGGTTCAAGAGGTGCAGCCAATACAGCCAGTAGGCAGCTGCCACACGTCAGGGGATCGTAGATTAGAAAGGTCAGCAATGAGGTAACGCTTGATGAGGCTGTTGAAATGCGAGCAGACCGAAAGAACAATAAAATTCGAGAAGGAAGTGTGAGACCATGAACTGGATCGCTATCTCCTGAATCACTTTTAATTGGATGTTCACGACCACGAGAGTTCTGTCGATACTATCGAGCCCCAGGATATGAAGAGCCTGTACGAGAAATACCCTTATTGGGCAGATCGACTGTACGGCATATGGCGCGAGGCGGACTACCCGGCTCCCATCATGAGGGTTGAAAGGTGAATCGAGGCTAGAGGGAATCATCTGTTCACTGATTGATGTGCTGCCGTATCTTGGCCGTGGGCCGTTACCTTTGGCATGCTTTCCACGGTGCTGCCTGGAGCGCAGCGAAGGGTAGCCTGGTTCAAATGGGTTGATGGCCCAACCATGGCGCAGTGTGGATTCAAGAGATCTGTTGGCAAATAGGAGATGCAAGCATATGATACAGATCGATCAAAGCATATGTTTTTGGCTCTGCTCGTCATCGCAAGCTTCTGCGTAAATCGATAGATACGGCAGGCAATGCGATACGCCAAACGCGCAACACCAAGGCTGCGCCGGGGTGATGATGTATGGCGATTGAAGGATGACCCTGGAGTCATAAGATCACGCTTCCATTGGACGGCTGGCAGGATTATTCGAGGCAAAGGAATGTGTGTGATGGGCTCTGAATGCTCGAGAACCGAGGGTTGTGTGGGCCAGCAAGATCTACATGGTAAATTCAATCATGATTATTGATCACGAAGGCATCTCGATGGGAATAAAAAGTCGAGGTCGCTTTCTATATCAAAAAGATTCATCATTGTGATCAATCAGAAAGATGCAGGCTTGTTGTCATTGCAGCAGCTGTGAATTGTAGAACGGTTGGCTCGAAAGGAAGATCATTGCCGCAGGCAAGACCTGGTATCTAGCAACTAAAATTGTAGTGTGTATGGGTCTGACGGCACTGCCCGTGCCGAAGCTAGCGGGCTTGAGGGCGCTGTAGTGTGTAAATCCCCCAAAATCTTAGACCTTTTCATTTTCCCACACAAGATCTACACAACTTTGCGTAAGAAGTAAACGAGAATTGCAATTTGAACTAAGGACTTACTGTCTTCTATTGGTTCAAATACTAGTGTCTTTTACTGACCGTTCAAGTCACCCGAATCGGGCCATTGCGAACAACATCATGTCATGCTTGCTAGTATCCCATTAGGTTATGTGCTTGGCGTTTTCCGGCAGTTGGCTGCCCTAAAGGCTAAAGCCAAGCGTGTTGCTATTCTTTGCTCACAGTGGAGCCGATTCCAACTAAATCTGGAATAAAGCGGCTCCATACCTCACGAGAATAACATGAACAAACATGAATGCAGCAGCATAAATCCTCTTGTTGATGCAGTAGTTTTGATCTATTTTCATTTCATTCTGCACCAGATGATTGCAAAAATCCTTCCTGCTCTGCAGAAACCTGGCGGGTTCGTCCGTGGGCGGGCCCCACCCCCTTTCCCACTTTTTACCAGTGATGCTGTGCATGAAAAGGATCCGTCCAGTGTCGATTGGGCTGGCGGGCGTGTGGGCGAGCTTCTTGCCGTAAGCATTTGCGAGAGGAAAAGACTTTGCAGGTTCAACGTTCCAGGAGCAGCCAGTAGTCGCAAGTATGAGATTTGGAGAGTACGGAGTCTCTGTATGCCTTGTCAAGGATCATGCGCACCTTTTCCAGGGTTCCCCATCCTTCAACGCTCATAATAGGTTCGCCTAGCGAGGATTTGGTTGGTAGACCCGGAGGATTGAGCCGGGGGGACACGCCATGCGCGCTGTACACAGGAGAAACCCCTGGATTCAGCTGCCGCAGTGGGTGGTAGGTCACCAAGGTGTGTCTCCCCCAAGGTGCAGTCTACATTAGCTGGTTATCCCGCCGGTGTGGGATTTCTTAGGTAACTGGCCCCCAAGGAGCCCTGGAGCCGAGGGAAAAGGTGAATAAAGGACATGTTTTACGAGTAGGAGCTGCAACATAATGCTTGAGCTGATACAGGGACAATATCAACCGGTGGAAATGGGGCTGACAACCTTGTCCAATAACCACCTGTATTGCCAATTCTTTCAAGCCCAGAGATTTTGCTTTTCTTAAGGCATTAAGACAGACGATCATTTGGGGTCGTCAGAGGGGTAAAGAGCCCAAAGACCAGGAACGCCCAAGTCATGATCGCTCTGGAAGAGTCCGAGCGAGACCATAGACTGCACCTGGGCATGTGCCGTACCGCACCGTCGGTTCTGATGGTGATGTGATGTTACCATGTTGGTGCAGGGAGCCCATGTACGTCCGGAATAGCAGTTATGTAGTCAGTCAAGTAAGTAGTCGTGCGGCACCGATTCTCTCAGCATCACTTCTCCAGTAAGCACCTGGGCATGTTCCTCGATGTTGACAAGCGAGAGGCGCATCCTTCGCATACCTACTACCAACATTACCTGCCTGTCTAACCCTCGGGCTCCTTTTATGAGCATCACGTATCCCCGCGTTACAGATTTCAACGTTCCCTCCCATTTCCCTTGGTCTCAATTTAACTTGTCCTCTCCGACTTGTACAACCACTAGCCAACCGTTTTTGAAAACTCGGGCCATGTCGTCTCCACCGCAATAATAAGATCGCAATTATGTCGCTCTATTACGAGCAGTGCTGGGCTATACTCAGTACCATTGGAGTGGCCAATGTCCTCTATGGTCTGGTGGTCATTAGCATCACCAAGTATACGCCCGTCGTCTGGATTCCAATCATTGTCAGCATTGCTTGTGCAATCGCGAATGGACTGTGTTATTATGCCTTTTACGCCGATTACCCCGTCGTCAACAAGGCAATCGCATCTGGATTTGCTGATTTCTTTTGGCTGGTGTGTTTCTATCCAACTCTCACAATCCCGGATTTGTGTCATCTGTTGTGTTCATTTTCTTACACTCAATGTAGATACAGGAAGTTGGGATCTCATTCTACGGCTATGCCATTTTGATACGCCTCTTGAATCGACAAAGTCGCGCTGCCTTTCAGGCCATATTCTGGGCAATAGCCCTCGCCATCACGGCCATCCGAGCAGCAATCCTCGTCGGCCGCGTCAAAATCACCCTGGTCCCGGATTCAGACTTTCGGAGGGTCGTCAACTACTTGCATGTCGGCTACTTTACCCTCATTGCCCTGCTCGAGTGTATCAGCGCCTTCTTTCTACTGCGCGAGTTTTCATCAGCTCGGAGGGCATCCAAGGACGCTGCACTCTCTGGGAGCCTGCTGCAGCATCTGATGAGAGGAACCGAAACGCGTGTGGCATCGCTGGCACTTGTTGGTATATCCAGAGCCATTGCATACATCTTCAACCAATCCCTTCCCGAGGCTTTAACGACTGCTGGGCAAGTGGATCGATTCTTCTATACGTTGGAATGCTTGTTTCCAATGATGATATAGTACGTCTAGTCTCACATCAACTGCCTTACCTTGTACTAACATGTGCCTGCAGTATCGATATACTAGCTTGCAAGATCAAGTTTAGTGATCACTGTTCGGTAGAGATGCCGCAAATGGGCAGTGCGCAATCTGCCGAGGGGGTCTGGGATGGAATACGCGTAGCCAACCAACACGCATCGAGGAGACCAGTCAGCGGCAGCACCAGCACTTTGGCGGAGCAGCACCTGGTGAAAAAACAACCTCACATGACAACTACGTTCAACTTTTCGAGGGATATTACTCGCAAGAAACCCATCGAATTCACCATGTACGACGACTCATCGAGTGTCCAAGGGGTGTGTTACAACATGACGCCGAGTCTTAGTTGACATGTTCATGATATTATGTCTAGCATTAGCGAAATCTGAATTTTTCTCATGATCTTTCGTAACGTGAGATGTCTACCTTGTGCTTGAGTACTATCAGGGTGATTACCTAGGTAACATATCTGTACAAAATACTAGATTGAGCCAGATATATCTCTGAGACAAAGCGCCTGATGCTCCCGCTACTACGAATTGTACCACCTATAAACAGCATCGCTAGCGCTTCCCACTGCAATAGGCTCGATTATACGTCCCGGAATCGACCTGTAGTAGCGCGTCAATCGAGACCCAGTGGCCCATCAGTCCACTAAACGGATTTTGTGGGGCCATGCAAGCAATCCGCTGATGCGAGCGTTTTCGGCGCAACTGCCAGTGGCGGGGTTGTTGCCAATCAAGAGGTGGGGTGAAAGGCCGACGGTCGATTGCATAAAAGTGACACTGCTTGCAACTCAATTCGTGGATGAAAACAAGTACAGCAACACGATAGATCTGATATTCCGCGACATCAACCCACGAGCAAGAAGCCGAAGCTCACATACACACTCTCTCCTTCTTCTCGCGTCATCTACAGACCATTACATGCAATCAGCTCGTGCTGCTGCTACTCGGCGCCTGCAAGCTGTGACATCATCTCTCACTCATTCCACGCCCAGCATTCAGCGAGCATTCAGCATGTCGCAAAAGACCCAGGAGCCCGTCATCAACAAGCTGTCGGATTTGCCCATTGACGAGGCAAGATGGATCACGCTCAAGAAGATTGAGTTTACCGACGAGACGGGCAAGGACCGCACCTGGGAGGTTGCCACGCGCAAGACGAGGGGCAAGGCTGGCGTCGACGCCGTGGCCATGGGCAACATTCTGCTGCACCCGTCCAAGCCCCCGTCCACCCTCATCGTCATCCAGTACCGCCCGCCTCTGGACGCATACACGGTGGAGTGGCCGGCCGGGCTCATTGACGCCAGCGAGACGGCCGAGCAGGCCGCCGTGCGCGAGTTCAAGGAGGAGACGGGCTACGACTGCAAGCTCCTGAGCATCAGCCCCGTCCAGGCCGCCGACCCGGGCATGAGCAATGCCAACATGCAAATGGCCATGGTCGAGGTCCAGCTCCAGGAAGGCGACGAGTTGCCCGAGCAGCGCCTCGAGGACGGCGAGCACATTCAGCGCGTCATCATTCCCCTGTCCGAGTTCTACGACCGCCTCGTTGCCTACTCCAAGCAGGACCGCATGATTGTCGCTGCCAAGCTCTTTCATTTTGCTCATGGCATGCACTTTGCACAGACGCAAAAGTATTTCTAGACATGATACACTTGAGAGTCCACGAAAGTTACAGTATACAATCATTGTCAAGCATGAGACAGACATCTACTAGACATTGATAGCCACACATTTCATGTCTGGCAAAACTCTTGAAAGTAATAGAATATCATCTAGACCAATCTGGGTATGAACCATGCTATCGCACTGTCTATACCAAGTCAAAGCCGCCTTACCTCTAATGACAAGGTCCTTTGTCCCTCTCCTTCCTTTCTACACCTTGACCATTGATTCACTTTGACTTTTCCTTAATTCCGAAAGTAACCGGAACAAATTCCAAGCCTTTGCCCTCTCAATCCTTTTACACCTTGGCCATTGTCCTCTTTCTGTCTCTAGATGCCTTGTTCTTAGCTTGGCATGTGCTGCAAATGATGATTCGCGCGTCTCCTCGTGGTTTAGAGCACTGTACACATTGAGCATTCTTGAGCTTCTGGCGATATCTTCTATTTCTAGTAGCATGGCATGACTCACAGGAAACGAACCTGGAGTTCATGCGTGGCCCGCCGCAGGTGACACACTTGCCTTCCATTTTCAGTCTGTCATAGCGGCGCATTTTGGTCGTGTCACCTTGATTGCTTGTTCCGGATACATCTTCCTGGCTTGAAGATGATGCGTGGATCATGGGTGGCAATTTGGCCAGAGACGTCTTGGCCAGGGACCGGCTGTCCAACGTGGGCAAAGGCGTCCGGTGGGACTTGTCGTCGGACGATGCTGCATTCCCAACGCTGTCCTCCCCTGCTTGGATCAGAACTAGGTCTTCGTCGTGGAATTCGGCGGCAGCGGCCTGCTCCCGACACCTGTCGCACGAATCTCGGCCCTCTGGGAAACTTTGCCTGACGAGCTCTACCACCTGGCTTGCTGTCAGTGCCAACGGGATCGTGCGCAGTAGGGCGCGGCACTTTTCATCATGGTGGTTACAAAGGCCTGTGTCTGTTCTTGTCAGGGCAACCCGGCTCATTAGCTCTGCAAGTTGTACGGGTGCCAATGTGACGGGTAAGCGAAGCAAGGCTGTACGAACCATGTCTAGAGACAGGTTTTCGTGCATCGTTGATTGATGAGACATGATGATAAAGTGGTGCTATTGGAGCTGTAGCAGAGAGGGACAGTGAGTTCTAGATGTGAGCTCCTTTCATCTGTGCAGATATTGGTGTTGAATAACATCTTATATAATCATGGAGTTGACAATATTCGATATAATTGTCAAAGACAATGGCCTTGTTCCTAGTTGACTCGTCATTTCAAAGTGACAATTTGGCAAGCCACATTGGGGAGAAAACGGTAAGGCTCAACATCACAGTTCATTGTTGCTAGGAAGCTCCATTATAGCACCCTGAAAATAATGATGCCGGATTAATTCCGGGTGATGCATGAGGAACGAAGAACGATAATTTGTCTATGTTGCTCAATTTTAGCTCGACTTTGTCATATACTGGAACAAGTAGCGATCTTGGTCTCACTGCGGCTGGACCAAAGGTAAAGTGTGTCGCTATACCAAAGTTCCAATGTTTGCTTAGAAGAAACAAAGTCAAAACTCGGCAAAGATCTACATTTGCAGAACGTATCCAAAGACACTACGAAGTTTAGTGGTTTTTCCCTTGCAATGTTGTTCTCATACCTCGAATTAAATTATCCCCTCATTGTGACATTAATCATACAGAGGATTGACCCTCCTTTCAAAGATCATAAGTCAACTACATGATGATTACATAAGATAATGATACACGCCACTCATTGGGGCAACTTTCTGGTATACAAGAATTAGAACATCATTGCTGAAAGCCACAATTTGGGCTAGAGAAGAGGGCCAGACTAATGGCTAGCTCATTTCCCGCGATGGCTATTCGAAACCGTAAATCTTCACCAAGCACAAATTTTGTAAAACTGGTGGTCAAGGTCGGCTTTCGTTTGGACTTGGTCGGAAGCTCGGGCCCAGCGACATAGGCAGTACACGAAAGGGGTGAGCCAGGGGAAGAATTGCTGCCATCCATGACTTGACACTGAAGTCTGTTGAACTCTTGGCTAGTACTCAAAGAAACGAGGTTCACGTTTAAGGGGTCGCTATATGCTGGACCAATCGCGAGAACGTCCTGGGCTGCTGTAGTAAGGTATCCCGTGGTTGGATCAAAATTGAAAAATTGCTGAATGGCGTTTCCGGAATTGTGAAAAAACATATCTGCACCGAGAAAAAAGTTTGTAAAAGGTGGCGACGTTATCTTGATGCAAAATGGAGTCGGTGCTGCTGGCGTAGTTGTAGTAGATGGTGCATCAGAGGTGCTCGTCCTGGTGATTAAACACTGAGATTAGCTAGCAAGTCATAGGTAGACTCCGAGTAGAGACGGGGTGGGTCTGGGGTGAGAAGTACCTAGAGGCTTACACGATTTCAATAGTTGTGATCGACGTAATCGTCTCGGAAGAAATTGTTGACGAGCTTGGGGTGATGTCTTCCGTCGATGAGACAATTGACTCGGAAGATGTCGAGGTAGTTTCGGTCTCAGAGGAAACAGTCGACGAAGCCGATGAAGGTATGCTTATCATAGGCGTAGAAGGGGGATCTGAAGGGTCCCAAATGCCAGGAGAAGTAGTGCTCGTTTCGGAAGGAAATATTGACGAGGATGCTGTGGGAGTCTCTTCGATTAATGTAGAGCCAGCCTCTGAAGATGTTACGGAGCTCTGTGCACCAGTCTCAGAAGGGGTGATGGACGAGATTGATGGACTGCTACTTGTAATGTCCGTAGGAGTGGCATCAGACGGGTTCAACATGACTGATGTGCTAGTCTCGGAGGAAGTCTCGGATAGGAATGTTGTAGGAATGCTCTCGACTGACGTGGGAAGAGACTCAAAGGAGTCCAGGGGACTTTGAGAAGCAGTCTCGGAAGCGACGGAAGACGGAATTGTGGTACTTGTCATGGATGTGACTGTAGGTTCCGAAGTGTTGAGAGCACACTCTGCTCCCGAACGGAGCACGAGCGTGACAGACTGCGACAGGTCCGATCCATCTTCGCGCAGCATGCTCAACTCTACAGGATCTGTGCCAGTGCCCGTAAATGGTCCGTAATTACTTTCGCCAGAATCTGCGGAGCACTGCAGCTCGAAAGCCGACATGACCGGTGAGTATCGGGGTGAGCATGTGACAAGAATAAAGTCGCCAGGTGCAGCATTCACAGCATCTGCAGTTTCAATACTGAAAGACACGAATTCCGCATCGGGCTCGGGACAGCCAGATATGGTCACGTAGGATCCGTCGGACGTGGACAATGCTCCGGTTATTGGATTGAGGGTGAACTTCACGGGGGAGCGGGAAGAAGTGCCTTTCGCTTCAAGGTACAGTCCATCCCCGAGTCCTTCAGATGTGACAAACTGCTTGTCAAGGGAGGAGTTGCGACCGTCGACCTGTAGGCAGAAACCAAAAAGTGGCGGTTGTGGAATTATCGATGGGGTAGCAGTGCTCGAAGCTGTGTCCGCTGAAACTGTGCTGGATGTCAAGTTACTGTACGGAGCGGTACTCGACGCAAAGGTACTTGACGGAAAGATACCCGAAAGTGCGGTGCTTAATGGTCCCGTACCCGATGGCGCAAAGCCAGTTGATGACGTAAAGTTGTTTAGCGACGGCAAGGTACTTGATGAAATGATAGACGATGAACTTGTAACTGAAATGATAGTCGATGGACTTGTAAATGCAGACGAAGGCTCAAATGACGACGCTACCATGGAGTCACTGCTAGATGAAGATGCCGTCATGGAGTCACTGCTAGTGATGGATTGATCTGGGTCGGGTACAATGACACCATTGACACATCGATTAGCTGTAGGCCAAAGTTAGTATGTAGAAACTCGAAATATTGGTCTAAGAAGGGCCTCAACTAACCTCGATACACGACAATTGAGATGGGTGAGCAGTCTACTGGAAGGTCGCTCTCTGCGTCTCTGAACGTAGCATAGACCACGCCATCCGAGCTCTGGCAAAATCCTGCTTCACCTCCAGAAAAGGTCTCATTCTGCCAGTGAAGGGTAGAGTTGATCACGACAAAGGTTCTAGAGATAGTGCCGCCCGAGGAGGGTACAAACTCTGTAAAGCTTGCATCGATATCTGCGCGAAGAGATCCTCCCTGGCCGGTAAGTTCTCCATCAACAATGGTAAACTCTTGCGCAGAGGCACAGCCTGAATCTGAACTGTCGGCGCCAATGAAGCCTCCGACTGGAGGTTCGCTCTCGGTGGGGGTCTGCCTGCGCAACCAACGCTTTCCAGGAGCGGGCGTCTGTACGGCTGGCTGTATTACTGGAGCGACTGTCAAGATTATGGGGCTATCACTGGTAGTTGATGCAGCAGAGGTTTCAGCGGAGGCCCCGGTTGGAATCAGAGTACTGGTGCTGGTAGTAGGATTGCTACCGGATGTTGTTGAAGTAACACCAGAGATCGTTGGATTGAGTATGCCATCTGCCGTCACAGTCACTGTCGTCGTGGGCACGGCCACTGTGGTGGTTGTAGGACCGGCGCCGATGCAGCTGCAGGCCGAGACATATTCCGATAGATCGTTGCACACTGCTCCGGCGTAAGGGGGGAATGGAGGGGGTGGACAGAGGCCTTGGTTGTCCTGGCTTTCTTGGCGGCGGGCGAGTCCAGTGGCAGTCGTGGTGCTAGACTGGACCGTAATAGTAGACGTTCTTTGACTGCACGTCAGTGATATTTGCAAGCAGCACACAGGGTGGATAGGTCTCACATGGTTGCAGGCGTGACAGTGACGGCTAACCACCGGGAGCAGTCAGCAACGCAGCCTGGGCCGCAATTTTCTAGTCCTAGAAGTTGATGTTAATTGACGTTCAGACACCCACTCGGCAATTTGGTTCTTACGTTCTAAGCAGCTGCTGTCGGAGCAAGCTGCCAATGCCAGGCCCAATAGACCTGGAAGCAACAAGGCCCATCTGTTTCGTACCATCTTACCTATTTCAAAGTTGTCGTAAAGTTGCCAAGGTCAAGAATCACCATCTAGAGGGAACATGGGCTTCAAATATGACTCTCGTCTATACAAGTTATACGTGATATTGTGCTAGAGTATTGATGTTAGTCATCCCTGGGCTTGTCTCAGTGTAATGCCTGGGAAAGTATGCGCAGCGGCAGACAATTATTTCGAGTGAAATTCATAGAGGCTGTTGACTAGAAGTTCCTCGCCTTGTTGCATAGTACTTGCATTCCCCGGGGCGAGAATTGTGGCAGGCCTCGAGGAATTCCTCCCAAGTCCTGAAGGATGGGCCAATAACGAGCCAGGCAAAACAATCAATTGCGTGCCCAAGATGAGACAGCCTGGCCTGGACCGAGATGGCCAAATTTGGGAGCACATTCCCATGCTCTGGATGCTGCAAGAAAAGAGAGAACATGGTTTCCATTGCAGAATCGTGAAATGACACTCTATCTGGTCCCTGCTCGATGATATCTAGGTGTTGAGAACCACGGTTGGCGCGACGGATGTGTTGATGTTTCGGCGCAAAAGGATGGCGGCGGACGGGGCCAGAGCTCAGCGCTCGCATTCCAAGCATTTCACTTTCTCCTGCGATCATAAATAAAGTTACACAGTCTGTAAGAGGGAATGACAGCTCAATCAATCTGTTTTGGTTTGGTCTCGTGAATTCGTTTCGCTGTGATCAACTGCGAGCTTCATCGAACGCGTTGTGCGCTGCTGATGAGAAACATATTGGGCGGGCGGCAGCAGCTGGCAGATGCCAGTGCAGTGGCACTACCGACCAGAGTGGTGGGCCTCCTTCAGCGAATGCCCAGACGTACATAGATGGGGATATTGAGAAAACTTCAACATACAGCCGCAACAACTGGGGGCTATCTAATTGTCTTTACCTACTTTTAAACTAATTGCATAAATTGAGCTGCTCCACCACGTGGGGGGGCCAGAGATACTTCTCGTTGACAACAACTCGTGTCGGACTCATGGCGCGTTGAACATCCCTGCAGCGTCGCATAAAGGCCCCAACTCCCAGCATAGATCATCATCCAGCAAATGCAAAATGCAGACAACCTCCACCCAAATCACGTCTGTTAGAGTTATTTGCGGAGAGTCTTAGCTATGTATAGTAACACCACGTGTCAGATTTCGCCTATTCCTGTACATTTTCGCTCACTGTCGAGTGCTTGGTAACGTTTGCTGGCGGTCAAAACGTCCGTGGGGATGTCCGGCGCTCTGCCACGTCCAATCTTACCCACCAACTCCCGGCCCGCGAGCAATACTGCGGACCTTATTCGGGGATCCGATGAAACAACGACGGGTCCGGACACATCGAGGTCGACATAAATATCGTAGCTGTAGACATTTCAAGATCATCCAATTCAACATGACTTATTAGACTAAAGAATATCCCCCCAAAAGCAATAGAAAAGAAGACAACATCAAAATACCGCCATCATGGTCAACGGAAACATTACCTTTGATGGTAGCTACCACCTACCCGTGATAACGACATCCAATGACAGACGCTGATATTTGCATAGACTACCTAGGTCTCCAGCAGTGCCTCGTCGAATGGGCCGATAGCTACGATAGCAAGGATTGGAGCAGATTGAGGAAATGTATCGCCCCCACGCTGAGGGTAGGTGCAATAATATCCGAATCATCCTGCAACCTCTACTTGCACTAATCTCTTCTTCCAATTTCAGATCGACTATCGTTCGTTCCTTGACAAACTGTGGGAAGCCATGCCCGCCGAAGAGTTCATCGCCATGATTTCAGACAAGGCCGTACTCGGCGACCCCCTGCTCATGACCCAACACTTTATCGGAGGCACAAAGTGGGAAAAGATTAGCGACACCGAGGTCGTCGGCGTCCACCAGCTGCGCGTCCCCCACCAGAGATACACGGACGAGACGCGGAGCACCGTCGCCGTCAAGGGCCACGCCCACAGCACAAACACCCACTGGTACCGCAAGGTCAATGGCGAGTGGAAGTTTGCTGGTCTTTGCCCCGAGATCCGATGGGGCGAGTTTGACTTTGACAAGGTGTTTGCCAGCGGCCGTGAGGCTTTTGGTACCGAGGATACCGCGGCTGAGGGTATTTCGGCCAAGCACCAGCAGCAGCAGCATGGCAGAGTGACTGTCTCTGCTGTCTGATCTGGCAGAGGTTGTGTACAATTATACAAGACATAATGCTGACGAAATGAATTATTGAACGTGCATAATGGCTTGTGAAATGGCCCCGAATATGTTGGTGGCATGATTGACAAACATTCCTTCCCGTTGTCCAACTGATGGTCTTGCTCACAAAAGCCATGGTTGTCCATTGATTCAAAAGTGAACTGAGCCATAGAGGTAAATCACAGTGATTCACAATGCTGCTCTGATGTCCAAAAACTTTCATTGTTCCTACCAAGCACTTACTCACGATATATTGAATTGTCATGGGTTTCAGATACTTATACCTAGGATAATACAAACGCAGACCTTGGCCGTTTCCTAGGTAGGCACTTTGTTTATTTGTGGGGAGATGCCAGAGAGCTGACTGGTTAACTTTATAACGATATCGTTATTATCTTAGCAGAAACTCTGCACTTTGGAATGTAAATATGGTCGCCGAGTAGTGTACTATTCTATAGATGGGTCCACCTTTGCGCCGATATAGTCTTTACCATAATGGCCCGAGCGCTAATATACAATTTCAATACAGTCACCTTTTTGATCCCACAGTATCACGACGATCATCTAGAAATGAGTTGACGATCAAGTACAATTCATTTGATTGTTCCTTTCTAAACTATGCGTTTACAGAGTATTGCGTAAAGGCACGACAGCCTCAAGCGGGTCATATCTTTTCACTTGCCTGACTTGGATTTTCAAATACAAACGACTGGGAGGGTTCTTGCTGCGGATTTCTTAACCCACACAACACACTCCGGGATCCAATCCATCGTGGCATTTTGTTCTCAAACACTTGCCACGGCTCATCCGGAGATTTTGTCACCACCATCAAATTTGATCCACTGCCACCACCCCTCACCTGCGCACTTCCTTTCCGAATCCCATCTCCATCTGCATTTCACTCGGACAGGATGCCGTTCATCACTGGCCAGCACCAACTCGGTGTCACGGTCCAAGTCAATGGACAGGATCTTCCCGAGTACACTCCTCTCTTTCAAGAGGGCAACTGGTGCATCGAGGGTGAACCCCACGAGGTTCCCGCCGGAGTGAAGTTGGAGTATCATCAAGTCACTCGCTTCATCGAGGGCCGACCTGGACAGAAGCTGGCAGTCAAGATCGAACGACCCAGGGGTTTTGTCCACCGCGGCCACCATGTTGGATATTTCATCGAGATTGACGGCCAGCCAGAGTGCTTTGTGCACGAGCGAGGTTGGAACACTGGACGCTCGTTCAAGAAGGTCATGGATGGTATCCACTGGCGCGGCACTGTCGGCGGCCCATTTACTCGCCGCGAGTTCCAGTTCAGTGATCTTACCAATGGTATGCTTGCCTCTTAGATATGTTGTCACCCCTCCCAAACTGACAGTCGACAGGTCCCGGAAATCGGGGCAAAGATGAGGAGGGGATCGAAAACATGGGCACGATCAAAGTTCAGGCCTTCCACATGGAGAAATCCATCATGATGGAGCCCGGTACGGAGTACCTGGTCTCGGACCGTGATCTGTACTACGTCGATCAGCTCTCTGACCGAACCCTTCGTAGTGATCGACAAACTCTTCAGGACACGTGAGTCTGTTCCGCTTTCTTCTCTCCCCACTACTTGCGCATCAAGGTACTGACTCAACCTGACACGCAGTTACAGAGAGATGCTCGTTGAGGGCCTCAACGTTCCCTGGATCTCTGACCGCTACATTGACACCCTGCCAGACAGGCGCTCGCGTCTGGCCATCTCGCAGCCGTTCGCAACTTTCAAGTTTCGATACCGAACCAAAGGTAAGACTGCACCGCAAAGCCCATGTATCTACATTGAGCGGCAACAATCTGACACGAGACCGAATTCGCAGAGGCTCTGGAGAAGAAGGAATTCGTCATTGGAGGGCACTCTAGAGTCGCTTACGACCAGGGTCCCTACCTCAACGAGGAGTAAAGACCTCGCCGAGAGCATTTTCAGCCTCAATGACAGCTTCAACCGCCATCAACAACAACCCGACCCGCTTGTGACCCTTTCCCGTTCGTGATTTCGACTAGAGAGCCAAAGCTCTTGAAAGTTTCTTTTGCCTTTCTGCATTCGGCAAGAGAGCGACGGCCCTTGAAGAGTTCCTCTGCCATCCTGATTTCGACTAGAGAATTATCGTTCTCAAAAGGCTCCGCCCTAATACTCTTCATCCCAAGAAGCCATGTTTTCTGATTTCCTCTTCCCTGAGGAACTCGTCTCAGCAAGAACACAACTCTTTTCGGAAGCTTCGCCGTCAATGATAAAGAGTGTATAAAAGTCAGCAGTTCTTGAATGCTATTTCTAGTCTATTCTACTGCCGAACTGTGGGTTTCTGGACAGCTCAACATGAATCCTCGAGCATGCACTGTATGTAAGCAACGGGTCAATAGATAGTAATCACAAGCGGGTATAAAATCAAATTGTCGTTGAAATTTGTGTCGTATTGTGCCATGGCTCTTCTGCCACTCCTTCTGAAGGTCGTGGCCGCTGTTCTCACGTTGAACTTGTCATTTCGAGTGTTTCTGTCGGTCTGGCAATGTCTTTGGGAGACGCAGAATATGACTCGAACTTGTGAGAAGAGAGCTTGTAGGCGTTCTTAACCACTCCGGTCAAGGAAAGCGACGAGGGGTACACTTGCCAAACAATTGCTTCAGAAGCCTTTCGCCGGTCGCGACTTTGCGGAATACGAACCGACATTCCATGTCTGACCCTATGCCCAGTCTGGCTGGTACGAGGCAGGCATAGAAGTACCGTTGCGACTCGATGTAGCCTTTGATTCCAACTTGGAGCAGACCTGACTTGTCTCGGCTTCGGCTTCTGGGTCCGTCATTCCCATGGCAGGTCAGCTTGTACGCTGATGAAAACGCTCCCACAATTGCCGTTGCTGAGAGTGTCAGATTTCACTAGCCAAAGTTTAGATACAAGAGCCAGGTTTGCGTCACGGCTGATGGCCAAGGATATTCTATAATCAGCTCTGATATCTGCTCAGGCTATCGACTACCAGCTTCTCGGTCTCGCATCTCGAGTCGAGCCACCTATCATCGAAGCCTGTTGCTTGTTGGCTGGGATCGCCACAGAGATGCATAAATCACACCGGCAGGTCCGCCACCAGGTTGCGTGGGCCTATTAAACCACCGATCACACCTAGTCGTGCATGGTCTATTGGAGAGGTGACGTTTCTGACACGACTGTACACCGTGGAAGGATCATCCTGGGGACTGTCTTTGGAGTTGATTTCTCCGCGATATTTCCCATGCTTTTTTGACGGTACTTTGCGAAAGAGACGACGGGACGATAGTTGATAACTTCATGATGGACTGCCCCGTGCTGAATCGTGTCGGGTCGCTCGAAACAGGATCGGCATAGTCAAGTCCCGTTGACCGCCCAAAAGTGGCCATCAAGGTTCCCAAAACTGCTGGCGCCAAGTGTTCCACGGCCATCAAGGGACTTTCGAGACTCAACAACAAAATAGTATATATGACCAGGTTGGAATTCAAAAGATTTCTCAACTTGTACTCTTGCATTTCGCTTCGGTTCATGGCCCCAACCATAACGCAAGGGGCAGCCGCATACATTTGCATGATCGATACAGGGCCCCGGGGCTCTCGTTCTCACACCGGTTCACACGGGCGCACTGCGGGAATATTCCAGGCCGCCATGTTCTCCGCACCAGCAATAGGCGACTGAGCCAAACGAGGCTCTCTTCCCCTCCGACCAATGGGGAAATACTCGTCTCGGTTCGACATGCGAAGATGCTTGGCATCTGCCCGGCCTTGCAACGTCTGCTTGTTGTCCCACGACAGGCCTTTCAGATTTGCCGTGGTCAAGAGACTCATGTCGTGACGGCCGAGCAGGAATGCCCTCTCTTGCACGTGCCGCGAGCTCCCGGAGAATTCCTAGCCACCTGCAGACAGCCTGATATTCCTCAGGGAAACTCTTTTGGGTTTCCCGGAGGCTCCATAACATGAGATATAAACACGTTGCAGCGCCAAGGATAGTATCATGTGTTGTCCAAGGAGTGCATGCTATTCGCTCAAGCTATAGGAATATGGAGGAGTGGAACCCCCGATACTGGCCGGCTCGATTCGCTAGTCGACGTGGTTACGACTACTTTTGGCATAGCCAACCACACTTCCCATCCTTTTCTCGAAACATGGACAACCATTACCATCCAACTTGCGGCCAGATCCGTCCTCCCATATCTGCGACCATACGACGCAACATCCGAAAAAGCCTCCAAGTGATCGGCACGGTCCAGTGATTCGTCCAGGTACCCCACGTTCTTACCATATTCCATGACCGAGACGAGCGAGGCAAGGGAGAGGAGGCGAATGTCAGACTGGGCGTTTGGCTCGGCAAGAGATCATTGGATCGGTTGAGAATAATAACAGGCTCGATTGGGAACACAAAGTGCGGGGAATTGCGAGTCGAACCAGCTGTTTGGGACTTGGCGAGTGAGCCTCGATGCCCTGGTGGACGAGAAACCTATCAATCCCGTGTTGGAGGATGAGATTCCAGCCGACCTCCCAGGACTACGGGATGGAGGGAGGGAGGGAGGGGTAGACAACCAGATGGAAAAGTATAAAAGGCGATCGATTCTCCTCGAAATTTCATTTTCGAATCATCCAGATTGCACAAATTAAAGAATATCACATTTCAGAAACATCGACTTTTTGCTTTCCCAAGCCAAACCAATCATAGCCAATATGCCTTCCTGGTACGACACCACCCAAATGATATTGAATCAATCATGATATATTCAAACTTCAGGAACTGACACCTTTGGGAACTGCAGCAGTTGCACATCTTGCTCATGCTCCGGCAGCTGTTCCGGCTGTTCGTGCAGCAGCTGCGGCGTACGTTGACTCTCATCACCCAAGTAAAAGAATCATGACTGACTTGATGATATCTAGCACTAAATGGCCTACGATGACACAGCCAGAGTCTATATCTCAGCCAAATACCATATGGGCCAAGCCTGCAGTGAACTCGTATAACGAGCTTAATGGTTACTCTTGTTTCTTGAGAGACTGTCTTGTGATTTTTGATGGGAACGCCTCTGCGGGTTGCTATTGTTTACCAGGACAACGATGCCTTTTGAGTTTTGATTCACTAGTCCTTCATTGCAAGTAGTGCTAGCATACACAGGAAACACGCTGTTTACATAAATTTGCTGAGTCTTGTCCTGTGTAAATCCTGCCGACTCAAGTCTTAGTTGCTGTCCACCATATGCCAATAATACCAATGTAGGCTTGGCAAGTCTGTATACACTCTTGGCCGGAGCCAAATATGCGGGCCGGACAATCTCACGGTTGCTGGAAGAGGCGATTCGCACCAAGGAAAGATGCCTACATATTAGATCTTCCAAGGCATAATGGAATATTTACTCCTTGAAGCATTGATATACCGAATCCTCTTGTTTCTTGGAGTCCTTGTTTCCTTTCAATTCCACAGTCTTTTTACGTTCTTAACTCCATAACGACCAAGCGGTCTCTATGCACGATGTGCATTAGTTTCACACGTGCATCGAGGCAAGCAGTCTGGTTGCTCGTGTAATCAATCTAGCAAAGCAGCTGAACATATTAGGCTCGCATGGAACCAGCAACCAATACGACACACTTTGATTTCTAGCATGACTGAACGCTGATAATCCCACCGCAGGCTCGTTTTCGAAGCACCCAGGGAGCCCATAAAGTATCTCACGTTTCCGAAATCCAAACCCAACAGTATCAAAGGTGTTGCAGCATGTACAGCTCAGAGGCACATGTCAGCGCTAGTGCTTGGACTGCGCCACGACTGTTTTCTTGGCCGACTCGAGGATAGCTTGTTTTTATGCTTATTTCTGTAGTCACGACTCAAGCCTCTTCATTGATGGTCGCCATCAAAGTAATGGCACTACACTGCTTTCATCAAGATCCTCGTTGGGTGCCCGTGCGATCCTTGAGGAGATCAAGTCATAGTGAGGAGATTGCGGGAACTATTGCCGCACAGTTGATCAGGTCTAGACTCACATATCTGGGGGTTACATCTGCACTTTTGGGGGAGTCATCATCTTTGAAAAGGGGTGGCCCCAGAACACGATGTCAGATTCGTGTTGAAAGATGCCAAAAACAGAAATTTCTCTCAGCGTCCAATGCCCAGACTTTCAGTCTGCGGCACAGTAAACAAAATTGTCACGCTGTGACACGGCGAGGGAGAGCTAGGACTAGGGCGACGACCGACCCGAGTCCTTAGTGACTCAATTTCCGAGAAACTGCTTGGCTACCAAGGGGGTTTTCAGCCAGACGGTGATGTTATATTAATTGCAATGGAGTTTGTTTTCTGACGATTATTCGGTTCCTCGTCCTTCTTCAAGTCAAGTCGTTCACTAACATCTCTACGCAACCAAACTCTCTCGTTTTCTCTCTCGTTCTTGCGCGCGTCTCAACCTCAAACAGTCTCTAGATTTCTCAACCAGGCGCAAACTAATACCAAAGAAAACATCATGTACACATCAACCCTTACGGTCCTACTCCTGGTGGCCGCACGCAGCGTCTACGCCGAGGGATGCGCGACGCACACGTACGGCAGCTGCGCCGACGGCATCGTGCACTGGTACGACCCCGACGACGGGCAGATCTGCGACCCGCTCGACTGCGGCGGCGGCCGGGCGCCCGTCAAGACCACGGTGCCGTGCTGCGCGGCCTACGTGGGCACCGCCTCGTGCAACACCGAGCCGTCGTACATGCCGTGCTTTACCGCACGGAGCACCTCCTCCTCTCCCATCTCCACGGCCCAGGATACTCAAGTTACCACTACTACCACTACCAACGCCGCCGTAACCACCACGGCTGCAAATGAGAGCGGTAGTGGAAGTCAAGCTACCGTGGCGCCTACAGGTAGCAGCGGCAGCGGCAGCGATGTCACGCCCACGGTAACGACGGCTGCGACAAGCACGGTGACGAATGGTGGGAGCTTGACCACTTCCAGCACGGACAGCTCGTCGGTGAGCGTGGCGACGGGTGCGGCCGGCCATGTACACCACAACCCGTTCATGGCCCTGGTTGGTGCAGCATTTGGTGTTGCATTATTGTAGACATGGAGAAAGGTGTCCTATTGTCTTGACGATTGGTGATGCCTCTAGGATGATATACGATAATTCTAATGCATAATTATTTAACAGCTATATGGGCATAGGATCTCTTGATGTGCACCTTGTGTCCCTGGGAATACTTGACATGGCGTGTAAAGCAAAAGCACAAAAGTGGTGGGACCAAGAGCATGGATGGTACTTTAAAAAGTCTGACGTACGACAGTGCAAGAGATTATTTCGCTTTGGCGTTGGACCTGTGATCGCCAGGCAGGTCAGCTTACATTCATGTTGTAGTTCATGGTTGTATGATAATTTGGTGCTCCCTGGATTCAACCATCAACTACGCTTAGATATAATTGTCAGACATTCACATGGCGAAAGGAACTATGGTGAAATGTTGTAATATGCTCTCATTATTGCATCAGCCAAAAATAGGCGGCCTCTTTTGCAACTACTGCATTAGACTAGGACTTGCAACCTAAATGCTATCCAGGTCCTGGGGGTATATGTAGACAAGTGACTCTCCTCCTGAAACCATCATCATGAACCAAACTTTTTAATATTCTCTCTTTCATCCAAACGTCATCAATAGGTCATCATTATTTTTTGTTGCGTCTTCTTAAGATGTTTAGGACATCTCAACGTCCTCGTCATCGCTGTCGAGGTCGACGTCGCTGTCAATCTCGATCTCGTCGGCGAGGAAGTAGTTGATGGCGTCGGGGAAGATGTCATCGGCAATGTTGAGGGCAATCTCGTGGCCGGGGGCAAAGGTCTCGACATCCTCCTCGGCAAACTCGTAGTCGCCGTCCTCGTCGTCGCTCTCCTCGGCGTCGTCCTGGCCAGCGAGGGCAGCGGCGCGCTTGGCGCGGACCTCGGCGGTGGACTCGGCGTTCTCGGCGGCGCTGATCCAGCGGCCGCGGTAGGAGAAGAAGTTGAAGAAGCTGGTGGCGCCAGCAATCTCGGCCTCCTCGCTGTACTCCTTCTCGAGGAGGTTGGCAAGGGCCTTGTACTCAGGCAGGGCGCGGGCGGCGGCGTCGCGCTTCTTCTGGAGCTCACCGGCAAAGACGCCGTCGAGCTGGCCAGCGTTCTTCTGGGCGACCCAGAGGGCGTAGGCAGCGTCGGTCAGACCGTTGGTGATGTCCTTGCCGGGCTTCCAGTTGATCTTGATGGGGTCCGAGACCAGGCTGGAGGAGCCGTCCTTGCCGCGGCGCCAGTAGAAGTTCTTGGCCAGGACCGAGTCGGCGAACCACTCGTTGGACTTGAAGTGGAAGGCAATGCCGACGCTGCGGGGCTCGCCAAAGTGCTCGACGCCGCTGTCGGTGGCCTTGGCGCCGGCGGGGATCTCGGGGCGGGAGACCTCAATGTGGGTGAGGGCGCTGGCAAAGATCTCAGAGTCCTTGTTGGTGATGGCACCCTCGAGCTCGATGGAGGCGTTGTCGAGAACGGTGGCCCAGAAGCCGGGGATCTTCTCGATGGTCTTTTGGCGCTGAGCAAAGATGGGGACGTGCTTCAACCATCTCTGAGCAGTGATCTCGTTGTTGACATCGGCAGCGGCAGCATCGAGAAGCTGGAGCTCCTTGATGGCCTGGGGGTCGATCTCGAAAGACTCAGCCATTGTGATGTGTTTGTGTGGAAGAGGAGGAAATGTGGTATGGAAAGAGGGGTATCTTTAAGAAAGAGAGAGGAGAGATGGTAGAGAGAGAGAGTGTAGAGATGTGAGAATGGGAGGGAAAAGATTGTTGACAAGTCTGTAGGCGAGGTGAGAGAGTGCCCGACTTTTATGTTGACAATCCGTTGCCTAGACACTACGGCCCAACGAGAGAGGGAAAAAAAAATTTGTGAGAGTAATTGGCTTGAAGTCCACCGCCTCTTGTTGTTGGTCAGTATTAGGCGGCGTTTTCTCTGCCTACTCCCACTCCCGGCTCCATTTTCCCATTCATGCTGCCGCTGCTGCTGCCACTGCTGCTGAGGAGACGAATATGCTCTGTTACCTAGTCGGGCAGGGAAGAAAAAAAAAATCTTTTACCCCACTATTGCGATAGATTATGTGCGAATCAGGCAAGGACATGAGTGATTAGTGGAGTTGCAATTGGCCGTCTATTCTGTAGTTGTGCCAAGTTTTCTTTCTTATGCGTCCAATTTTATTTTCAATTTTTTCTTTCCTCCCTCCCATCTCCATTCTGACTCCTCTTTGTTGCCTCCTCTGATGCAATTGTCGAAGCGCGCTGAATCCCATCGTCTAACATGACTGGGGTTCATCTTTGTTTGGACCCAGCTAAAAATTCAGGACCCCGCGACGAACATTTGAAAGCGGGGCAGGGGTCCTAGTATTTCATGGCAATGGGGCCCTCTATGCTAGCTAACCTAGTAAGGATGTGTCATGTTGCCAATTGTAAACTTGTACCTTGATACTAAGGAATAAGATTTTTTTCCCTTCTTCTCTCCAGTTGTTTACTTCAGAACTTTTGTCTTTTGATTTCTCGCTCGTTCCAGACCCTCCGTGGAACTTCTGCAGGCAGAGACACGACGACGAAAGCGACCCGCCATAACACGTTTATCAGTGGAGAATCGGGTTGCCTCTGGCGTTCAATGGATGACAGAGATCCTGCATCCTGCACAACATCATTACAAGGATTTACTTACTATGAACTACTAATGCATTATTCGGTTATCGGGCGGCTTACCTGCTTTCCTCTTGTTGGCACCATAACGTTCTTCGCACAATCCTCGCATCCTCGTGGCTGCCACGAGATCCAGTCTCATCATATCATAGCAGTAATTCTCATATTGGTGGTTTCAATACACTGTCATACGAAACGTTTTCATTTCTTTGGGACCCTGTGACTGGAAGACTACCTCTAGAATGGGTATTCCGGTAATACTCGCTAAACCATCCGCAACCATAATCAGATAGACTTTGGAAGTCTTTTCTCCATGTGCTTCAACGCCACGCAGATCTCATGGACCTCGAGTCCATCGTGTCCGTACCTTCCTTCCAACTCTTGAAGCAGGAACAGTGGGTAGGTGGTGATCATGAGCCACAGATACTCACTCAGCGACCTGAAAACACACGGCTTTAGACCTCACCATCCTGGTAGATGACGACGTCGTCATCGTCGTCGCCCACGATGCTATTCTTGTCGTCCTCCTCCTTGATATGAACAGTGCGCTGATCGTCGATAAGCTGGGCATTGATGGCAAGATCAAAGTCCTTGTCGTCCTCGTCATCGGGGACATCGGCGTCCATGGTGGCACCTCGCTGTCCGTTACCGTTACCATTCTTGGTTGCCTTGGCGACGCTCTTGCGAGGCTTCTTGCTGGGAGTGGCTTGGTTCTCACTGCCGACGGCGGCGGCGGCGGCACCGCGCTTGGTGGGCGTCTTGGTGGGCGTCTTGGTGGGCGTGGCAATGCCGGCGTTGGCCATGAGCTTCTTCTTGGCCGGGCCCCAGCAGGCGCTGGCAGTGGCAGCGTTCTTGAAGCCGGCCAGGTCGGCAAGCTTCTTGAAGTTGATCTGCACATTTAACAATGATTAGCAAATACTCACAGAGCGCGTAATGGAGAGGACAAGCAAGTGGTGAGTGTATTGCTGACGTACCTTGGGCTCAACTTCGAAACACTGCCAAACGAGACCAGCAAGTTCGGTCTCACGAGCAGTAAGGACGGGCTTCTTGGGGGATGCCATGTTGATATGCTGCTGTGATGTCGTGATGATGTGTTGCGATGTGATTTGCGATTGGTGCTGGTGGGGTAGTGAATGCAAGCGAGATGTAGGGGGGGTTGAAACCAGAGTGAGGGACTTTGGAAGTAATGTGAAAAAAGGTTGATTGTGACTTGAAGACCAGAGTGACGAACTTTGGATATGGCAACTGCAGAGTCAATGCTGCAATGGCGGAACGAAGCTGGTTGCTGGTGAATTGAGTGAAGGTACAGAAATGGGATTGTCGCGCTTCGTCTTTTTATTGCCTCCAGTTCTCTGGATTCCTTGTTTGGCAGGCACTTGAAAATTGCATTCACAACTTGAAGTCGGTGATGCGGGGGCAACGGTCACTTTTGGCTAGAAGTGACTGCCGATACGTGATGCAGGGGGGGATGGTTACTTTGGGCAGTGAATGAACATTAGAAAAAAAAGCAATTACACGAGGGGGTCAGGACAATGAGTCAAATGTGACGGAGGACGAGTGAGGTCAACTTTCGGAATTCTTGGGTCTGCCACAATAACTTGAGATGCCGAGTACGAAAAACGTTCCTGCTTATTATTCGTTCTCTTAACAACCAGTTGATGTATTCTCAAGTCCGAGAACTGCTCCTGTTCAAAATCGTGATTGTCCATTCCACTCTGATTGTTGGAGCACTTTGATATTTTCGCCAATTATCGTCCATCCAGTCTTTGACATTCTTCAGTCCTCCAAAATGGGACAAATGAATGTCCTCAAAGTCAACCAGGTCAATTCAATGATTACGTTGAATCCCGGGATGAGATGACAACTTGAAGAAACTGTAGGTCCATCAAGTGAGAATGCACCCTCTTATACTTTCGCAATGCGTGAAAGCTCAAGAAGACCGAGAAACTGACAATGGGACGGGCCATGACGTGCTTTTGCTAGGTCAACAATTGACAAAGAGGAAGTATCAGCACATATTCGCTTTCAGCCTTGCAGACGCTATGGCCGAAGTTGGCGAGCAATCTCACGTCGAACACCAACCTGAGGACTTGGGCCAATCAGCATACAGACCATCTCCAATGATTTCTAGAGAGAAGATACACTGATGAAACATCAAACCCCTCGCCTCCGTTGTGCTGGCGTTTGGTTTTACTTATCACGCATTGCACTTAAGGTGTCAATACAATGATATTCTAGCCCGGCTGTTCCCGAAGCCAAGCGGGATGCTTACGGAATATAGTCTGACATAATCTATACAATAGGACTGTACTTTGTACACTCGGTGGGGCATATTAAGCTCTGTAAACAGAGCTACTGATTGATGATTAAACATTTTAGTAGCTAAAAGTTCGCCTCTCTACGGTGCACCAAGGCACTATCTTGATGTTCCGACCCTTGCAATTTAACTTGCCTACCTACTAAATCGCATGCGAGGGTAACTTGCAGGTTTTGGCCGCCGCTGGAAGATCAATTCTATCAATCAAGAGCGTCTGAATCTCCAAAGGTTACTGATTTTGTTGGCTACCATGCGACTGAAGCTACTAATCCGGCAACGTTTAGACTAACCTAGATCGGTCAATTACCGTCTTCTCCCGTGCGGATTTGTCAACACAGCCAACATTGTGTCACCGGCCTGAGTTCGTATTGTCTTGGGCACGACAACAAACTGTGTACGATAAAGTCAAAAAGATGCTATCGCAAGGCTGGCCTCGTAGCTACTCGCTGCTTGTCCAAAGTATATGAAGTAGTGCAACCCTCACACTTGACAAGGCCGTCTTGCTCAGAAGCCATCACTCACTCCGAGTAAACACACTTCAATCAACCCAAACATGGCCGAGACAACCCAAAGCCACGCCTTTCCATCCGGATCCGTGGCCAAGTTGAGCATCATCGAGACGAAAGCCAGGATTGGAAACATTCCCATTTCTGCTTTCTTTGGACCACCACTCGACGGCTACGAGCGCCTGGCACTCATGCCTGCATGGTCTTTTCTTGTTGAAAGTTCAACGGGGAGAAGGATTGTCTTTGACCTGGCCATGAATAACAACCCGGAAACGGTCACACCAGGGGTAGAGAAGGAGATTGCTAGCGTGGAAGCGACTGTAGAGATTCCCAAGACCGTGGCTCAAGTACTGAGTGAAGGGGGCGTCTCTCTCAAATCCATTGAGAGCATCGTCTGGAGGTGAGTAACAGACTGCCATGACTCGACAGTTGATCTATAAGACATCACGGTGCGAAATTGTATCGCTAACGACGAGGAGCCATTGGCATATTGACCATGTTGGTGATCCTTCTACCTTTCCCGATACCCCCGAGATTGTAGTTGGTCCCGGCGCAAAGGAAGCTATCCTACCCACCTACCCTGAGAATGAGGACTCTCAGTTCCACGAGAAAATGATGAAGTAAGCCAACTAAGCCGATTCGCGCCTGGAAACACCGTTCATGCTAATCTCATGCCATGCAGAGGCAAAACCCTACGCGAAGTCGTCTTTGACGGGTCACTCAAGTTTTACGACTTCGACGCTGTCGACTTTTTCGGCGATGGCTCCTTTTACCTCATTGACCTGCCCGGCCACGCTCTGGGCCACATTGGTGGCGTCGTACGCACAACCACGAACCCCGACACCTTTGCCGTGCTGAGCGGCGACCTCTACCACATTGCCGGCGAGCTGCGGCCCAATGTGCAGAAGCCCCTGCCGGCACACATATCGCTTGCTCCACCGCGCGGGAATACAGACGCGAAGGAGTCGACTGTATATCCCCGCTCTGCCTTGGAGAGACTACAAACAGCGCGTGGCCGCGACGTCGATGAGCCCTTCTTTGAAGTGGTGTCTGCCGTGGCACACGATGCTGCTCTCGCGAATGAGATGCTCAAGAAAGCGCAGATTCCAGATGCTCTAGAAAATATCCTATTTCTGGCAGCTCATGATGACGCGCTGATTGATGTGGCCAATTTCTTCCCAGACACTGCCAACAACTGGAAAGAACTTGGTTGGAAGAAAAGGCTTGAATGGGCGTTTTTGACTCATTTCGCACCATCGATTCAGAGCCAAGTAGGGGCTTAGATGGTGGCTTACAGACTCATCACTGCTCACGGGATAACCAAAGTACTCAACTCGATCGATTATACAACATGACTCCATAGATATTAATGACTCCGGGCTCCAAATAGATAACCATCAGTGATGAAACCTAAACACAAACGTCACAAGTTCGCCATTGATGAATCGTGAAACTTTATGGTCTGAACCCTCCCGTACGATCTCTAAAGAATCCATTGGGATCGACCTGCTCCGCCACAGTCTTTGCAAACTCTGCATTTTCCGGCTTGAGTCTGCCAAAGTAGTCCTGGCGGAAGAAGCCATAGTTCATAAAGACGGGCAAATATGTCTCTGGCAATTTACCCGCACTTGTCCATTCCAAGACTCTGTCGCGAACACCCGTGTAGGTCGCTTCCAGCGTATCTGCCATCTTGTCATAGTCGGACTGCAACGTAAAGCTATAGTTCACTACAAGTATTCTTGGTTAGCTGCCGCCTCTCCAAGGGTCTTGCGACAAGACAAATCCATGAGATACTTACTTTCAATAATCATCTTGTCCACATCGTCATCGCAATCAATGAGGTCAACGCTCCTCTCCTTGGCAGCTGTGGCGATACGCTTGGGAAAGGGCTGATAGGCAATTGATGCGACGATACCCGGCTCGAGCTGGACACTGCCCGAAATGTTGCGCCAGTGGGCGTGCAGCTCGTCCATAAAGTCGCCATTCTCCAAAGAAGGGAGAGGAATCGTCTCGGTGCCAATGTCCACGACCGACGCCTTGACAATGACCCAGTTGCTGCCGCCAATCAGCTCCGAGTACGTCTGCGTCCGCAACGTGTTCAGCGTGGGTCCCGCATCGGTAAAGTTCTTGAACGTCTCCTCGGGGGGCACGGCGCCGTCGTAAAAGATGAAGAGTATCCACGAGTCAATCGCATTGGCAGTGGACCGCTCGGCCGTCACAATGACGGCCGCCTTGTCGTCATCATTGTACTCGGTAAAGTCGCGCACGGCCTTGAGCAACGTCGCGTCTGTCTCGGGGGTCCTGAGAAAGACCAAGTTGCCGCCGTAGACATCGCCCTGCCGGTATGTCTGCAGCACGTAGGTTGTGACAATGCCAAAATTGTTGCCGCCGCCCTTGAGCGCCTTGTACAGATCGGGGTTTTGCGTCTCGGACACGGTGGTGACGGTACCGTTGGCGAGGACAATCTCGTACTCGATGACCGACGAGGCAGCCCACCCATATTGGGCAGACATGTAGGAGAGGCCACCACCGAGGACTAGGCCACCGACACCAGTGTTTCCAATCCGCCCTCCGACAAAGGTCCAACCGGTTCCTTGCAGCTGAGCAGCAATCTCATCCAGACGGATACCAGGTCCGACCCTTGCAATGCCGGTATCAATGTCAAGAAGGACCTGGTCCATCCTCTGAGTTGAAATCAGAGGACCGCCTTCAATGCTGGAGAAGTAGTTGTTGGGATTATGACCCCCAGACTTGATGGCAAAGCTCTCATCATTGTCATTCAGTACCTTGATGACTGTGGCCACCTCTTCGGCGGACTTGGGAAAGATGATGCAGGTTGGGAGGAGTGAGGCACATGAGGAGGACCAGTAGTCTGCCTGCTCCGTGATATAGTCCAAGGACACAGGACTATCTACCTCGATGGAAGAGATGAGTTGAACGGTGGAACAAGTATCTGCAGTGGCCAAAGCCGCGGCGAGGGCGCCCAGCAAAATCCGAGAAGCGTACATTATACTGTGCGTATTGAGAGCATTGACTGATGAAGCCGTAATCAAAGGAACGGCACAATACCCTCATGATTTATAGACGTTCTCATCTGCACAAACCCATTGTCGTTGACATCGCTTAAACCAACATGACTTACAAGCATCACCAAGGTATTGAAGCTTGCCAAGACAATCCGTAGCAGGCCTCAATGTAAGCTGAAATTTATTGACTGCAGGTCCAGGGCTGGAATGGGAAAGATCGACGTCATGAGCTAAGATAACAAAGACTGAATCGAGACGAATCATTATATGAACTTTCTTATAAAGGAAGCCAGAAACGATTTGATTCGAGGAATCCGGGCCCAACGGCGCTGCAGAAGCCCATTTCCAACGTTGGCTCGGTCGCGTGGCGTGACCAGGGGTGTAGCAAAAAGTCCATGTAAGATTCTCCAATCATCTTGAGTCGTCAGTTGATATGCGGAAAGGGTTACAGCGAGGTCGTCAGCACAATTGCCAAAGATAGCCCTGCAATGAGACTTTTGCCGTCCAAATCGGGAAACACTGGTCTGACCAACGCCGCCGGATCTATTGCTGCAACCCTACCCTCATTTAGGCTGCGGTTGTGGAGGCTGAATATTGGCTCGAGTCACACATAGGCCCTTTGCACAGGAGCGCCGTTGACGATGTTGTTTGGTGTTTTCAATAGTCTCATGTAGGTCAGAGGCAAGGGTCCACGATTCAAGCATTTCGCTCTCTTTCCATTACTGTTTGTCTTCCGCCTCCGACGTCATTTTTAGAAGCGATGTCCGAAAGGGATACTTCTCGGCCGGCACTTCTAAACAGTCTGTCGTGTGACCAGACACGGCTTGAATCTTTGAGAAAACTGTGAAATTAATCACATCGAGTCATTGAAGATCCATTTGATATATGAACACTTGAAAGCCTTTGGTAAAACCGGCCTGGCGCCTTGAAGTCACATGTAATCGAGTGCTGCCACAAACTCAGACATAAACGAAAGGACTCGATTGAGATACTGAGCTTGATCGTAATGAAACATTTAGTTCAAATTGAGGCCTTACTCACTTTTGCATCTCGATGCAGCGGATTTGGACGTGAGCTTACGCAGCCATCCTAATGGGGGCGTCTGATTGCCGGGATTGCATATTCGCTTGGCTGGCTGCATCCCTCGATAGTACGGCTTGGGTGAAAGCAGTCTCAGAGAATGCGTTCCGCTTATCTGCACCCATCAACATCCTGGACATCGCATCCAACACGACTCGTACGAGTGAGCCCAAGTCATATGGAAAGATGTTCTGCTCCAAGGGGGCCGCAAAGCGCCCAATGCCGGGCTCTCATGCAGCTGCACTTGGGTCTATCACATCAGCGTGTAGCGAACCGCCGTGGCGGGTCATCCGTTGTCCGCTAGACTGTCGTCCCAAAGAAAATCAGTATCAAGCTTCCGGTCCATCTTTCTTAATGGGAGAGGTGTTGAGAAAGGATGTTGTTCTCTGCAAATGTGGACTGCCGTAGATTAAATGCGCAACGGCCCGAGGGGTCAATAGCCGCCCTTCACAATGTCGATGATAGTGGAAAGGAAGCTTATTCAACTTCCGCCTCAATCCACAGCGACCGAGCAATCGGTGTCCGTCCCAGTCCTTAAGACGACGATCCCGCCTTGACCATAGCGCTGCCAAGCACTTTGTCCAGCCATCAGCCGTCTGGCGCTACCAAGACGGCGGGACAGCTCAACGGCCCTTTCATGTCATCATTGCGCCCTCACAGAGTTTCTCGCTGGTTACTCCGTATCCACAAATAGGATTGCTCAAAGAGAGGCAGGTATGCGATCAGCACGCGTTGCTGCAAGCGACGAAACCGAGGACCCTCCTGTGAGTGGGTACGAGGTTGGTAAACTCATCCCAACCTAGCGCTGCATCGAGTGCCGAGAATGCACTATAGATTTTACCGAGCTGTCAAAAAATGCAGCCATGACGCTAGGGCCATGATGAGACCAATGTCGCATGCCTGGGGAGGAAAACAGATGATGCTTCTGTTCTGAATAGTGAAGCCTTGGCAAATGCGATAGTCTTGGTGATGAGGTTTGTCTCTTTCTCAGCCCGCCGCCATGTGCTGGGTAGGTAGCGGAGAATGCATCTGATTCTGGGATGCGGGGCCGAGGTTCAGAGATTTGCCCATGCTGACCGCCCAAATGATTCGTAAATCTCGTCTTGGTGAGATGCATTTCATTTCAGGAAAGGGGAAAATGTCGTATTTTGACTCGATCTTTGCGTACAAGTGATCTTGGGAGTCGAGAACGGACGTGGTGGGCTGTCGAGAAGTGCAATCACACCCGTGGATCAACAAGCGCTGAACCGGAAGGAAGCGGATCAGATCCCCTGACGATACCCTATACACCATGACAGTCCAAAACACTTACCTCATCGCGTACAACGCGCTCTCCTTCCTGTTATGGGGCCATATCACCGTATCAACGGTCCTGCAGCTGCCGGGCTTGTACGCCGAGTCCCGGCTCGCGGATCTATACGCTGACGTGCTGCCGCTCCTCAGCGCGACGCAGACCCTGGCACTGCTCGAGGTCGTACACGCGGCACTCGGCCTGGTGCGCGCCTCGGCCGGAACCACGGCGTTGCAGATTGGCGGCAAGAATCTCGTCGTCTGGACCGTCATGGTCAAGTTCCCCGAGATCATCACCGGCAGCGGCGAGAGCAGCCAATGGGGCGTCGCCTTCTTCCTGGGCTGCGTCCTGGCCTGGGGCTGTTCCGAGATCATTCGCTACGGATACTTTGTGGCTCAGTTGAGCACTGGTGATACACCTCGCTGGCTCAAGTTGCTGAGGTAAGTCGCTTCTCGTGGCTTGTTGCCCGGTCCTGTGTGGTCTTGCAGAAGGCGTAATGGCTAACGACTACATAGGTACAACGCTTTCCTGCCTCTGTATCCAATTGGCTTGTTGAGTGAGGCTGGTCTGGTGTATCTGGCCCTGACAGAAGGTACTGGTGTTGGTCAGTTCTACAAGGGATACCTCTTACTTGGACTGCTCACATATCTCCCCGGTTCGTATCTCTCATCTCGAGCCCAAAGTATGTTTGTACTAACGTAATATATGCAGCCGGTCCTTTTCTGTACACCCATATGCTGTCACAGAGGCGAAAAGTGTTGAAGCAGCTTTCTGGCAAGAAGAACTAAGGTAGCCAGAGAATTCACCTCTAATTAGCCTGCCCCATTAATCGTGATTATGGGATGGTGTACTCCTCCGTCATGTGGCCGCAGCACCAAATATCTCACAAAATGGAAACCCAACATCCCTTGGAAACACTGGAGACATTCGAAAAACTTGGTTGATTCGAAGCACTAAGACGCACAGCACTCGCAACATAAACTTCATTAATCTTATCAATCTACTGTCGACCCGCCATTTTATATCATGGAATAATGCCCAGTACGACAGGACATCACCTAGTGTCGCTCCGAAGCAAGCTGCTCGGCCGACTGCGGGAACTCCTCCGTGGCGCTGGGATGCTCTCCCAGACCCTTGTGATGCTTCCCCAAATCGGCTCCCTGTAGCCTGGCACTGTCAATACCAGCGGGAGCGCCGACGCCAGCCAAGCCACCACTCTTCCTACCACTTGAACGACTGTGGCCGCCCTTCATCTTGTTCTCCTCCTGGCCTTTCACGGGCTTGCCAAGTCCCTTGTTGAGGGTCTGCGAATCGGCGCCGGTCAGGGTGTCACTCGCGCTTGTGCGTGTGGTGTCGAACTCATTGAAGGCCTGGCCGGGAACCTCGCCCTCGGTGTTGGCGTGGTGCGAGAACTCTTGCGGGGCGGTGCCGGCAGGGAAGACCTCGGCGTGGTACTCTGGGATGGCATCATTGCCAACCTTGGTACCAACGGCGTGGCCCTTTCTTGTGAGAGGCTCGGAGGCGGGCTTCCGGGCGCTGAACTCCTCGTGCTTGGCAGCCTCTGATGCGGCATTGGCACGTGTGGTAGGCATGTTGGTCAATCTGAGAGAAAATTTATGCTTATTCGTTTTCTCGATAAAGACTATATGGATACTTTGATCGAAAGTGATGGATGCTGGTCACTCGGTGCTTGTACTTGATAGGTGGATGGTGAGAATCAAAGCAAGCACTTCTTGGAGCATTCTGAGCTTCATATACCTTTTCTCGACTCCCCTCGACCCCTCTATAAGCTTGTTCTTTGCTGTATGATGACATCAAATGCTCATAAGCATGTGCAATATGGCAACGGATACCAGCCCTACTTCTGACATCATTCTACAGTGAACGTCGAGGGGAGCCGGTGACGAATATGCCATCTTTGACAGTGGTTGACGAGGAATTGCAGCTGTTGCAATTGAGTTTTGGCGGACGAGGTCAATGAAAGAAGAATATTGTTAGCTGATCACTGACTTCATCAATGCATCACCACCACCAGCCCATTGTACGCCAAGGGACACCGGAGCATTTGCTGCGAACCATGTTATCAAGACCCAGAATGGCCCAATTTTCCCCTACCGTGGGATCCAATCACCAAATGTAATATGAACAGATGGAATATGAAATGCATCAATCATACACTGTATGTTGGCGGTCGTGCATAGAACATCCCATTTGCTGCATGTCTTCCGAAGTGTCCGGGCTCCCGCTCTCGCTCTAAATGGTGGGAGAGCCTCAATCATGACTAATCCACCAAGATCACGGGCCACAAGATAGCGGCACTCATCACTTGGCGATGAGCCTTTTTGGATTCCTTCTGGCCTCGTCGTGTCTGACGTGCCACTGCGGCTAAAGTCGTGTACCATAGTACTGCGGCATGGGCGGCTGACTTCCTGTGCTTCTCCAAGGCCCAGGCTAGAAGCTGAACGAGCTTGCCGCTGTCTGTTGGCAAAAGCTCGTGATGAGTAGTAGCCCTTCCCTTTAACCTAGCGAGAGAAAGGCGATAGCTGGCGAAGAGCGAAGTTGATGGTCGTATTCACTGGGAAGGGGGTTTATTGGCGCCGCTGCCGCTGATATGTCCAGCAGCAGCAACAACAGGGCCAGTCTATTGATACTAGCTTTTCCAGACAAGTCATGTGTTGAGAGAAACCATCTATTTCTTTTTCTCCCTTTCTTCTCCTGAGAATTCGAGACAAAGAGAAAAGCCACCTAGACTGACAGGTGCGGGCCGAATCGACCAACAGTGTGTGCTCTGTAGATCGGAACAGTCTTGTTGGACTTGAGTCTTGGCTCGCTCTGGCCGTTTGAGAACTGGATTCCGTTTCCCCCACCATGCCAGCACGGGCCAACACAGCCCCCCTCTGAGCCCCGCCAATCTCCATCATATTGCCTTTTTTAAAGCTTGAGGAAAAAAAGAAAAATATTCAAGGTTGCTCATAAGCTCAAATGCAAGTGGTGCGCATTTTAAGTGTCCGGGGCCAAAAGAGAAGCCTTTGAAATTGCGCACTTTACTCTTGTCTCAAACATGGCGTACATATATTACAATCTAGCAAAGGTAAATCGCAGATGGATATTTATTGACTCTCATGTCTCCCCATTTTGTCTTGATATTTGATAGAGTACTGGTTGCCTTGAGTGAGGATTATTTTTGGTGGCTTCAGCCAGCTGCATTGTGCTGGAAGTGCCGTCTTATTAGAAGTGCACTATCAAGGCAGCTAGCTACGTTACCTTCGTACACTACACGGTACTCCACGACAGAGAGGGATGAATCAAATGGTTGTGCGCCCTATCTGCCTGCCTGCCGCCTCTGGCTCCCTCACATTCTTGCCCCCAAACCTCTCAATACGAGACTTTTGCAGTGGCGGCGGCTAGATTGCACACTGAGATGGTGACTAAACCGCTAAGAGTATCAATGCGACCCAAAGCCCGGTTTTTCCTTGCCAGGTGGTTTTAAGGCGGGCGCAAGGGCGTTTAATCAAGCACTCAGGCACTGTCTGGGGCGTCAGGGCTGATGGGAACGAGAGAGAGAAGGAGAGTTGACCCCCAAAAAACAACAACTCGGTGCTGTCGGATATCACCAAATTTCATACTTCCCGACTGCCGTGTGCATTCGGAGGAAAAGAATAAGGGACAAGAAGATTGCAGTAGTTCATCCACCTTTGTTTAGATTGTCCCGTCCGGATTTGGGGGTTCATTGGCAACCTCCAGCAGAAAATCGTGTCAACAAAGGTGACGTCGATGCAAGAAGGGCCCAAACGCAGCGGACAACAGGGTAATAGTCATATGCACCCCTGCGGCGGACCCTTGGTTAGCGATCGACGTTCAAACCCAATCAGGGCAACGTTCGGCTCTAGTCTGCCTACTTTGCGTACCTAGTGCAACTGCACCTAGCCAAGCACCCAAGCCAGCCTCCCATCTTGCCCATGGCAACCAGGTTACCAACCCGGACATCCAAAAAGCCTGAGTCTGTGGTGAGCTGCTGACAAGAGGGCAGCTGATCCCCCCTCAAAAAAAAAATAATACGAGATGATACGAATCTGAATCTCCCTCCAGGAAAAAAAACTTGCAACAGCTTGTTCTCTACACTGTCAATTAGCAGAGCAGAAAAAGAACCAAGTCTATCCGTGGTTGCTTTTGCTTCTTCTTGACCCATCCATCGCAAAGCCTGAAGGTTCGGCAGCAGACAGACGATTGCAAACGCCCACTAAACCCACTCACTCGTTTTGCGCCGTTACATCACTTGTTCACATCGCTCTTGTTACACTCAGAGTCGCAGCCAGCGTTCATTGCCAGACAGACCGCCCCATTTTCCAGCAGGCGCATTTCGATTTCAAGGAAATTTGTTCTGTCGTGCTTTGTTTTTTCTCATCCAAACCAACAATCCGCAAATCTCCCGCTGTTCCCTTTTCTTGTTTCCTCGGCGCATTGCAGCATCGCAGAAGCACGGCATTACGGACCCGTCTTGTCACGCCTCACGACTTGCGACCAGACTAAAGGTACTGCGACCGCTACGACCCGTCCGACAGCACTACGTGCAACTACGACATTGATTATTACTTGCACTCAGAGCACTCACACACATTTCCGCCATTCCTGGAGTGGCTGTTACTGCTAAAGTGCAAGACTAGAACAACCCCCACCTATTAATTTGAGCACTTGTCTCAGGATCCCAGCACACTCTACAACACTCGCATGAACAGTGCCAGAGGCGAGCAGCGATCTTCGACCTAACTAGACGAGGCGCCGGTGAATCAAAGTGCTCTCTCGTGAGCAGCACTGGCAAGAGACTGACTGGACTGGGGGGGCCAAAGCCAGGAATCAAGCAGAAAGCAGTGCCCTTCCGTTCGCCTCGGTGGCTCTGCTCCATTCCTAATCTACTGCATACCTCCCTACCTTCCTAATTGCTGCAACCCTGCTCCACATCCCGGGCTAGCTATAGGAAGGACTGGGCGGAAAGACGCAGACAGATAGCACAGGACAGACAGACAGCCAAACAGACAGGCGAACGTGCTAAACCATGGAACGTGAGCGTCGTTATTCATTTGATTCCGACCCTGGCGAACGTGCGCCATTAGACAGTTCCAACCATAATCATCAATCTCCTCCGTCGTCTCGCCGATACAACAATCGCAACTCCCAATCACACTACTACCAAGACGAACCTCCCTCCATCTACAGAGACACTGTCAACACGTCTCCCACACGCGCAGGCGCTCATTCCAACTCTGATTTCACTCGTTTGAGGGAGGAACGTCGTCGCAGTCGCTTAGCTGAAGGTGCTGCTGTCGCTACTGGGGCTGGTGCTGGGACTGGAATCGCCCTAGCTGCAGCAGATTCGGCAACTGGTGTACCACAGCCGCCGCCGCACCGAGAGAGTCTGAACAGATCTGACTGGACCACTGGAGCTGCACCCACCAACATCACACCAGGTGTTGACAACTTTAGCGAAACCGCTGCCGGCGGACTGGCTGGTATTGCTTCGACAGTCGCTCAACAAAACGCCCGACAAAGTGGGCTTGACGCCATGAGAGGCAACGACGGTTACGACTATGGCTACGGCCACCAACCCTATGGTCAACAAGACTACAATCAATCATACCAGACATCACAACCACAGAACTCACCCTATGGCCAAGGTTCATACAATAATTACGATCAACACTACAACTCATCATCAGCCTATGGCCAGCAAGGCTACGACGAAGGAGGATATGATCGCGCATACGACCAGGGTTACCAGACCTCGAATCAATACTCCAACGGACCATCGTCATCATCTTCACACATGGTGCCAATGGCCGCAGCTGCTCTGCCAGCTGGCGCAATCACCCCCAGAAGCCATCAAAGCTTTGCTAGCGATCCATTCAACGATTCTCGATATGCTTACGACCAGCGATTGGCCCCCGGACTAGGCCATGTAGACCCTCACGACATTATGGATGACGGAGATGATGGCCTGGAGTATAGTCGCAGAAACTCGAGTAGAGGCAACGTCAGTGGCGGGGCCGCAGCCGCGGGCGCTACTGGCGCCGCCGCCGCAGAGGCCTATGCTCCTGTCGGCGGGTCCCTTGGTGGAGCAAAGGAACAGTCCGAGTGGATGAAGAAGCAATCGGGAAGCTCCAAGAAGTGGAGGTGGGCCATTATCATTGTTGTTGGACTCATCATCGCTGGCGCTGTGGTCGGAGGTGTCGTGGGCGGTATACTCGGAAACAAGAACAAGTCCAAGAGTACCACTGGAGAGTCGGCTTCCGAGGACACGTCAAAGAATGGCGATTTGAACATCAATTCGTCAGAGATCCAGGCTCTGCTCAACAACGACAATCTGCACAAGGTCTTTCCTGGCGTCGACTACACGCCCCTCAACACGCAATATCCGGATTGCTTGTCGAATCCGCCGTCTCAGAACAATGTCACTCGTGATGTTGCAGTGCTCAGTCAATTGACCAACATTATTCGACTCTACGGTACGGATTGCAACCAAACAGAGATGGTCATTCATGCTCTGAGGCAGTTGGAGATGGAAGACACGATGCGAATCTGGCTGGGAGTATGGCAAGACGGCAACCAGACAACCAACGATCGCCAACTCTCGCAGATGTGGGACATTCTGGAAACCTACAATGACACCTACTTTGAGGGTCTCATTGTTGCCAACGAGATCCTGTTTCGCGAGCAGATGACTGAAACCGAGCTTGGCGACCTTCTCGACAGCGTGCGCACCAATGTGACCAGTTTGGGCTTGGATCTCAAGGTTGCCACTTCAGATCTCGGCGACAGCTGGACTTCGAGCCTTGCAGCCAAGAGCGATGCCATCATGTCCAATATTCATCCGTTCTTTGGTGGAATCAACGAGAATGAGGCTGCATCATGGACTTGGTCTTTCTGGCAGAATCATGATTCAGGATTCATGAAATCCGACGCAGCTGACAACATCATATCAGAGATTGGATGGCCTTCAGAGGGCGGCATGGACTGTTCTAGCGACACGGTATATGACTGTCCCGACATGGCAGTTGCTGGCATCGATGGCCTCAATACATTGCTTGACGGATGGGTCTGCGATGCACTTACAAATGGTACCAACTATTTCTGGTTCGAAATGTTCGACGAACCTTGGAAGATTCAATTCGATACGGAGCACCAGGCCTGGGAGGACCACTGGGGTCTGATGGATGTCAACCGTAACCTCAAGGATGGTGTCAAGATTCCTGACTGTGGCGGCACGGAAGTCGCCGCCATTAAGAAGAAGAAGAGAAAGGCTTAGTCGACAACCAATGATGTGGAAAAGGGCATCTTAGAACAAAGGTACAAGGAGTTTTTCGGACTTTTGTCATTTGGGGGAGTTGATCTGTATTATAATGAAAATGGACTGTGTCATGTGGTTGGGCATTTGGAGCTCCCCTGACAGTCACACATGGACATCGAAATGAGAAGGGAAACCTCGAGGATGGGCGCAAGAGAGCCTATAGAGTTGGGAACGCAGCTCAGCGGTGAAACGCATTGTTGATATGAGCTATGAAGGAACACGCATGATCATGGTATTCGTCCGGTTTTTGTTTCTGTGTGTGGCTTGGACCACCGGGTGTAGAGTAGGAAGAATTTCAAAGAGAAATTTGACATGGCTCGTTTTGACCTAATGCTGCAGTGAAACAAGCATGATATTTTGTGCATAATTATGTTCGCATCATTAATGAAGTTAAAAGTGTTAATATTATTGTCTAGAATAATCTTACCCTCTACCTATCTATACAACGCACTCCAGAATCAGTGATGCCGAGACTCTTCAGCCTCTCGAGCGCTTTCAGCTTCTCTTCCTCAATAGCGCGCTCAGCGGCCTCCTCTTCACGGCGAAGCTTGAGTAGCGTCTCTTCAGTCGAGTCCCACTTGGGACGGGCGACCTCGACCTGGACCTCGACAATCTTTTGTCCGGTCTTTGAAGACTCGGATTCGGGAGACGGCGAGCGTCCTCCCCAGAAGCCAGCCCAGCGGTTCTTGGACTTGGGCGCCGAGGATTCGACACTAGCCTGCGAGTTGAGCGAGGAGGAAGAGGACGAGGAGGAAATAGAGTACGACGACTTGGGCTTGGTATGCGAGAATTTGCCCCCGAGGCCCGCAGGCGTGGTCATCGGCAGCTTTGTATCCTCGCTGTAGGGATTATTCTCGCTCTCGAGAAGGGCTTCATATTCACCTGGGCTGGGCCGCATTGAATGCTTCTCCTCGGCCTCGCCGTCGGCGGCACTGCCGCGACGACCGTCTACGCCCTTGCTCTTCTTCTTCTTCATGTTGCGGGGCAATTCGCCCCGGCGGCTACAGTACGGGTCCTCGTCCTCGGATTCCGAGTACTCGGAACGGTCCGACTCGTAGTCGGTGGGATCCCGCAGCCGCCTGCACGGTTGGGAGCTCTGGGGCTTGGGCCTGAGAGAACGCATCACTGGGCGCTGTTGCTCCTCGTCCTGCGAGGAGGAGACCCGGACAAAGGGCGAGGGCGGGATCTTGACGGTCAACTTGCCTGCCATTATTGTGCACCGGGTTGAGAAGGGAAAGGATAAAAAGAGAAAAATAGAGCCGGTAGAAGGGAAACGAGATGAAATAGAAAATCAAGAATACCTGATTCTTGATAAGATGGAGGTTGTCAAAATGCACAGCTTATAGACTGCCATCGGGGATACTGGGTGCCAGAAGAGCTTTATACTTCGTGGTCTCATTCGTTGGTCTATACTGTCAAAGGTAGAACAATTGCTTGTCGTTCCTTGTTCTTTGGGTGTCTGTCTCATTGACGAGTTGACACAATGCGTCTTTGCTTCGGGCGCGGAATAAAGGCAAGTAGATAATGGCGATGGACAAGCCAGATGACCAAAAGTACCGAATCGCCTGGATTTCAGACATGATTAATGCTTGGATATTCGACGTGGAAACAACGACGAGTGATATTTGTGTTGTCGATTTCACGCGAACAGTGACGCTGAAAAACAATCGAATAATGCTACATATAATCATGCCCTGCTAAAAAAACAAACAAAACTTGCTTATTACGACCTCTGACATACAATTCCAAACATCTGATGGGCCAACACCAATGAATTATTCTTCCTCAAGACTGCATGGCAATTACTGCAAAAATGGTTTTTGGTAGTGACTCGCGCCACTCTGGTTCAGTAGCATTGACCCACATCAGCAGCAGCGACGCTTGCCTTTTCCTCTGAAAGGAATATACAGAGGCAAGATGGTAACCACGGCATCGCCGCCGCGGTGAGCACTATGGCGAATAAACAGAACCGCAATGCTAATCTGCTCGAGGACACAGATGGCGCACGTGGCCCACTGGAGATACTGGAGGCGCGGGAGGTCTTTAATGTAGACGCCCAGCTGGTCAAACTCGTTCTCGCCGGTCGCGGGGAACTTGAGGCCCTTGCAGGCCTGCAGCGTGGACAGGGCCAGCATGAAGCCGAGCATGAGGCCGTAGGCGTTGAGAATGGTGGTGAGGGCAAAGGCAAACTTGTAGGCCTTGTTGCTCGAGGGCGAGGCGGACAGCAGCCAGTAAAAGATTGTGCTCAGCAGGAAGAGTACGAGAAAGCTTATGGGGATGCCCGAGGGAAAGACTTGCTCTTGCAGAGTCTCGGTCAAGGAGAGAAGCTCGCCGAGAGTGTTGTTCAGGTCCTGAGCATTGATTGTGACGTGCTTCTCTTGTAGTTCGTCGGCGAACTGGTCTGCTAGAGGTTGGTCATTGTCGTAGTTGATGTGGGCAATGCAAGCCGTCCTGTTGGAGGATTCATCGTCGGCGTCTCCGTCGAGGGAGACGCAAGTGCCTGATAACACGATCCCGCGGTTAGCCATATGTCCAATACACTAAATGATCAGCATCGAGTACATACCGAGGTAGCCAAGTCGGACTCGAACAGGAACAGTGTCGTTGGATTTGAGCTGCACTATATACAAGTCGTCATTGTACAGGCAGCCGCAAGCGATGTAGACTAGGGTTTCTTAGCAATCATTACGAAAGTCGTGTTGGACCTGTCACTTACTGCTCATGGCTGCTGCAGCGATGAAGAGGAGAATGGACAGGCAAAGCCATTTGAACACGCTCTTGCGAGGTTTGCCTATGTCTTGATTAGCAATGTGCTCAACATGGATACTTTGTGTCTGGCACCAACCCATTGGCGCATAGTTGGGAGATCTCTTCCCTGTTCTACCGCGTGTCTTGCCAGAACCCATTTTGAAGAGAGTTGAAGGGTTGACAAGAGATGATAATAAACAAGTAGTTGGTTCGATTGAGGAGTAGAACGCTGCAGAGTCTTGGTGATTCCAGTCTGTATTCGACAACTCATTTGGATATCTGTCGTTGTTATATACCTTGATTACTTGATCCCATATAGGGGTATCCTTTTCAGCTCCATGGCTGAGCACCAACTCCTACAATGTCCAATTCTACCGAGCCACCCCTATACTTGCCCATGATGTACACTTGAACATGATGTGAAAGTAAATATGCATATTCTGGTCAGCCGCCTCCTGCATGAAACTTGACCTGGCTACTATAGATAGTAGGGCCCAGACAGGGTATGCTCCCCTTGCACACTTAATCCGGCAGCCTTGCTGCTCACCTACAATTGTCAAAAAGTGCCTGCAGCCTCGACACAATGACCACGGCCAAAGCGACTTGGCTTTCACATCATGATATGATCTTTTGTAAGCAGTCGAGATGCAGTAACTGCCTCATAACGACTCCAAGCTTGACGGTTGAATCTCCTCAGAAAATCTTTGCTGTCAGAGTATTAATCGTGCCAAACATATGTCAATTTCTGGATATGCATAGATTTGACAGTGAAGTCTTGTCCATAAGCAGCCTGGTTTTTCGTCTTTGAAAGCCATACAGGTAGAACGGCCATGTTCGGGGGCCCAATAAGCGCCATTTGGTATCAAAAGTCAATGGTGCGAAAAGCATGATAGATCTGACTCGCTCTCGAGATTGAGTAGTGGTGTGTGCAAATCCTTCTGCAAATGCAATTTATTATGGCAACGAAGCAGCCTCATGAAGAAGCCATCACCAAATGGTCATACAGGCCGGCGGCCCGGCCCCTTGTTGGAGCATAAGCTTTCCTTGTGCAGAAATGCACTTTTTAGCACGTCGAAATTGGGAAAACTCTCCCGTGGGTTTGGCTCTAGATTATGCGCCAAGCCAAGTTCCGTGGAGGCGGTGCAACCGCATACGATTGCACATTTCAGATCAAGATGGTTCTGAATTTAGTCACTACAGCTTCAGCTGTCAACTGCAATACTGCAAGGGTCGCATGCGACGTTTTGGTGAGGCTATTCCACTTCAAAATTTTCACCTTCTTTTAATTCTCGGATGAGATGAGATTTCCCATCCGTAAATGGAATCCAAGGTCTACAAATATCTCAATGACTGACTGCACATGGATTTCAGCTGACAAAATGGTGCCAAGACTGCAGCCTTACCCAAACGCAGTGAAACCAGAAAGTCTGCGAGATTTCTTTTTTGGGGGGACAGACCAGGTGGCCGGCGGCTTTTGGTGCTTTGCCTATCAGCGTCTATTCATTCTGGGAAAGTCCGCTCTCCATCCTTTTACTCGACAGACAGATGGATGTAATTGCATGTGATTATGCACTGACAACACTGGGCCGTAGCGACGGGTTGAGCTGCCGACATGTATGTTCGACGATGCAGGGCATGTATGACAAATCCTGTTTTATGTGACCGCACGTCCAACGCGTGAAGATGAGTATCATCTCATCGAATAGAGTTTCACATAATATTGCCTTACGATGGTTGGAAAGAAGTCAGTTTACGCAAATGACGATTGCTTGGTAATGCAAACAAACCATGCTACCTAGGTAGGTTAGTTTGCGTGTGGAGGCTAGTTAGCACAACATACCTTAGCATACGTCCCTCGCCAAACGCTAATATAGGGCTCAGTTAGGGGCGGGAAGGCCATAGTACATACACCTCCAAAGCCAGAATGGTTGCCGCTCAAGTCCTGGCTCCGTAGGTTCTTACAAAGTTTTTATAGCCGAAACAAGATGCGCATCTCACGACAAACAGACTACAAAGCTAACCAGTCGGACCCACTTATGCAACGCACCCCCTTTTGCAACAGGATTCCCCGCAAAACAGTGATTTTTCAATCTTTTATAATTAATTAACGAAAAATGGTAAAAATAAACGGAAACCGTTATTTCAAACTTTAGTTATATATTTATAATTAAGTGTTAAGTTATTATAATAAGCATTTTAAAATGCTATATATTATATATAATATGATTTTAAATTTTTAAAGAAATTAAAAAAATTAAAAGAATTAATATTCTTAATATTATAATATATTTTCTCGGAAAGTAAAATTATATTTTATAAATATAATTAAAACGATATAATTTAAAGTTTTAAAAAAAAAGATTTACGTTATATAAGTATTTTAATATTTTATTTAAATAAATAAAAAATATTAAATTTTAAAAATTAATAATTAATTAAAAAAAATTAAATTAAAATTATTTATATATTATAAACGTTATATAATATAAAATAAATATAATAATATTAATTAATAATTTATATTTTATTTATAATAGGTTATAAGCATAAAATATTAAAAGTTTTAATTTTAAATTTAAGGAAATATGCTTATTTTTATAAATATTTATAATATAAATATAAAACTTAAATATATCGTAATTAAAACTTAAAAATATATATATAATAATTTAAATCTTTAATAAATATTAATATTATATTTTTTATAAATTTTTAAAATACGTTTTATTTTAAAGTTTTAAAATAAATTGAAAAATTATAAAACGTATTATTTTAAAGCTAAAATTAAATTTAATACTTTTATTATACGTGTAATTAAATATAATTAAAGTTATTTTATTAATATAATTTTTATTTATTTATTTATTAAATTTATAAAATAAAATTTATATTTTTTAAAAAAGTATATATTAAAATAAATTATTATAGCTTAACAAAAGATAGCAATATTAAAAATAATTATAATATTTATTATATTATTTATAAAAGATATTAAAATAAGTTTCTCCTTATTTTTACCATTTTTCGTTAATTAATTATAAAAGATTGAAAAATCACTGTTTTGCGGGGAATCCTGTTGCAAAAGGGGGTGCGTTGCATAAGTGGGTCCGACTGGTTAGTAGAATTCTACCCGCTCTACCAATGTACCCTAGTGAAACCATGAATACTGGTGCGAGTTGAATGTCCAACTAGGAGTGTGCTCCAATGGCAGAGCTAATGAAATGGTAGGAAATTTCGGGCAGTCTTGGATATCCCTGTAAACTGCTCCATGTTCTATACTAATATAGCTGCGTTTGTCTTTCTATTCATTAACGAACTCGGTGTTTCTCGGCATGTAATGACACAGAAACGTAGATGCACGTTGTACCCAAAGAACTGTCTGATTGATGGTGAATGTACACACCGTGACGCTGAGGATGGCCATGATTGTGGGGCATCTTTGAAGCTGCTGGCATCAATCCTAGCACTTGCGCCCTGGAACGTTTTGCACAACATCAATGGTGGGGTATCTACATTACTAAGTCAACGGGCCGCTTTTTTGAATTCATTCATAGGACTCCAGATCAGCCTTCTTGACTCTCCGGTGACATGCATCCATGTTTTTGCCTGTGCAATAGTTTGTTTCAGATACAAATGCCATGTCGAGACTTCCCGTCTCGTAATCAATTGGCATTTGGCCGTGAATAAAGGAATAGGAATTTACGTAACAGATATTCCAAGTTGTCACAATATAGTTTTGCATACAATGCCGTGGGAAGCGAGAGATCGATCGATCGATCGATCCAATCATTGGCGCTCTGTCCAGGGAGATGAACACAGGTTTTCTAGAATGTATGAACATGGCCGACCATGCTTTATTCGCAGCTGTGATTGGATTCAAGTATGGTAGCGGCAGCAACACATCCGACAGTGTCATATTGAAGTTACCCGGCAACTTGGCTCCTGGATGGAGACGAACCCAAACTCTGGGTCAAGTTGAAAAGTATGTAAAAGCTGAAGTCAATCCAAGTCTTGAGCGCTGATTGGTCGCGCAATACTCTCATCATAAATCAGAACACCAAGTCACGGCAAATGCGGCAAATCACATGAATGTTCATTGAAAGCCTCTGCGCATATTCATACTTGCCCGTGGAGTGTATCTGTTCAAGCGGCCACCGCTGAACATCAAATGTAGGGGGAGCTAATGAAGATATAAGGAAGGGCTATTGTCGGGCATGGAAGTGATTTCACAAATCAAATTTTCATCCAAAAGAATAAAACCTGATTGGTTTCAATTCTGCTAGAATATTTCAAGCAGCCATGGCAAATTCTAACACAGATTCGAGGGCAAACTTGCAGAAAGCATTTGACAAGAGCAAGGCCCTCTTCTTCTTGGATATCACACCACCCAACAAAATTGAACCAAAGACCAAAGTCATCGCGTACATACCCAACTATATAGCAGATGTCGAGGACAGCAAAAACGCCCTTGTTACTGCCAAAATCTTACCGTATCGAGAAAAGTTCGCCGAAGGCCCTGAGAACGTTGTCAGGAGGTTCCGGAATAAGGAGCTGCAATGCATGTCATCATAACTCGCAATCTCTCCCGTGCTAATAATCATTTTGGCAAATTCCCAGTTTACGCGCCCTTTGGCAAGAATCCTCTCACATCGCAAGGCGCAAGTGACGCAGAGAAGAACAACCCTTTCCCAAAATTTCCAAACGGTGTTGTCCTGAGGTTTTTCATTCTACCTAATGGCAATACTTATGGCACAGGTACCATTGTTGGAGTGGCGGAAGGCGCTGAAGCCTCTCCAGACAAGCAAGCGACGGGTCCGTTTTACACCATCTCAATTTATCACGTGGATACACCCGTCCAGAAAGTCTTCCAGGGTGTCAAAGATGTCGACTGCCGCATACAGTATGTCGCCACTAGCGGTATGGCCCCGGTTAGGAGCGGCGACCTATGAATGTATAAAGAAAGATCAGTCACGTAGCTGACACTCACGATCAACTTGGAGCAGTAGTCGAGAGTAATGGTGATCAGAATGCCAGGGCAACGGGTCACAAAAGTTTTGGTTACTTAGTCATTCGGAAACGCACCCTTCGTTATGCAGCTTTCACAATACTAGTTCTTTATAAGATGATCTTTCTCAGTATTACCCGTTCCTAGTGCCGTCGAATTCTCAGACCTTTTTCTACGCACCTACAGAACACATTCACTTTATGCTTTCGAAAGGCCAAGATCAATATTGCGGATGGTGCGGTCCGAACAGTGGCAATTTGACTTGATTTGAATATGGCCTTGAAGTCTTGAAAATTACCAGTACATCTATGCAACTTGTCCACACAGCGTGTAATCGTACGAGTGCGGATAATTTGTGCCCGTGAGCCAATCCATCAGCTGGAGGGCCTCATGACTAGATTTCCTGCTCCCGAGAAACTTCGCCGAGGGCGCGCCCGCGCGCTCAGAAATCTCGAGCATACACGTGGGGTCTTCCCGGTGGTAAAAAGTGTAGGACCAGGCAGACTTGTAACCATTTACTTCCGTGCACGGTGGCGCCGCAAAGTTGGCAACGACTCGGTATAGCAATAGTTGTGCAGAGATGAGATTGTACAGACGCATCCTCCCCTTGACCGCAGCGAAATTGAATTCGCATATCAAATCGAGGTCGGTCGCATGCGCCTGTAAAGCCCTGACCGACCCCGAGAACCTGTCGTCAGCCACCTGCAGACCCACGGGAGTATTGTTGGCGCCGACGTCGTCCGCGTAGAACCACTCCGCATCGCTCCACTCAACTTCAGCACCATCCCCGTCCTTCAGCACAGCCCATCGCGTTGTGAAGTGTTTCCGGAGGCAGTACGGGTCGTGCTCCAGATTGACGCGACCCATGACATCCATGGAGACGGGACGCGTACAGCTTCCTCCAACTTGTAAATTTGGCGACGAGCATTTCTGTCCATGTACCATTCCATAGTCATGGCCGCGTTGGATTGTACTTTTGGGCCTCAGCTCCTCGTCGTTGTCCTCTTCATCGCTATTTTCTTCATCGCTATCCTTCATTATCAGTCGTGCACCAAATATCAAGGCCTTGTCCGCCACCGGGTAGCTGATTTCGGACAAAGATTGGATATCTGCCGGGGCTGGATTCCGGCCGCCATCACGGGAGAATTGACGGAATCCTAGTAATAGGTTTTGCATGACCAGCTTCTTTTCTTTCTTATTGACTAGGCGGTATTAGAATTATTGCTTGGCCATTCCGTCGTGCTAGACACAGAGGGGGTTAAGGGGGAGAACTTGCGTTGATTGAAAGCTTGGATTGGATCATCGGCTCTCGACATGGTCGACATCAGTCTGCAGTAGTCCTGAGTGAGAAGATTGATGCCACTCGTAGTAGAGCCTCGATTGAACGTTTTGGGACTTTGGGCTTTGTGACTCGTGTCTTGTCATTGCTTGACGTTGAAGCCTTGGGGCTGGCCTTTGGTTTTGATTCTTGCTTAGCCATGGCGGATGGGTCTGTACTGTGAGTACGGCAGGCGTACAGATGGACAAGGCGGCGTGAGAGAGATGGACTTGGTTAAATACCTGTATATGTGGTCTTGAGTATGGGTGAGATACAAAGGAAAAATGAGGAGTATTGGGAACAGTCTTTCAAGCGCTCTAACAAAGACGGTCGTTGAGCGATGTTCGAGAAGAAAGGCGGCGGACTTTACCTTTGAATCATGAGGCCAGCACATCTCTATGCGTCTCCGTCATGACGTCGGACACTCTGGCATGGTAAATTTGCGATACAATCTTCTAAGCTGCAGCTTTGTCTTGAACAGAGGGCATATACGAGTCCTGGGCATCTGAAAAAACCGTATTAATGAGTGGAATCGTTTTGCCGGCAATCGCTAGTGATACACCACTGTCGCTCGTTGGTAGATCCAACGATGGTATGCTGGACATGGTAGGCACTCGGGGACGATTATTCAATTTCGAAGACAATGGCTCGCTAATGGGAAAGATCCAGACAGTTATGCTCACCTTGGTGCTAAGAAAGCTAAGGTTTTATTGTGCGCTGTCAGTGGTCACTAGCGTAACACCATCTCGAGTTACCCGCTAAAAACCACGTGTGTGCTCTGTACCTTACACCCATTAACGGGGCTCGTGCTAGGTTAGCCCCGGATGACTTGATGCAGGGAACCGTCCATACCTATTCCTTATTCCGTAGTGCTTCCATTTAACACTACTCTAATATTACCATTACTTGGGTTTGCCTGCAGTATCGTGATCAGATAACCAGCGACAACATCCTTCGACGGGGTCAATATCCAAGCAATGAGTCTGCGCGGAGATTCTTGTTTAGTTACCCATGTCCGTCACCCTCGCCAATGAGATGCAGCCATGTCTCCAAGGGCTGTCAGTCAAGGCCTGCATTGCGTTGAACCACGTGATGATAGGTGCATCTTCGCAGCGGCGTCATTGGCAGGCAGGCGCGGGTAGACATGTATGTAATCAGTTCATGTTTACCCCTCAATAACAGCCAGGTCAGTCCCTCCTCCACCTCAGCAGTCATCGCCACACCCGCGCTCAATATGCCCATCGAACGTTGAACCACACGATGCCTCGTCATGTGGCTGCTTTCGTTGCTAGAGGACGGACAGCCGTTGCTGACCAAATTCCTCGACGACATCCCACCCTACGCTATCCTATCACACACTTGGGGCAAGAATGAAGAGGAGGTCAGCTTCGAGGATCTAAGGCGAAAGGCCCCGAGCACAACCAAGGGATACGGGCACGACAAAATCCAATTCTGCGGCAAGCAGGCTGCTGCAGATGGTCTCAAGTATTTCTGGGTCGATACGTGTTGCATCGACAAGCGCAGCAGCGCTGAGCTCCAAGAAGCCATTACTTCCATGTACAAGTGGTACCAAAAGGCGGCTCGCTGCTATGTCTACTTGCGCGACGTGAAATTTGACAAGCACGATCCGGGTGCATGGAAAGACTCCTTCCGGAGAAGCAAATGGCACACACGTGGCTGGACGCTACAGGAACTTCTAGCACCATCCTCTGTTGAGTTCTTCGATGTCGACTGCAACCGGATTGGCGACAAAACATCCCTCATCAGACTCCTCCATGACATTACGGGTATTCCGATGGAGGCGCTGAATGGCCGGCCATTATCCACATTCAGCATCGATGAACGTATGTTATGGACCGAACTTCGCGAGACAACCCTCAAAGAGGACAGGGCATACTGCCTACTTGGAATCTTTGGTGTGTCCATGTCAATGCGCTATGGTGAAGGCGTGGAGGCAATGAAGAGGCTTCGAGGCAAGATCCAACGACCTACGTTTATTGGTATGCATGCCTCCTAGAGAAGATCTCCTATGCTCCAGTTCAATTAACGCAACCACAGAAAACCAAGGCGCCCCTTGCAAGATTCCCTTGGGCAGGAATAAAGCATTCGTCGGTCGAGAAAATCTACTTCGAAGACTGTTGCAGATATTACCGCCGAGTAGCGAACCTCAAGATTGCCAACGAATAGCGATTGAGGGTCTTGGGGGCATTGGTAAAACCCAAATTGCACTTGAAGCTGCATTCCAATTGCATGAAACATACCCCGACTGCGCTGTCTTTTGGGTTACAGCTGTCACTCGAGCGACGTTTGAGAACGGCTATCGGGAGATCGGGAGAGAGCTTGACATAACTGATATCGACGACGACGAAGCTGATGTAAATGCACTAGTCGTTTCTGCTTTAAATAATCGCTCGAGCAACTGGTTATTGATCATCGACAATCTTGATGACATGGACATGTTGGCTGCAACTGACAATAACCCCGCGTTATCAAATCATTTGCCATTTAGCACCAAAGGCGCCATCCTCTTCACAACGCGCAACCATGAAGTGACAGTAAATCTTGACGTTGGGCTTGATCAAACAATCACAATCGAAAAAATGTCCGAGTCCGAGGCTATGAAGATGCTGAAAGAAGGCCTCAAGGCGAGGCAAACTCGAGATCAATACAGTACCAAAGTATTGCTTGAGCTTTTGGCTCATTTGCCGCTGGCAATAAAACAGGTTCGTGGTCAATCTCGTCTAACCGTCCTCTACGTATCTATTGGTTGGATAAACAGATATCATTACTCACCTATCGGGAATGTCACCCGCAATTTTGCCCCTGTGCATCGGATCCCTAGATGGGCAACTACTGACATGATCTGTGGTGTAGGCTGCGGCTTACATGGCACGCACGGGCATGACGACCAAGCAATACTTAGAAAGCTATCGTCGCTCTGATACAAGCCGCATCACCTTTTTGAATCGAAATTTCGCAGATCGAGGCCGACACCAAGAGACTGCCAACCCGATCTCGCAGACCTGGCTGGTATCCTTCGATCACATCAAGAAGCACCATCCCTTGGCAGCGAGGTATCTTAATCTCATTTGCTTTCTTGCGGAGGAGGACATCCCGCTAGAACTGTTTCCGGAAGAAGATCTGGAAACTAACCAAAGGGAGGAAGCGATTGGTGTCCTTTTGGGATATTCTTTCATCACGGAGCGAGACGATGGAGACTCTTTCGATATCCACCGACTGGTGAGATTGGCGACGCGCAACTCGATGGAGCAGACTGATGCCGATGAATACCTGACAATCATAGCAGAAAAGCTCTTGCAACAGTACCCTTACCCCGAACGTGGAAACATATACATCTGCATGAGGTATACACCGCACGTTGAAGCGGTCCTAAGTTCTAAAGGAACAAATCTTGATCCAGAGTGCAAGGAAGAACTTCTTGAGAGACTGAGCAACTATACCAAACTGCAAAAAGACGACATAGCGCTGAAAATGCATCAAGATGAATTACGATTGCGCCAAGAAGAGCTTGGTCCAACACACGAGGATACACTCACTAGCATGCATAGCTTGGCACTTTTGCTCGCGGCTCTGGGGAGACACAACCAGGCCCAGCAAATACTTCGACATGTAACACGACTGCGAGAGGAGCAGATTGGGCCCAGACATCCTGATACGCTTTCAAGCTTGGATTCTCTAGGAAACGTCCTCTACGATATGAGGAGGTATGAGGAAGCAGAACAGATTCATCGACGATCGCTATACCGGCGCCAATTGAGGTTTGGAATCAAGCATATTGAAACGCTATATACAATGAACAATTGGGCACTTGCGCTTGGTGCATTAGGAAGACATGAAGAGGCCGAGAAGGTCCATCGCCAAGAATGGCATCTCTGTAAAGAGCTACTCGGGGAAGGGGATCCCGAGACGTTATACAGTATGAACAACCTGGCACTCATGGTCATGAAGCTTGGGCAATACGAAACAGCAGAAGAATTACTTCGAGATTGTTTAAATCTACGCCGAAAAGAGCTTGGACCGACACATCCTGATACTCTAGTCACCCTGAACAACTTGGCGCTCGTACTAGGAGAACTAGAGGAGTTCGAAGAGGCAGAAAGCATGCATCGGGAGGAATTACAACTTTTTCGAAAAATAATGGGCCCAAAGCACCCTGACATACTTATTAGTATGAGCAATCTGGCCGCTGTCCTTGAGAGAGCAGGGAAAGACGATGAAGCGGAAGAAATATTTCAAGCAACAGAAAGGCTCAGGAAAGAAATCGAAAGCCCAACAACCCCCAGTAACAAGAGTGGTACAGATATGGATGTTATTATCTCCATGTACGATGACCTAGAGGCAGAGGTGAAAGCTTAGTGGAGGAGGATTGTAAATAGGAGAATGAAAACCTTGGTATATATAGCAGATGGCCGGATCGATTCCATGTTCGTACAACAATGAGTCTGCACCGCTCGTAAACTTGCTGTTTTCACACTCTTGGGTGGTCATGATTTTACCGGCGGAGAACATGTCGGTCCATCGCTCTGGGAAGTCATCGCAAGTCGACACGAGCGTTGATGAAGTGCCAGAACGTCTGAATGGAATGCTTGATGCTAGCTGTCGCAGTGTGATCCTCGTCGGGTTTGTTCGTACTCTATGAGCTCAGAGAGTCTGATTAAGGCGTAACTTGCGCGAAAAGACCTAGAAACCAGATCGAAAACGCATTGCCTGATGTTAGAGTCAGGGAGCCACCCTGTGGAAACCGATGTTGTTTGTCGCCAGTATCGGCCAATCAATGTCGCTTTGTTGTCAGCCCGCAAAAAGGTCTTCTGTGGGGGATGATTGTTTGTCATTTTATTTTTCGGATATACGGAACTTATATAGTTTTTCATTCTGGACCACGAGCTGGACCACATTCATTACAATGGGCAAATGCTACATGAATGTCACTCTCGCTTATGAATATCTGCCATGGCATTCGACGTGCACGATCGCGCAACCAAGCTATCCTCCTTCAGCGTGACGACAGTCCGATGCCAAGCGATCTTTGTTTGCTGCCATCTAGAAAACCCCTACCATGCCAATAATAGAAGTTTATTTCGTGTTATGGGGAGGAGTCGATAAGGAGTCAGGGCCACTCTAAATCCAACATACCCCTGCTGCGCCAACCAGGATACTACTGGATGCGGAGCAATATAGGATAGACGAGGAAAACGTAACTATTTCTCCTAGCGGCAGCAGTAGCATGCCCTTTGCCGAGCAGAGATGAATGACTTGACTTGATCCTAGTGATGCTTGATGTATATTTCTCGAGCGTTGAAGTAATTTTGCTCGTTTTGTTCATGCAGAGTGCAGACCTGTGTGACGATAGTAATGCTGTAGGACATGTGTAAGCGCATTACTCAACTGTCAGTACATATGTCAAATGGATGAAATTCCGGTCGGAGTACCCGGCCTGGGTCAGGGGTCTGATTTGCACGTCTACTTGAATCTATCCTTCACTGTTCTTGGGTGAATGATACGTCACAGGTTATCAAATAGGAAGAGCACAAAAGGTTTGCCGCCTGAACCTCGGTGATGTTGGAATCTAGACGTCGCATGTTAGTGGAGATGGGCACTGGCTACAGCGGCTCTCGCCGAACAGAATCTGAACCTGTAAGACTCCTGATAGGCCAAGTTCAGACGGTCGCAAGCTGATCGGATGAATATTTATCATGACTCGAGGATCATGAATGCCCCTACATGACTATAAGCTACATCCCTTCCCCTTAAGAGCGACAAATATTCACGGCATTTCCTTGCATTTTGCTGCTGATTGACCCGTGCCGCGAACATCCTGGCTCAAATCACCGACTTGGGCTTGGGGGTCCACTAACTGTAACCCGGGGTTGGGGCTCTTCGGAGTGACCCAGTAGTGGGCGATTTTAGTGCCCGTTTCCGATCATAGCGCCCTCCTGTTTAATTTGTGTACCACCTGAGGGGCGTCGCAAGTTTTTTCTTTGCGCGTAACCAACAACGGCTGTTGGCTGGATCGCACCCATCCACATTTCCAGCATTCAGATTGATTGATGAGAGTGGCAGTCTTCTGGAAAACGCGATGCTACTCAGAGCCACATTGGGCAATCCACAATCCCTCTCAATTGAGCGCAACTGGCTGCTCGGCCGAGGAGCCGACATGAGCTTCCAATCTTTCTTTGTGTCAGTCGGACCGAGATTTTCGAGGGTTCGCTGATGACAAGATGCACTCCAAAATGGAGTCGCCCGATCGGATGAGACTCGATAGAAACTAAGCTCTGGGATCCGACTGACAATACTACTGACCATCCAGCTTTCGCTTCATGCCGACAACAGACCTTTCCTTTAGCATTATGCTTACGTATTCTTCCCCGGGCCACCAACTCTTTGTTTGCAGTCGGCGCCGTGCCTGTGCTGGCTTCCGCCTCCAAACCAAGTGCACCTGAAGTCTTGGCCGTAGACCCCTGCCGGTGGACCCCGTTTCACTATCGCGGCGACCACTCCATCTCGGACGAAGTTGTTTATTTGAGTCCTCGGCGTGCCAAACGTACCCACCTGAATCATATAAACGGCGCCGCATTCGTCAACTTCCAATATCGGCGCATGGCCGTTGAAGCTAACCGAGAACCACATCCTCGGAATGACGAGGTCAGGTATAGCTCCGCTACTCATCTAGCAACGACTCTAGACCCAACCCAGCGGTCCACTCTGGCAGACAATACTAATCTTCAGCTCCATGATTGGATCGTGCATGGCCTCAGCCATGGTTTGGAGGGTATGAGGCTCCGTTCTGGAATACCGGCATCGCGTCATGGTGTGCCGGTTCTCGTGAGCCTCCTCCTGAGTTTGCCAAGGCCCAACATGTATAACTATACCCGGAGGAATCCTCTCCTTCAGTCATGTCTTTGTTTCTTTAGCAAACTTTCGGTTCTTCCAATAAGGAATATTCTTCATTCTCAAGTCGTTTGGTCTCCAAACGCGTCCTTTCTCTCCAGGCCTTGACGGCTTTTTTTCATTCATTTCTTCCAATACTCTCTTTCAACCCCTTTACGACCATGAAGGTCTCTGCTTCGGTTACGGCCACCATGGCGCTAGGCGCCTCGGCCGCTGGCACATTGAACTACACAGATAGCTACACTGGAATCTCCTTTTCAGGATACAGCGATGGAAAGGGCTATCTTTTTGGTATGGCTCTGCCCGAGACGGTCGGCACCGACGCCATCATCCAGCTCGTTGCCCCGGCCACCGATGGCGCAGGTTGGGCCGGTTTTGATTTCGGTGTCGAGATGGCCAACAAGCTGCTGCTGTGTGCTTGGCCCAACGGTGACTCCATCGTCACGGCAGCACGCATTGCTACTACATACGCCAACCCTACAGCTTACACAGGCGATGTATCATTCTACCCCATCGAGGATGGTACCTATGTCAATAGCACTCACTACTCGGCAACCTTCCTCTGCTCCGGGTGCATCACAAACGATGACGATACCTTCCTCACCACCGATACAAACGCCATCCTCGGATGGGCATACTCGGACACTGCCCCGACAACCCCCAGCGACACTTCTTCCGCCTTGAACTACCACTCGGCTGGTTTCGGTGGTTTCGGCATGACTCTATCGTCCGCCATGAACGCCAACTACGACACATGGGCCGCTCTGGCAAGCTCGACTGCTTCGTACCCTGCCGCTTCGACCGGAAGCAACTCCACCACTGGCGGTAACTCCACCACTGGCGGCAACTCGACCACCTCTCACAGCGTCACTTACGCCGACGAGAGCTACGACTACATCATTGCCGGCGCCGGTCCCGCAGGTCTCATCGTTGCTGGCAGACTTGCAGAGTCTGGTGCTTCGGTTCTGCTCATTGAGCGTGGTGGTGCCTCTACTTACTCCACTGGTGGTGATGCTACTGTCTCCTGGAACAGCAGTGTTACTCAGTACGATGTCCCTGCCGAGGCCTACTACCTTTCCAGTGCCTCGCAGACTGACGAGTACTGCACGGACACTGCTTCCATGGCTGGATGTATCCTGGGTGGTGGTGGCATGGTCAATGCCCTGATGTACGTCAAGCCTCAGGACAAGGACTTTGATGACAACTGGCCCACCGGCTGGCAGTCCTCTGACGTTTCCGATGCTGCCGACCGCCTCTACGCCCGCAGCTCCGGTACCATCAACCCTTCTGCCGACGGTCAGCGATACGACCAGGGCGCCTATGATGTGCTTTCGACCTTCTTGAGCGGCAACGGTTTCACCTCTGTTGACGCCATCGAGCAGCCCAACGAGAAGAACGACGTATTCTCGCACCCCCCGTGGCTCATCCAGGATGGTATGCGTGGCGGACCCGTCAAGTCTTACCTCCCCCTTGTTGAGAACCTGTCCAACTTCAAGCTGAGCCTGAACACCAAGGTCGTTCGCGCTGTCCGTGACAGCACCTGGGTCTCTGGTGTCGAGGTTGAGCTCGAAGATGGATCTTACCAGATCATCAACGTTACCGAGTCTACTGGAAAGGTCATTCTCGCTTCCGGTGCTCTGTCCACTCCCAGAATCCTCTTCTACAGTGGTATTGGACCCACTGAGCAGATTGAGGCTGTCCCTACCGACATCACCCTGCCTGACTCCTCCGAGTGGATCAGCCTTCCCGTCGGACAGGGCATCAAGGACCACACCATCATCACCATCACCCTCGCTACCAAGACTTCCCTGAGCGCCCTCGCTTCCACCAACTTCACGTCTCCTGATGATGAGTCCGTCGATCTGTTTGCTCAGGGCTCCGGTCTCTTGACCCAGGGTGGACAGCGCCTCAACTTCTGGACCTCTGTCGTCTCTCCCAGCGATGGACTCACCCGCTACATGCAGGGCACTTGCAACTCTCCGTCTGACGACACCATCAAGATCAAGCTCTACGTTACCCACGGTCTGACCTCTTCCACTGACCTTGTCCTCGACTCGACTGGCGCGTCCACCACGCTCTCTGGCTCCCCTTGGCTCCAGACCCAGGGCGATATCGAGGCTTACCAGGTCATGTTTGACCGCCTCATTGAGATGACCAGCGCCTCCAACTCGACCTTGACCCTGCAGTACAGCGATGGAACTACCGTGTCTTCCAACGTCACCGGCTCTTCTTACTACGAGGACGTTTCGTCGACCTACACCACCGGCTCCCACTTTGTTGGTAGTGCCAAGATGGGATCTGACGATGGCCGTACTGACAACGGTACTGCTGTTGTTGACCTAAACACCCAGGTCTACGGTACTGACAACCTCTTTGTCGTTGATGCTTCTTTCCACCCTGACCTGCCCACTGGTAACACCCAGGCGATTGTCATGTAAGTATTGAATGTGTAACATGTTTGAACGAAATCGATAGCTAACTTTCGACTCACAGGGTTGCCGCCGAACAGGCCGTCAGCAAGATTCTCGCCCTCAGCGGTGGCAGCGTCAGCAGTGGCAACGGCACCACCACCGGCTCTTCTGGTAGTGGAAGCTCTTCCGACAGCGGCAAGGGCAGCAAGTGCAAGCGCGCCGCCAAGGCCCGCCGCGAGGCCGCCATCAAGGAAAGAGATCTCAAGGAGAAGGCTGCTGCCTCGACGCGGAGACAGATCCGTGGTCTCATTCGCAAGCCTTACAACAAGAGAATGGCTAGCCGCCGCACCACTCTGGGCCACATGTAAAAGTAGCATGGGCTGATCACGAGCTTGTTCGTTTTGTTGTTTCCATTTTCTGCATTCAATCGCATGGCACCGGTGGGCTAGGAGGGCAAGCTATGGCATTTGCTTTGGATATTGCATTGGCCGGCGGTGTTGGCTTATTTGTTTCAACTGTAAATATTATCGTAGATTCTCTGTACAATGACTATCTTGTTCATTACAATGTCACCTTCGCCTCCACATCGTTCTACCTGGTGTGCCAAGTTCTATCTTCCTTCGACAGGTGTCCTTGAGCTGATAACCGACCACAGTGATTCTTCTGCTGCTCCTGAACCCTGGCTGATCTCAACCAACGAGTGGCAACCAGTCATCCCCTTTGCTCCGTGATCTTCCCGGGTTACTCTTTCCGTTGAAGCTATCACTATCGACAGTCGGCTGCCCATCGTTGGTTCGACTGAGCCTCCCAGATTGTCTCTCGGTTATTTTGGTTTATACACTCGTGATGCTTTTGCCCAATAGTTGACAGTCCGGGGGCAGTGCCTATCATATGGTCGTCAGCAAGTTTCCTGCTGGTACCCATCCCATTACAGGTGATTATTGACATCATTACACGTCATACCAGTTCATCTCCGGAACTGTTTGTCGTTTCAGCCTTGCAGTCAGGGTTTCATACTTGAGTTCTCTGGATCAACTGATATTGATATTGCAACCTTCGAGATTTTCCGCACCCTTTGTTATCATAGCCTCGACAAAGACGCAGTCCTTGGGGTTGAGGAACCTTTGGTCAAGTTGTTCATCTATGTACATGGTGTTGTTCAGTATAATCAAAGCTTGTCAACTTTGCCCTCTTCTTGTGATAATGTGTGAAGTTTGAGTCGATTTGGACGTGATCTAAACCAAGATTGCTGCAATCAAAATGGGGTGACCTCATTATTGTAAACATTGCTTCCCATAACGCATATTGTGTACTCCCCACGACCCTTGCTGTCGCTATTGGCACCCTCGTGGGTCTGTTGTCTTGGTGATTGTCCTAGGTATCTACACCCCCGTTGGCTTCGACTGCCAACAGGTGTGTCAGGTCCCCCCTTGGAATTGTGCCCACGCGGGCCCAGCCTGTGATTCTGCCACTCCAAATCGCCCTAGGCTGCAGATCTCACGATGGCTTCTGACTGGCCGGAATCCAGGTGACTAACAATCAGCCGCAGGACCCGCGAGGGGTTTCACAAGTATAAAGTATTCCTCCAGTCCCAGCCTTGGAGTTTTCTTTTTTTCCCCTTCTCCTCTTCCTCCATCACCACAACCAACAGGTGGCACATCAAAACATCACAACCCCCATCATCTCCCACCCAGGCATCACAGCCTTCCCTCACCCATCAGTCTGTCATCTTCAGACACTTGCGGATGTATTCCGGTACTCCCTGGATGTACTCTAGTACTCCCTCTTTTACCCTTCTTCACTACTGCTATCACAGCACGGGCGGCCCACCACTCCGCGTAACGATTCGGCTGCCTACTTGGGCGCCCAATGGATCTGACGTCGATTTTGCACCACATACCAGACCATGGCGACCAGCGACAAGAGATTCTGTTGAAGTACAGCAATTTCGATATTCGCAGTGGAATGCCGAACGAGATTCGAAAATACACAAACCTGGACGGCTCCCAGTTGCAAGCGGTCCATCGGCTGTTGACAAAGACTGCCCCGGTAGCTCACTGAGCAGTAAGTCTTATGTCTTCTCCCTACTGTTTCTATCCCCCAGATTTGTTTTCTTGATTTCGTACAACCTGTTTGTCTGCTTGTCACTTTGAAGACTCGGCAAACACTTTTTCATCTTCTCCCTACCCTGAACATTCATCACCATATATCCGTTGGGACATTTCTCATCAGTCATCCGAGCGTCACCTCAAACATGGGATCAGTTTTCCCACATCTTCTTCTTCGTCCCACGTTTCGAATCTTGTCCGATCGGTCGAGTACAATATCACTTCCAATTTTCCCCCCGCCTACATACGGCTGTTTGGCAAGTGCTGGTATGCTACATATGCATGTATGTATTTGCTAGCAACTACCATTCGTACCCCACCCAAAACTATTGCACACACATGCATCGCATAATGATTGTGCATGCATGTGGCTCCTGCACTATTTGGTACATAGTTACCTACCTTCTGCAAAATAGTTTGCAAGTGCACATGTGGTCCGTGTTTAGGCAACAGTCCATGTTGGTGGTCCGTGTTCCTACCCAAACTGATCACAACCCCCATAACATGGTCACTGCCTCTGTTACACCTCCTTCCCTCAAAGCTTCCCATATCAGTGTCAGAGCACTCCAATTTCCATGTCCACACACCAGAGTTGTTTACATCACCACGCAATTCAGCTTTCTGTATAGATTCACATAAACAAAGAGAATAATTCTAATCATTGTCATCTATAATAGCCCTGTCGAATGTACGACCAATCAGAAAATTAAAAAAAAAAACCAGAAAAACAAAACAAAAAAAATCCCCTTGACATTTACCGGGCAACCGGAATGTCGGGCCCTCAGGGTTCAGGTCCCCCCAGCCTTGGCCACTGGCCTGGCAAGGTACGTTTTAGCCTTGCGTCGTCCATTGATTATTCCATTCCAACTTTCCAATCTGGTCTCAAGAGCTGCGGATTGGTTGAGCCTCACCTGCGCAATCAGCTGCCAGCTAGCCCAGCGCAGCCTTGCCTTGCCTTCCCTGCCCCACTAAACTGCAACTTCCGTCCTATTTTGCAGCTTAGTCTATTTCTTCTGGACTTTGCAATCCGTCCCATCTCTCTTTTCCATCCTTCCTCCATTTCTTTCGTGCTGTTTTCTCTTCTCAACAGTTACGAGACAAAAATCACACACCGATTCTTTTGCATGAAACCCGCATCCACAAGCTTGTGTCTGGACATTTCTGATCGTCTTGAAATCCTTTTTAGACCTCAAATACTTCCATTCCACTGCAACTTCCATCTTTTCCGTCAGAAGTCATCAATTGACCGAACAACCTTCACCATCAACCCCCTCGGATTGGCCTCTCACGTTCGCATCAGTCCACTTGACTAACATCATGGACTCCCAGGACCTGCATGACACGGTGGCCGACCATGTCAACTTCGTCCCTCTTCGGGACAACGGTTGGCAGGGACTCCCAGACCTGCCAACCGCGGGAGAGTTGAACCCCCCCTGGAGTTCGGGAGACATCTCCCAAACCGTCATGGGAGTGTTGGGACGAAACGATATCACGAGGGCATACGGGTCCAAGGATCACTACCTTGAGACCCACTATCGTCTCAACAGAGAGGAAGGCGTGGCATTCCTCCGATCCGGAGTCAGAGAGTTCAAGGAACAACCTTGGATGGGAGACACTGAGACCACCATGGTCTACACCAAGGTACGTCAATCACACTCATCCTTCTTGACTCGAAAACCGGTCACTAACATCTCTCTCTGTTGTAGGTAGCTGTCAAGGGCTACCTGATGTCAGCCCTTGGGCCTGTCTGTCGCTTGCAGTTCTCGACGGAGCGAGCTGGCAAACGCATCCAATGGTCCGTCAGCTCAAGGCTGACACCCGGTACTGTCGTCGCGATCTCAACAGCGACCGACAGCTTTCGAAGCCTGTGCTCGACTGCCGTCGTAATGGGACGTAACATCGAGGACTTGGCCAAAAGTCCCCCCACAATTGACATTAAGTGGGCGGAGACGGAACAGATGGTCTTCGACCCCACAGAGGAGCTCGTCATGATCGAGGCCCGAAGCGGCTTCTATGAGGCGGTTCGGCATACCCTCGTCGGACTGCAACATGTTGCCAGGTCAAACAGCCCACTCCTCAAATATCTCGTCGAGGGGAGCATGCAGGATAATTCCCCTCAATTCATCAAAAACAATGGCCGAATGGATCTCACGTCGATCTTGCACCACATACCAGACCACGGCGACCAGCGGCAAGAGATTTTAAACAAGTACAGCAATTTCGACGTCCGCGGTGGAATGCCAAACGAGATTCGAAAATACACGAATCTGGACGGCTCTCAGTTCCGAGCGGTCCATCGACTGTTGACAAAGGAGCTCGCCATTTGCCAGGGTCCACCTGGAACAGGCAAAACATACACGTCTGTCCAGGCTCTTCAGTGCATGGTCAACAATCTCACCGCTGGTATGAGAAAGAATCCAGAGGACGTCATTGTGGTAGCCGCTGAGACGAATCATGCTGTTGATCAGATCTTGACCCACTTGATCAAGGCTGGAGTTAGCGTGGTTCGGCTTGGAAGCCGAACTCGAGATGAGGATATCAAGGGGTTCAGTCTCTTCAATCTCCGCCGGAACGTCAAGTCTGTCCAGAGTCGTGACTACAATAATGTGAACGCAGCTCGACAAAGGATTATCCGCGACATTGAACTGGCGGTTGCAGAGATTTTCTCAAAGGAGCTCCTGGACCCATCTGTCTTGCACGAGTACGGAATCATCACCAAGGACCAGTTCGACTCCGTCTCTGGTGAGTCTTGGGGTTGGATTCCCGCGCCAGGAAGACCAAACGGTATCATGGCTGAGTGGTTGGATAACGCCGCTCGAGACGTCCAGATACACATTAAGCAGTCAGTCTTTGATGTGGATGAGCCGCTGGATGAGCGTCACGACGGAGTAGACACGGCAGAGTGGGAGCTTGATGTCGACGACCCAACCAACGATTCCAGTCCAGACTCCTTTCGCTTGCAAGGTCGATTCGTTGAGATCAAACGCAAGTGGGGTGGAGAGAACCCGGAGAGTCTTGCCGGCAATACACCTATGTTGCTTCGTCACCTCGCAAAGAACGATCTATGGGACATACCCGAGAAGTGGCGCGGTCCAATCTACGAGTACTGGCACAAGAAGTTGTTGGATATTCGATCCGACGCTTTGCTCCGACTTTTTGCCAACTATACTCGCATCTGTAACAATCTGAAGATCAGCGGCTGGAAGAGGGATGTTGAGTGTATCAAGACGAAGGGCATTCATGTCATTGGCTGTACCACAACTGGTCTCTCCAAGTACCGTGGGCTTCTCGCAGCTCTGGAACCCAAGACCCTGCTTGTCGAGGAGGCTGCTCAAAGTCGCGAAGCTCACATCGCCGCTGCACTACTGCCCAGTCTCCAGCAGCTCATTCTCGTTGGGGACCACCAGCAGTTGGTCCCACACTGTGACGTTCCCGGTCTAGCAGACGGATTTCACAACCTCACTGTGTCCATGTTCGAGCGTCTGGTAGAATATTTGCACTTACCATACACCATCCTGAATCAACAACGCCGCATGATTCCCGAGATCAGATCTGTTCTGAACCCTTTTTACCCTGGACTCGGTGACCACCCTGTGGTTATGGACAAGACACTGCGCCCTGATGTTCCCGGAATGCCCGTCAACTTGTACCTCTTCAATCACGACTGGGTTGAGAGTATTGACTTGGAATCCTTCAGCAAGCTCAATACAGAAGAAGCAATGATGGTTGTCCGATTTGCCATCTACCTCTTGCAGAACCAAGTTCGGCCCGAACAAATCACCATTCTGACATTTTATCGTGGGCAGGTCAAGAAGATAAGGAAGCTCCTTCGACAATACATGTTGCCTTTGTTTGGCCCCGAGGTTCATCGCGGTGTCCGTCTAAGTACGGTTGACTCATACCAAGGCGAAGAGAACGACATTATACTGCTTTCACTCGTGCGCAGTAATTTCCGAAAGAATCACGCGGTCGCTGGATTTGTTGGTGACATGAATCGAAGCGTTGTGTCCATCAGCCGTGCCAAGCGTGGTTTCTACATTTTCGGCAATATTGACAATCTCGCATCTGCAACCGAGACCTCGCGTTTCATGTGGGGCAATGTGCAGAGAGTGTTTGAAGGTCTTGGTCGATACAGCCCAGCCGCGTCAAGTCTCCCACTGCGATGTCAGAACCACGGTAACATTACCTACGCTGCAAATGCCGAAGATCTCCAGACTCGACACGGCGGCTGCTTCGAGAAGTGCACCGGCAATTTCCAGCCTTGTGGCCATCAGTGCGAACGACTTTGCCATCCCATGTCACATGACAAGCTCATTTGTCAACACGCCTGTGAGCGAAAGCTTCAATGCGGTCACAGTTGCAGAAATATCTGTGGTGATGACTGCCACTGTGAGCAGAATTGTGCGCAATTCAAGCGATTGAAGTCTTTGCCGACGTCCTCAGACCAAGCAAACTCTGTTAGTCGTTTTCAAGTGGCCAATTCAGCAGAAGACACTGCCGTCAATAGATGGACAAACTGGCAACCATCCAGCGACAGAGTTCTCGAACGTCCTGCTCCATCAATGACACAGACAGTCGAGACTAATACGGGCTTCCACGACACCTTCCGCCCCGTCCGCATCGGGCAGGATGGTCAGAGACTGACAGGCCGACCTATTATCGTCGTCCAGCAGCAAGCCCGATCGCAAGTACAAGTCCTCGACAAGGAGCAGCAGCAGCAGAACGGGATTAGCAGTAATGAGAGTGGCAGCACATCGTCGAGTACTACCCAAAGCGCAACCCGCTTGCAGGCTCCCAGTTCCTTGCCCCAACAGCAGGCCTATTTGTCCGGTGAACATGATGATTCGAGCAACCATGGGCTTTCAGATGCTTTTTTCCAAAAGGTCACCATCAGAGTCAAGCGAGACCGTGTTCCTAATGAGTGGGAAGTCTCGAGTGAAGATGATGAGGAAGATGGAGACCAATATACACAATTGCGGTCGCACAATGAAGACGTTGAGGATCAGGATAACGATGATTGCGAGAGTGACTTGATCACTTTCTGAGACGAAATTGGTTGGGTTTTGAGATGGAATTGGTTGTGTTTTTGAAATGGAATTGGCTGTCAATGGTTCTTGTACATGGGAGAACTGCTCAAAGCAATAGTGTAGAATTACTTGGACAAGGTGGCCTACTTTTCTGGAATGTTTGGCCCAATTGAATGATGAGGAAGACGCCATTCCATAGAAAATAAAGAGCATATGCAAATCATTCTGGAGCAGATCCTCAAGTCCAACCGCTTGCCCAATGTATCGTGTGGACAACTGTGAGAGCGGATCAATCGACGGCTCACGTGTTCTTCAGTGATGCTTAGCATGTTATCCAATATTCCGACATAGAATTCTTTTCGTGGAGATTCTGCGTTGATTTCTAAGAACCAAGAGACCAAAGGCCAAAACTTGACATGGTATGTTCCCACATCTACCCGTACCAGCCGATGCCGCAGTTTGATTGTGGTGACAGAGTTATCAAGCTAGATCCTAACGGACATAGTCCTTCTTGAGCTAGAAGACTAAGCATTTGTTTACCCGGGATCCTTCGATGTGTTGGTAATCAAGAGGTGAATCGTGGTCTAATTCGTTCAGTGCAATTGTGTACCGGGGTGCACTGAGGCGCAGCAAGAGTTTAACCGTTATGCTGGCGATTTGGCTTGATTTCCATCTGCTCACCTGCAAAGACGAGGAGGAACCATCATTCGTAAACATTTGAACATTCCTCTAAAGCCCTCTAAAGCAATTGCAATACGCCATCGAACGATTGAAGAAGAGATCTGCACAATGGCGGAGGAAACACCCAACCGTCCGTAATCTCATTCTAATGTCGCCATGCTGACTGCCCTTTGGCTGACCAAAAGCGTTCATCTATGCAGACATTACCCATACAGAATGGTCAAATATTGCGCCGGCCATGATGCAGCAAATCACTGCTGGTCCCGGCGTCGCGCCTGCTGAACACATGGCCAAACACGGGAATGAGCTCTTGTCCTTTTCCGATGCCACTACCATTGTCGATATGGGTTGTGGCCCGGGCCAGGTAAGACTAGCAATTTTGGGAATGATGGGCCCAAGGCTAAGACGGTGCAGGTCACCAACGCGGTATTGCAGGCTCATGATACGCGGATTCCGGTTTCCGCCAAGGTGATTGGAGCCGACAACAATGCGCAAATGTTGGCTCAGTATAATGCGCGCAAGCAGGCTGAAGTTGACAAGGGCAACACATCCTGGCAGCATGCCGAGACGGTCGAGGTAGATATCCATGATTGCGCCGCCTTTGAGGATGATTCTGTCAGCCATATGCTATGCGGATTTGTCCTCTTCTTGGTCCCGTAAGTATTTCATCGGAGGAAGATATGGCTTTGTGGCAATTTTCTTTTGCACTCTGAGCTCCATGATACCTGAGAAAAGTTGCTAACTCTTCTCGCAAGTGATCCCGCCAAAGCCATTGACGCCATGAAGCGCGTCGTGGCACCTGGAGGCGTGGTCGCCATGTCCTCTCTACAGAGCAGTGAATGGGTCAGGCTATCCATGTACCCATTAAAGGTGCGCCCCGACTTGAAAATGGATATTCCTACCAATGGCTGCTCCTCGGCCGAGGACGTGACTCGGCGCCTTACGATGGCCGGCTTCAAGGACATTGAGGTTGTTGAGATTGAAAACTATCTGGCATTTGACGATTACGACGTGATTTGCCGGTTTCTCTTGACCAAGTTGCCTATGGCGGCGAGAATCATTGCCCAGATGACGAACGAAGAGGTCCTGAAGACGCAGGAGTTGATGATGGCGGACTTGAAGGTTTGGCATCCTATCCTGCCGGCCAAGATGGTTGGAAAGGTGAATGTGGCATATTGTCGCAAATAATTCAAAGGAATTTCAAGACATTCGACTGGGCTGCGTTGGTAGAACATATAGTACGAGGTTGTGTTATCCTGCAAATTTTGAATTTTTGCAAGTGGTTTTAGTATCTCACTGACTGTAGCATCTACTCGACAGACTGCTTTACTTGAGGCAGTGGTGAAGGTGATAATCTTACGTATTGTACATGTTCAAGGCTTAGCTTGGCGCCAAGTGATGATAAATCCACCGTATGAGACGTTACCGGCCAACATAAACGTCCTCGACCTCCTTCCCGGGAAAGTTTGTCAGTCGCCAACAGTCAATAATGGCGGCATCGTCGACAGACTCTAGCACCCCCACGGCGACTATCCCGTTCATCCAATTGTACGGTGAGTCGCCGGCCGCCTCAAAGGTAATGTGCGTAAAGTATTCCACGTCATCCTGTAGGAATCTTGTCTTGGTGCCTGCGTCGTAATCAAAGTCCACGCCGGGGCCCGGCCGGAAAACGCCCTGCGCATCGACCAGAATATGATGCCCATCGTCGGTGAGTAGCGTGTATCGAGCAAACAGCTTGTAGAAAATCTAATGATTGTCAGAACAAAAAAAAAAAAAAAAAAAAAAAAAACCCCTCATGCACCAGTAAGACGGACCTTTTTGGAATGAATGCGCTGAGCCCAATCGGCGCCGCTATTCTCCACCACGATGCCGTTGATCTTTGGACCGCGCACGGTGCCGCGAGCAATGTGGCCGACGGAGCGCGTGACGCCGGTGCCCTGGAGGTTCTCAATCTCGTAGTGGTTGGTCGGGTGCATTTCGGCGACCAGGCGGTATACAAACTCCATGTGCGGCGGTCGCATTGGTGGCACGTCGGGATACAGGGCATTTCCTGGGCTGGTATTGGCCTCGGACGCCATGGTTTGTACCTGTGAAAAATGGGAATTATTTGTCAAGCAGGGGGGGCGATGCCTTGAAAGACTTTGAGGAAGCATGAAATGGCAGCTGATTCCAACTTTGCATCTCCCGTCTCGTTTCTTTCAATGCCTACATATACTGACTACATTCTTGAGATCCTCGGCCTTGTAGAATCCGTATGGCGTCCACGTTGTCGATTGGACTGGACGTGGGGAAAACATTAGCAGGGGTGGTATGTAGTGCTGCAGGGGACAGCAGTCGGAGGTCCAGCGCTAGATCAGCGCGGTACGGGCTGCCAAAAGAAGTATCGCTCACTATCTGCATCATGCTGACAAGGTATAGCACCAGTACGTACCGCAGCCAGGTCTGGCCAGAACCGGTGCAAACGCATCCGTCTTAATCATGTGCAAGACCGAGTATGATAGATTCGGTTGTTGGATATGTTTTGCCATCTCTAGCCGTCTCGACACTTTTGATTCTTGGTCTTGATTGTTCTGACACGAAACATCCAGGTCCATCAATGCTTAATGGCAGCCAAATCGACAACCAAGGTGCTAATCAAGCCCCTTGGCTTTGGTGAGTTTCTTTCTCCAGCTTTGCATCTTTCCTTTCGCGAGAAGACGAGCCCCTTACGCTGATACGGATCACTTGTAAAGACAGACGTTCAGTGGCAGCAGCGGCCGAGACCTTGAGCCTAGCTTTTGCGACCGACCCTCTGCTCATGTGGTTATACCGCGACGCGAGCGTCATGCGCTGGGATTCCCTCACGCCCGCACTACAGAAATGGCAAGAGCTGCGTGTACGCCAAATGTTGGTCGACGAAGTTGCCGTGGAAGCTGTGATGGAACAAGAGAGCATGCCCCGGAGTCTAGGTGTCTGCTTCCTCCGCCCGCCGGCGTCGCATGCGCTCCGTCGTACAAGTCTACGACACTGGTGGGAGTATCTCAAGGTTCTATGGACCCGAGTATGGGACCAGCCAAAGGAGCCTGCGTGCGACGGAAAGGTACGATATCTCTCAAATCCTAAAGTATGTGTCTATAGATGTACTAAAACGAAAGCGAGCAGAGATCCACGACAATGTACGCCAGCCATGAAGACTTTTTCAAAAAGTTTGGAACCAAGTACCCCAAAAGTTCCATGTGGTATCTCTCGATAGCTGCCGTCAATCCGGATGCGCAAGGCATGGGAATCGGCGGGACGCTCATGAATTGGGCGATTGAACGCATGGGTAACGAAACGTGCTACCTAGAATGCACGAATTATAAAAACGTCCCATTCTATGAAAAGTATGGGTTCAAAATGCTAGATGAGGGTGTATTAAGGGACGAAGAAAGGCCGTCTCACGAGTGCAGTTTGTATCATATGGTGAGAGACAAGGCACAGTAATGCTAGAGTGCCGAAATAGATGGAAATTTTCGTCTTGTTGAAATATTGTCAGGTGAATACTTGCCTCGTCAACGTTTTGGTATTTTGCAAGCTATGGAAAATGATTATGGACTTTGCATGGTCAATTGAATTCTTCTACTGTACAAACATAACCGTCATGAGATATACGCGAGTCATTCAAGACATGCAACTGGATAATTTGCATGCTTGTAACATATCCTACCGCCGAGACTCGAACAGGCCAATATCAACTGGATGTTACAATGTTGGAGTATTTCAATGCCATATCCTGCAGGGTTATCTCGGCTGGGTCTGATCAACATGCCATGGGGCACTAATGTGCTTTTACCAGGTGCCAATAGGTGGGGGTCGACAGCGATGAAGCAACCCGAGCCGCGCTCCAAAATCTGCTGCGTTGGGTCTAGTTAGTGAGTAGACTGCGCTTTAGGTCCGTCACTGATAACCGGCCCTCCTGGACCAAGCAGACATCTATGGATGCACCAACGGCGCCTCAGACTGCTGGTAGCAGACGTACCAAGTCTTTATCGCATCTCTAGGCTGATTAAAGTCAATAGACAGTCGACTGTTGCAATGTCGGAAACAAACATGCCGGTTGATCAGAAATACATAAGTTTACTGGCTTGTCGATAGATGCATTCTGGCCTGGTCGGATCAATCTACTCCTCAGTTCCCCCACCACCAAACACACACGTCTCGTCTACATTCTACACATACCTTATCTGGGCATCGTTCGTTGCCATCATGCCTCCTAGTCAAGTGCCAATCACTGGCAAGGCCAGACTGGTTGTCGAGTCTTTGGGTACGGTGGAAGGATGGCATTTCCAGAACGGCGTCCAGCAATTTGCCGGAATACCATATGCGACGTTGCCCAAGCGATGGACGCGATCAATCCTAAAGACATCTTGGCCGAATGGCTTTCATGACGGCACCAAACTTGGGTAAGTGGGAACATCTCCTTGCCTTTTCTCTAGATGTGAATTTCTGCAATTCAGAAATGCTGACCTGCTTGCAGCTCTAGTGCCCCCAATCCTCCAGAGTACAATCACGGTACTGATGTCCTCATTCCCGTGGCCAAGGTGCCGCACTTTGATCATCCAATCGAAGACGAATTGAGCTGTCTAGTCATGAGCATCACAACTCCTCCAAGACAGGGGGAGAAGAAGTTTCCTGTCATGGTCTACATCCATGGCGGGTCCTTTTTGTACGGGGGCGCCAATGAGCCTGTCTTTGACGGTGTCAATTTTGTGTCTCACTCAGTGAATCGAGATACCCCCGTTGTAGCCATAAACTTCAACTACCGCGTCGGTCTGGGGGGTTTCCTCGCTTCCGAGGCCATACGTCAAGATCTGGAAAAGGACGGTTTCGCCGGAGTGGGCAACTTTGGTCTCTACGATCAGCAGGTGGCTCTCTACTGGGTTCAACGATATATCTCAGCCTTTAGAGGGGATGCCGGTAATGTCACTATATACGGCGACTCCGCTGGCGGTATGAGCGTCTCCCACCAGATCGCAGCCAAGAACCCGGCACCATTCCATCGTGCCATTGCCATGTCTGGCCATCTGAACACCATCCCGACATGGCCACTCCAACACCACGAGAAGCATTACCGGGCGCTTCTGACATATTTCAAAATTGATCCCGATTCTTCAACATCGCTGGATGAGCTGCGTACCATTCCACAGGATAAAGTCTCAGCTGCAACATTGCACGTGGAGGGGATTTTTGTTTGTACTGGCAACCCCTGTGATGACGGGGTGTTTCATGCCACTCCACCATCATTCAGCCAGATCAGTTCGCCACCCGAGTGGCTCAAATCATACATGGTTGGTGATGTCCTTGATGAGGGCATGATCTTTCATGAAAGCTTCGAGGAGGACAATTTCTCGTCAGTCTACGAGACGTTGGCGTCGCACTGCGGACCGGATGCAGCCAGCGAGATTCTCAATGCATACGACATTACTACGAATACCCCTACAGACCAGTTTCTTGTACGGATGGAGGACCTGGCAGGAGACACCACCTTCAAAGCTCATAACCGGATTGCTGCGCATCGCTCCAAGATTAGGCAGACGTTTGGCTATCACTTTGACAGGCCCTGTACCCATGACAGCCCACTGAAGGGTCTGGCGTATCATGCACTTGACCTTCTCTACCTGTTTCTCAATTTTGATGAACACTTTAGCACGGAGCAGAAACAATTGGCCCGGTCCATGGCAGATCACTGGATCGACTTTGCGTATGGTAAGGACCCGTGGCCGCGCATCAGTGAGAGCGCTTCCTGGATGCGCTATGGTGCGGATGACTCTTGCCAAGTGGTCAGTGAGAGTGAGGATGAGCCTGTGCGTAAATACTCGCGGACGCAAAAGATTATTGACATGGGCGTCTACGAACAGCTGATAGCAGCGGTGGACCATATCGCCGTGAAGAGGGATCGCATGGGCAAATTTGAATGGTCACCCCCAAAGATGGGCCAGTGAATAGTATAAGTTCAGTTGACCAGTCTTATGTAAATGAACTAGTTTGACACGGATTTAGAATTGAGCACCGAATATGATCAATGAGGTTCACGCGGACCAGAACTTTGAGTTTGTCTCGATTTCATAAATTTCTACGTCCACCATATTGGGCACTTGTAGAGAGTCTAGACATACTCACACATGACTCGGCCTCCGGTACGTTCGATAAATGGAGGATATGTCAAGTCTATAGATTCAGTGGTGAAAAGGTCTCATCTATATGATTTTGATACGAATGCACCAATACAATCAATCATGAACCATACCGAGACCTTTTCCAGTGCAACCACCTGCCTTTACTCGTATTTGCTCGGGTGGCTGTAAACGAACCATTTTGCGAAAAGGAATGCCGAAATCAGATACCGATCAAACTCACCGAGCCTCGTCTTCTGATTTGCCAACCCCAATACGTCTTGCTGCCAATTGTGTGCGGACCTCACGTTACACCTGCACTAACCCGAAACTACAACTCGAGCCGCGAGCCGCGCACAGGTGAAATGCCCAATCTGTACAGTTCAGGCACGCCCACTGGCCTCGCATCTGGCGTTGAGGGGTCTCCATCCTATAATAGATTGCAACCTCTTTAGAGTACTTTGCTACAAGCACCAGCCTTCGCTAACATAGGACTACATTTCGACCACCACTTTCTTATAATCACCGAAAAGAGCATAGAGCTAGACACGAAACCATAATGGATCACGAAGGTGAGACATTCCCCCTCTCCCCAAAGTCACACACAGCCACTGAATCGTAGTAGATCTCAGAAATCAGGTCTTGGAGAGGATTTCTCTCCCAGTCGGACCACCGAGTTTGCATCCGACTACTTCTGCTTGGCAGGAACCGCCCCACCCAACCATAGCAACTGTGCGCTCAGCGGAATTGCCAACCGAGACTGATATTGTCATCATCGGCTCAGGCATCACAGGGTGTAGTACTGCCTATCATCTGCTGCACGATGCCAGTGCCAGTGCGGCAGGCCTTCGGATCACGGTATTGGAGGCGCGCAACGCCGTGAGCGGGGCTACCGGCAGGAACGGCGGCCACTTGATGTCGGATTCCGACGAGCTCTTTGCAGAGCACGTGGAGACTGTCGGCAAGGAACAGGCGATTGAGATATTGCATTTCACCGAGGCCAACATTACCCGCCTAGCACAGCTGGTCGAGGAGCTTGACCCAGCCGATCATGCCGCAGTCGAGTTGAGAACCGTGACTCACGCTACGGGCCTAGATGCAGATCAATATGAGGCGGCCAAGTCGGTCGCCGCATCGATCAAACAAAACGTCCTCCAGAGAAATCTGGGGTTCGACGTAACCTCCAAAGAAGAGGCAGTCAAGGTAAGACGTCCGGCCGCAATGTTCATATCAAGCCTCTGCTTATTCCACACACAGAAGTACCATTTCAAAAATGTCGCAGGAGCCAGTCAGCAAGCTGGGGCTGCCGCACTATGGCCGTACCGCCTTTTTACTGCAGTCTTTAGCTCGCTGTTACGAAACTTTGAAGGCCGGTTCACTCTCGAGACAAATACGCCAGTGACTGGAATTCATCACACTGGGGATCAATCTCTCCCATACAGTCTGGAGACTCCAAGAGGCACCATTCGGGCTAAGAAGGTCATTCATTGTACCAACGGATATTCGGCCCACCTCCTGCCTCGTCTGACGGGAAAGTTGTGGCCTTTCAAGGGAACAATGTCGAGGCAGGCTCCCGGACCATTATTTCCGCGTGTTGGTCACCATGTTGCCTGGTCATTGGTTACCCGAGGCCACTACGATGCAAAGTCCCAGGAATTCACGACCGGTCTTTACTATGCCCAGCAAAATGCCCAGACGGGCGATATATGGGTTGGAGGCGAGTCGCAAAAGGTCAAGGATTTGTTGACCCATAATGACTCGTTTGTGAGTGATGCCGCCAAGCAGAATATCTTGTCGATTCTACCCCGGATCTGGGAGGATACGGAACCCGTTGGAGATTCTCAGGTCTGGTCGGGGATCATGGGGTTCACGTCCGATCACCTACCCGTGGTTGGCAGGCTGACTCCCAACATGTCGGGCCGCACAGGAGACGGCGAGTGGATTGCCGCTGGCTTTAGCGGGCACGGTATGGACAAGTGTTGGCTGACGGGAGAGGCGGTTGCGAGCATGGCTATTCATGGAAAGATTCCTGATGGGTTTCCAAGCTGTTATTTGGTGGACGACGAACGATTTGATCGAATGTCGGCTGAGCAAGGAGCTCAGGGATTTGTCAGCCAGTTTTGAGTCTAGATGAGACTATGATTTGATACAGTTTCTCTACAGCACAGATGGAATGGCTATCAGGAAGAACTGGGGGTATACTTTTGATGACTGCTTTCAATGGAACCTATCGTCTGAAGACCATGATATGTATTCTAATGCTACGGACCCTCATGTCCCGGATGATGAGATGAACACTTGACATAGAGACCGCTTTCTGTCTATTATATAAGTTGTAAATGAGCAATGCTGATTCTGTGCGTAAATGTATCAATTCACGGCTAATAAAAGCCCAGCATGACGCGTCTTGTAAACACTTCTACACAGATTGTAACAATAAGTTTGAGATTGCCCCTCCCCGCGAACCTTCTTCTTCCCCAAATACCTTTACTTATCTGTTACAGCCATACTGTGCCAGGGTGGTGATCCGCGCTTGGCACCATGGTGATTGAGCCTAGTATACTTTTCATCCGAGGTAGGCAAGTTTTGCAAGAAAAAGATTGGAGTACAATCCTTGCCTGGAGCCATTCCTCATTGAGAAACTCGTGCCGCGCTACAGTGTCGCCCTGGAACTAAGTTTGTAAGGTTCCACGCTATGATTGCCTCTGGCAGTAAAACTTTGGGGGAAGGTGCCCCGTGGGACACCTTCGTATATATATAGTTTCCCGTCTAAGGACGGCTTATAGTCCGTACTTAAATTTACTTATTTTTCCCCGAATTATCTTTTTCTAATATCCCCGGCGAGGCAATCGGAGCTATATGCGTATACGTAAAACGGCTAAAAAAAGATTATAGTATAATATATAATTATTTAGTAAAGGCAATAATTATATAACCGTTTAATAAAAATAATAACTAATATATTTAATTTAATAAAGAATAATATAACCGTTTAATAAGGATTATAATACCGAAATAATTTAATAAAAATAAAATATTATTCGTTTAATAGAAATAAAACTATAATACGATAAAATAGCTTATAAAAAAATAATATTTTTATTTATTTTTAAAATCGATATTTTAAATATTCTAAGGTATAATTAGTGGATCATAAACTTAGGCACAGGGAAGCGTTTATATAATTCGTAAAATCAGGCCGTAAAAGGTAGTTATAAGGCTGTATAACTGATTTATTAAAGCTTAAGGAAAAAATAACTAACTACGGAGGAATAACTACCTTTTATACCCATAAAATCAATTATTAAAAACATTCTGGAATATATTATTAATAAATTAAATTTATAATTAAGTTAATTAGTAATAAGGTTGATTTATAATCGAAGAAACCATCAAAATCTATAGATTTTTATAGTATGGGTTACCCTATAACCTAAGGCTATTATGGCTAGGTGCATTAGCCACACTTAGTAGGGCTGGATCTAATAAAATATTCTACTAGATTCTAATAGGTTCTAATAGCTATAATGGCCATAACAATTAATTATACTAATTTATTAATTATATAGCATTATAAATAATGGCTATAAATAGTATTATACTAACTATAAGTTAGTATAGGGTAAATTCTACTAATTTCCTATATATTATTATTTAACGATATTTCGATAGGTTTTATAGCTATTATAACGATATAATATACGTTATAAAGCTAATTTTATGCATTATATAATGCTATATTAATATCCGTGCAATACTTCCTTTATTAAATAGTATCGGTTAAATTTAATAATTTAATAAATTTCTAAAATTTATTTTTAGGAAATAGTTTTATAAAACCGTTTGCTAATATATCGTTAGTTAAAATATATTTAATTCGAATATTTTTATTTTTAATTTTTTATTATACGTAAAAATACCGTATAGCCGTATATTTAATACGTTAATAATATTCCGGATTATATACCAAATTTATAGCCTCCGTATTATTTTTTTTAATTAATACGGTATTTATATTAATTCCGATTTCCGTAAAAAGATTTTTTAATTATATTATTTTACGGGTAGCCTGCTTTAGCCCGTTAAATTTAGCTTTAATAATTAATAAAAAAATCGTAAATTACCGTTTCGATTTTTAATTTATCGGCCCGTTATTTAAAATAAATAAATAACTAAACGTTAATTTATAAGTTTCGTAATTATTAGCAAAATCGGCATTAAAATAATTTATTAATCCGGGTTTTATTTTCCCGTTAAAGGTAATTCTAAAATAATAATAGGATTTTAAATAATTAAATACCCTTTTTACCCTTTTTATCGTAGTTTTCGATAGGTTCTATATATATTTAGCTAAATATGCTATAAAATAAGCTAAATCGGGCCTAATTTAGACTATAGCATATATTAATTTATTTAATAAATACTAATATAAATAAATAAATTCCTTTAAAGCCGGTTTTTCGTTGCTTTTTTTTGCCGTATATAACGATTTTAGGAATCTAAAGCTAAATAATATATTAGCCGGTTTTATATCGGAAAATCTATTAATTTCCAATAACTTTTTAAAATAAATTGCCTAATTTATACGAATTATTTTATTTTCTCGATTTCTTTTAATTTATATACCGAAAAAATAAAAAATTAATCCTAAATCTTTTATTTCGAATTTTTTCGAAATATCCTATTTTAATTAGTTAATTTTACGTAAATTAAGACTAAAAATCAGGAAATTATTTATATAAATTATAATAAAAATATTAAATTTTTTATTATAATAAGCTAATTCGTCTAAAATAAATAAATTAAATTTAAGCTTTTTTAGGCTGTTTTTTAGCGTAATTTACTATTAGCGTAAATTTTATTTAAAATTATATAAAGCTTTTTTAAGCTAGATTATTTAGGAGTCGTCGTTTTTTTAACCGAAATTATTTAATTTTAAATTTTCGGAAAAAAAATTCGGATAATCCGTTTATAAAGGTAATATATATTTTTTATATAATTCCTTATTTAAAAAAAGCACCGATTATATCGATTTATTTAATTTCCTAATCGTAATAAACTGTTAAAGCTAATAAAAGCCTTTAAATAATAGATTTTATTTTTATAATAAACGTTTTAAAATAATCGATTTTATATTATTATTTAAATTTACGTATAATTAATTTAATTTTATATTTATTAATATTACCGTTTTTATCGGTTTTCCTTTTAAATACCTATTTTACGGATAATAGGATTTTACCGGCTTTTTAGATTTTATTTCGATTAATAACTTAAAAAATGTTTTTCTAAATTAATTACCGTAATTTAATATATATAGCCTAAATTTATTTTTTTAAGGCTTTTTAATACCTATTTTATTATTTTCGGTTCCGTATAGCCTAAACTTTCGATAATTAAATAATACGAAATATCGGCGAATAATTCGTCGTATTTAACGAATTTATTTCGTTTAAAATCTGTAAATTTCGGAAAAATTACCTTAATATTCGATTTATTCGGAATAATCGAAAAAATATTATTAATATTTATAAATTCGGAATTTATATTAAATTTATTATTTTTATTAAATTCGTTTTTAAGTAAATCCGGTCGATCGTTAATTATAAATTTATTCGTAATAAATCGAAAAATTCGATCGTTTCCGGGAGTTAAATTTAATAAATTTTATAAATTTATTATTTCTAAAATTTATAATTAAATAAATTTACCGTCGGTAGAATTTTTATCCGGTATTATTTCCTAATCCGGTAATTCCGAATTTAATAATTTCTCTTTTTTTTTTCGATTTTTAAATAATAATTAAATATAAAAAATCTATATAATTTATAATTTATACGGTCGATCGGGAAAATATACGTAATAAATTTTATTACCGTTATATCTAATTATTTTCCGGTTTTTGGTAATAACTCCGAATTTATCGGAGTTTTTACGGATTTTTTTCGGTTTATAAACTAAAACCGGTATTCCTAAGGTATAAATTTAGGATAAATTAGGTATATTATTTTTTTTTTAGCTAAAAATAATCGTAAAATTCCTAATAAAAGGTAAATAAACCGGATACCGTAATAATAAAATTTATTAAATAAATTATTGCTTTTATAATAAATTCTTAAAAATTTTTCGAGAGTTATAAATCGATAAAAACCGTTTTAGTTTTTTTAATAATAATCCGGTTTATATATTCGGCTATACCGTTTTATTTTAATATATAAAAAATTATAAGTTCGAAAATAATCCTTTTTTCGGTTAAATAATTTTTTAATTTAACCGGGGAAAATTTTTTATTATTATTTATACGAATAATATTTAGATATTTTCCGAATTAGGTTTTATAATATTCGATTTTATTTATTATAATATCGAATATATCGGATTTTTTTTTAAAAAATTTAATTTCCTAAAATCCGGTTTTATTATCCGTAAAACTAATTATTATAATAATCAGAGGAGCTTGTGATTTAGGGTTTCGATATCACCTGATAGGAGCGGTGTATAGGCATGAATAAGTGATTGAAAGTAGTCTGATTTTGTATAAATGAAATAGAGGGTAGGTCGTATCTATATACCCATCCAGGAGCTCCTATAGAGCTTAACTAATCTAGTTTGAAGATCCCCTTGAGAATTGTAAGTGTATAGAGTGAATGTCCCGTCACAATTATATATTTATAACCGGAATAGCTAAAAAAAGTAATATAAACTATATCGATATAAATACAATTTAACGGTTTATTAGCCTTATTCGGATTTATACGGGGCTAATTTTAGGTAAATTTTCCCGAAATATAAAATTCGCAATTTAAATCCTTTTTTTTTATTTTTTTTAGGAATCCCCGTAATTATTTTAGCTATTTTAGCTAAAATATTATAGCTAAAATAGCTAAATCGTTTATACTATTTTTCCGTAATTATAAAAAAATTTAAATAATTAAAAATTAATTCGATTTCCTCGAAATCCGTAATTTCGTTAAATTTCGTATCCGAATTCGGTTCCGGGTAATTTAAACCGATTATACGGGCTTTTTTTATTATTTTTAGTAGATTTATAGCTAAATATATTATATTAGGTTTTAATTTATTAGCTAAATATAAAAAAGATTTACGTTTTTTTTAATTTAACGTAGCAAAAGGCTTATTTTTAAAATTATATAATTTATTTCCGTTTATAATACCGCTTTTTTAATAATATAATTAGCCGGATATAATATTTAGCGGAAATTCCGGTATATAAAACACGTTTAATAACGTTATTTTACGTATTTCCCGGTTAATTTCGAAAAAAAGCGTAATATTTCTAATTTTTTTTAAAAATATTTTTCTATTATTTATAATAATCGGTAAAAAATCCGATTTTATAATAAAATTATCGAATAAATACTTATTATTCGATATATATTTTAAGAAATTTATATCGTATAATTATTAATTTTTAAAAAAAATAATTAATTTTTTTTTAAATTATTCGAAATATTCGAAAAAATATAAAACGATTCGTTTTTATCTAAATTTTTGTTACGGGGTAAATTTCCCCGTTTTTTAAATTTTTAATTTGTAATAAATATAATCGAATTTAAATTATTCGATTTATTCGAATTATTCGAATTATTAAAATTATTCGAATTATTCGATTTTTTCCTTTTATTCGATTTATTCGAATTTTTCCTATTTCCGCTTTAGGTTTCCCGTTAATTCTAATTAAATCGGGGGAACCGGGATTTCTTATTATTCGTATAATAAAAATTTCCTATAACCGTATCCGGATCCCGTCGGTTTTTATCCAAAATATCCGTAATTAACCTTTCGAAAATAAATAAATTTATAAACCGTAAAACACTACGTTAACGGTTAGCTTATATAAAATAAGCTAATTAAAAGGCTATAATAAAAATCGTTTTTTAATCGATATCGTCGATTTTAGCCCTAACGCTTAAAAGCTTTAAAATATATCTTTTAAAAATAAATATAAACTCGTTTAACGAATTATAATTTTTAAATTTTATAATATAAAATTCGAAATATAATTACTAACGTAATACGGGTCCGGTGCTTTAATAAGCTAATTATAAAATCGATAAAGCTTTATATAAATTTATTTTTATTAAATATTAAATTTAACGGTTTTATTATTAAATTTTAATAAATTAAAAGTAATACCTAGGTTTTTTAAATATCGGTTATATTATTATATATATCGGTAATTTTAAAAAGCCGATCGATTCCTAGCAGTTTAAAATATAACTATAACGTAGATTTTTACGTATTTTAGTTTCCGGATCCGGAAAATTTTTATTTTTCCGGTATCTAATATCCGGCAATAATACGGATAAAATTATCTATTTTGCCGAATTTTTTACCGTTATAACGGTATAATTATCGTTAAAAACGGTAAAGAAATTATTAAAAAAATAAAAATAAAAAAAATTAATTCTTTTATTTTATCGATAAAATATATAAAAAGATCTAAATATTATAATATAATATAATAAATGCTATAAAATACTATAGCAAATCGGCTATTATAATAAAAACTAATTATAAATAACTTTATAACCGTTATATAGTTATAACGGGTAAAATTACTATAATTAGCCATTTAATTATAATTTTCGATATAATTACGGCTTATATAAACTTATATATAGGCTTTATAAAAAATCGGCTATTATAACGGAATTTTAAAATTTACGTTAAATTAATTTATTTAAAAAAGCGGCTATAATTTTCGATATAAAATCCGGTTTTTAATATAATCGATATTATACCAGACCGGGCTTATAACTTATTTTAAAATATAATTAATAAATTATAAATTTAAGCATAAAAAAGCGTTTATATAATTTATAAAATCAGGCCGTAAAAGGTAATTATAAGGCTATATAACTAATTTATTAAAGCTTAAAAAAATAACTAATTACGGAGGAATAACTACCTTTTATACTTATAAAATTAACTAATAAAAACATTCTGGAATATATTACTAATAAATTAGATTTATAATTAAATTAATTAATAATAAAATTAATTTATAATCGAAAAAACTATTAAAATCTATAGATTTTTATAATATAGGTTACCTTATAACCCAGGGCCATTATGGCCAGGTGTATTAGCCATATTTAATAGGGCTGGATCCAATGGAACGTTTTATTAGATTCCAATAGGTTCCAATGGCCATAATGGCTATAATAGTCAATTATAATAACTTATTAATTATACAATATTATAAATAATGGCTATAAATGGTGCTATACTAACTATAGGTTAGTACAGGGTAAGTTCCATTGATTTCCCATATATCGTTATTTAACGATATCTTAATAGGTTTTATAGCTGTTATAACGATATAATATACGTTATAAAGCTAATTTTATGCACTATACGATGCTATATTAACATCCGTGCAACACCTTTCTAATTTTAAAATAAGCCATTTCGCTTATAAATTTTTCGTTAATTCAAGCCAATTTACGTTTATTTTAAACGTTTAAATTTTAAAATAAAGCTTTTTTACCCTTTTTTTTAGGATCCTAGGTTCCTAAACCGTTAATTATAAAATATATAATATAATTAAACGCAATTAAGGCTTAATTAACGGCCAACCTAGGATCGCTAATACGTTTAATAATAGTATTATAAATAAATATATCCCGAATTAAACTAAATAAAATAAACTAAAAGCAACGATTAAGCTAAATTAAAAACGAATTAATTAATATTAAAATAGCTTTTAAACTTACTATTATTAAAAATAATTTAGGTATTATAATTAGGGAAATATCCTAAAAAACCTTTTATAAATTAAAGCAAAAATCTTTAAAATAAATAAGTTAATAATAACTAATCCGTTTTAAAAATAATCCTTAATTTTTAAATAATTATATTTAAACTTTTAAATAATATTAAAAAATTTAAAAAATACGATATAAATAACCGAAACCGCTTAAATCGTTTAAAGGCAATTTTCGAAATAATTTTAGGAATAAAATTACTTATAAATAAATTTAAAATAAATATATTTTATTATTAAAAAATAACGGATAATAATACCCTAGCTAATAATAAACCCGTTTATAATAATTTAAATAGCAAATCCTCCGTTAAAATAACTAAAAACGAAATTACCGGAATTAATAAACGCCCGAAAACGGATAAAAGCGACAATTTAGGAATATTTCGGGTTATATAATTTAAGGAAAAATAAATAAAAAAGCTATATTACGTAATTTTTTTTATATTTATTTTATAAAAAAAATATTTTACGCGGATAAATTATATTATAAATAAATAAATAAAATGTACCGGAGGCAATATTTTATAAAGGGGAGTAGTAAAATTTTAGGGAAAAGTGCCCCGTAAAACACCTTCGTATATATATAGTTTCCCGTCTAAAGACGGCTTATAGTCCGTACCTGAATTTACCCACCTTTCCCCGAACTGTCTTTTTCTCTGGCCTTTGAACGCGCGTGCGCGCCTCTAGGGCATGCGGGGGCCATATGGCTCCATAACTACACATCTACATTAGTGTGTTGCGATAGATAGCAGCCCCTGTCCATGACTGGAGGGCTGGAGTTGCAAACTCCAAACTACCCCGGAATGGCCAGCATGGGCCATGTATTGATAGGTAGGAGGCGGAACTGTAGATAGAGCCGACAGTGATGTTGGGGTTTTGAATATCTAGAGACCGAATATAGACATGCCACTGCGCACGCGTGGATTATTGCGTCCAGCTTTCATGTCATTTTCAACATAATTCACTACTCTTCGACACCAGTACGCTTGTCCAAAGCTCATCGCAAACCATGGTCAGCCCGACTCTACCGGACCCTGAAGGCCACCCGCCTGGAACTTTTCTTCTCACCAGGGTATCGCATAATGGTGAGAACCTCAAGGCGATGCCGCAAGCTCTCCCCGAGCTACCTGACTGACGATAGTATAGAGTCTGGTACCTCTGCGGAAGGAATTTGCCTACAGCCTCCACCCATGGACGACCCCAATGACCCACTGGCAAGTCGTCAAAGCACGCAAGTCCGTAGTCCTCTGAGATCATGTTACTAATCAAGCAATTAGAACTGGACTTCGTGGAGGAAAGGCGTCAATTGGGCGCTTGTGTTTGGCATATCGCTAGTCATCTTTACCTCGTTCGTCATGCCTTTCCATGCCCACTTCTGAATCAAAATAACGCGCGCAAAAGCATCATGCGGCTAACACGGGGCAAAGTCTATCGATACAGACCAACTTTTGGGTGCAAATGTCCGAAGACATGAACCTCACGTACGAGCAGCTCAACGATTCCCTGTCTGCGAACGGCGCCGGCTGTGCACTGGGCTGCGTCTTTGTTATCCCGTTTTCAATAAAGTACGGACGCAGGTCGACGTATATCTTGACCACTGCCGTCCTCGCAGCCGTCACTTGGTGGAGCGCGCGCATGACTACGCTGACGGAGCTCTACCTGACCAATCTACTCTCAGGACTTGCTGGTTCGGTCAATGAGACTGTTGCACAAATGACGGTAAGCACCTCTCCATTACATTCGGGCCTCAGTCGCACTAGAAGGGTACTCATCTGGTGATACAGCTTGCAGACTTGTTCTTTGTTCATCAGCGTGGAACCATCAATGCCACTTACTTGACGGCAGTCATGATGGGTAGCTTTTTGACCCCCATGGCTGCCGGCGTGCAAGCCTCCAATAGCAGTTGGCGGTGGTCCTATTATACGCTAGCCATTTGCCTGACCGTCTTGCTCGTGGTCTTCATCTTTGGCTACGAGGAGACCAAATACGTACCCGTCATCAGTGGAGGTCGACCCATCGTGACTCCCGCCGTTGTCGCCGATTCAGAAGGCTCGGCTGTGGGCAAAGACAGTGACTCTCAAAAGGGCATGGCTCCAGTGTTGCGCACTTCGTCAACCGCTGCCATCACTTCCAGCGCCATTCCCATGAACACGTACCGGGAACGCATGAGGTGGACCACGACGACGCCAGAGTCGCTGACCAAACTGTTCTACTTTCCACTCTACACCAACGCCTTTCCTCACGTCATCTTTGCTTCACTTCAGTACGCGTCGGGAGTGTGTTGGCTCGTGGTCATGGCTTCCATATGGTCAACCGTGACGACTGTTCCGCCTTATAACCTGGATACGGCCCATCTGGGCTACCTGAACGTGGGGCCCTTTATTGGCAACCTCATTGGAAGCTTCTACGGTGGTGTAGTCAGTGATTGGTGTGTGCGCTTCTTTTCCAGGAGAAATCAAGGTTACTATGAGCCGGAAATGCGTCTCTACCATTTACTCCCACCGGCATTCCTTATGTCGATTGGACTTTTCCTCTCGGGCTTTGGCTTGGAACAGGTACATCTATCCCGAGATATTCCTGTTTTCTCTTCTAGACGCTGACCGTCTCTCTAGTTATGGAGCCCGACCATGCTGTCCTTTTCCGGAGGTCTGTTTGCATTTGGTCTAGGTGCCATAGGCGATGCTGCTTTTACTCTTGTGTTGGATACCTACGAAGCAGTAAGCAAGAAATATTCCTCTTGTCTCAAATGCCATCCATCATATCCTGTCATGAAGCTAACGAGATCGTGCCTAGCTGGCTGGTGAGTGTTTTGTGGTGATTGCCTTTTGGCGAAACATCATCGGCATCGGTATTCCGTTTGCCGTCACCCCCATGATTAACATTGGGTTGACGAATTCCGGTATCATAATGGCCGTGATTTCATTCGTCATCAGTATCTTGTTTATCCCCATGATCATTTGGGGCAAGAAATTCAGGACTTCCAATGGACCACGGTATTTCCAGCTCATAGAAGACCAACAGAAGCACTTCATTGGCGGCCGCCACTGAGCTTTACATTTCTTTCGACCGAAATTGATTGTTCATTCGTTTTTGAATCAAGGGAAGCCGAGAAAGAATATCTACATAGTTTTGTCAGTGATGTGGTGGAACTCGATCGAACCTCAGCGGGGATCGGAAAGCACACCTTTTTTTGAAGTAGTAAAATGATTTGGTATCTATCCTGTATCCCAAAGCCCATCCGGTTGTGTTTCCGTCTTGAGTATTGTTCCATTCACCCGTTAGGGACAGGCAATACGTGTCAGCCACCATGACGCCAACTTAGTAGAGGTGAACTTCTATGTTCAGCTCTCTGGCAAATTGGGTTGCCAGGTCAAGTGGTGTTGTCCTAGTATGACATCGGCTTCGCTCCCAAATCTCCAGAACAAATTCCCATTCCAATTGATTCTCAAGTCTTTCCCATTGATGCCGAAATGCGTGGAACAAATCCTTGGCAATGGAGCGTTCCTTGGTATTCTCGTGTGTGCAAATGCTTGCAATGAATAGCGGATAAAGCACAGCTGACGCCAGAGGACGAGCATAGGCATCCTTTTTGCTGTCGCATATGGCTTGGACTGAGGCGAATGCTTTCATCAATAAGATAGAATTTGAGAGGCCTGGTTTGGCACACGGCTGCTGTGTAGTGTCACCTTGCCATTCCCATTTGCCCGAGCCTATCTTGAGCATACGGGAGTGTAGGATGGCTGCTGTCCGATAAGCTTCCCATAAATGAATCTGTATGAGATCTTGAGCAACTTCGCCGGGCCACGCAAGCAATCTGTCTTCCGTGTCGGGCAGAGCAATATCAGCCAAGATGTTGAGAAGTGAGTATGGGAGCCCAGTGCTCTCTTCGACTCCAGCAGATTTGTAGGGCGCCACAAATTGGTCCCATATATGGAGTGGCTTGTTCAGGCGGTTCAGCGTGAAATGTGGCAGGTCAAGCAGGCCGACAACTTCGAGTAGATGTTGGGTAAGACGGTCCCGCCTGGTATGCTCGAGCAAACGCCGAGACTGAAGAACATAGTACAACCCTCTCAACAGCGGTGTCCAGATATATGAGGAATTAATCTAGACATGATTCAGCGTCAGAAAGTAAAACGGTCTCATGAGTCCTTACGCTAACGCTGCAGAGAAGTATTCCCGTGGCGAGTGTCGCGTCTTCTTGCAGCCGTTCAGGCTGTTGCAACTCGAGGCTGTACTCGGAAAGAGCAAGTTGTAAATATGAAGCGGTTACGGATTGACAGTCGTCTTCCAGACCTGCCTGGTAGGCTACAAAGGCATGGCGCAATGCCGGTCGAGTCTCACAAAGGGGGATGATCTCTGAGCTGAAAAGATTGTCGGGTCCCGATCTTCCAGTCAATGTGAGATAGCCGCTCGTGGAGACTGAAAACACGGGAAGAAAGCATATTAGTCTCGAGGTATCTATGGAAGGGTGCGGGCTGACATTTACTGACAGTCCTTGAGCAGTCTCTCCTCCACCTCTCGCTGCATGGAACGCTGGCTCGTCTGGCGCATGTCATCCTGATACTGCGAGCAAAGAAGGTACATCTCGTGCTCATCGAGATGTGCTCCAACATCTGAGCCTGAAGGTGCGCCAGAAGGGCCGGTACCACCAAGCCTGGCTTCTGTGCCGTCCTGCGCGGGCAATCGGTTCATCCGCCGTCGTCTTCGAAATGGGCGTACGGCGACACCTTGCTGAACGTCCCGCGGCGCGTCTCCCTCGCTCCACGTGAGACGTACACCGTATCCTTCGCATTGGAAATCGCCATGCTGACATCGAAGGCAGATCGGCCGGACCTCGTCGCACTTTTTGTGCCGCCTTCGACACGTCCAGCAGCCTCCCCGCGATCGCCTCGGCTTGGGGCTACTGGCCATCTCCGCTACAGGCGGAACCCCACTCGACGACATGCGGGTTGGGCGGCGAGCGTTGTGCAAAAATGAGCTGCGTTTCCTTGATCAAACCGTCTGCAACACTTCCGCATTATATGAAGCGACTCATCATCGACTCCTCACTATTCGAATCGTTCGACAAGGTGGCGACAATGTCCTGTCCGGTAGTGTTGGGGTTGGAAGGTAATGGAAATAGATAAGCACTTGAGCGATTGATAGCACTAAAGCGCCTGCCTACAGTACCAATCCCCGCCTAGGAGCAGCACCCCCACGATGCTAAGCACAGGTACAACATGTATTCCCCCGCTAAAAACAAGCCATTACACTGCATTCTACATGCGCGTTGAATGTTTTTATTTCATGAGCCGTGAGTTTCGCGCAAAATTCTCAATCATCTTTTAATTATCCATAAACATTACATTTTGACGTCTTATATACTGTCTATATGCTATCCTATCTTACCACGTACTCTCACAAAGCATCCATCTTTGTCTTGAGCCGAAGTCCCTCTCCAAATCGCAGAATAAGGATCGGGATCGGAAGCATGGCAATCGCAATGAATCCAAGCAACGAATTGCCCCATCCTAAACCGAGTTGGTTGTACATTTTGAGGCCGCACAACGGCAAGACTGCACCAGCAATCGACCGCATCACAGTATTGGCCGCGAGAGCAGAAGCGGCATACGTTGTGTAGGCATCAACAAGATATATGCTGACGGCCATGAAACAAATCAAATTGCCTATGTACCTCGTTAGCTCTCTGTCATGTAAGAACAAAGAATGGGCGGCGAAATTCTTACCGACACCAATGACTCCGAGACCTATAATTGGAGCGATCCAGTGTGTTTTGTATTGAGCCGTCCAGCCATAGATGAAGAAACCGCAGGGCATAATGAATGCGCCCAGCGGTAGCAGCCGAAGTCGAACTTCTGGTTTCGCTACACCTTGCGAAGCTGCTTGCGACTTGACCACCCTGTTGCTATCCACCGTGTAAACTGCCAGTCCAATAAAGGAGCCAACACCCAACCCGAGATAGACGAGTCCAACACTGGTGGTTCCAAACCCATACTGCTGCTGAAAGACGTAGGAGACGGATGTAAAGAGCAGGTAGAGATATCCGTACACCATGACCAGGAACAGGGCAAATATGGTGCAGATTGGAGAAAACAAGAGCATCTTGAGGGGCCGCAGGAGCGATCTCTTGAGCAGTTCCTTGTGCGAGAGCCCGCTGTCCAACTTGGAGCGCCATCTCTCGTCGCCCGTTTCTTTCCTCACCGCCTCCGTCTTGCGTTGCAGCAGCACCGGCGCATACGTCTCACGCGAAAAGACGGCCATGGCAATGGTCACGGCCCCACTGACCATGGTCAAGACCCAGAACACCCATCTCCATCCCAGCTTGCTCTGTATAACTCCTCCCACGACGGGCCCAATGATTGGTCCAATCAGGGGTCCGATACTGAAGCCGGCCATGGCGGACGCTCGCTTTTCTTGCGTGATCATGTCGGCTATACTGCCGCCTCCAATGGTCAATGGACAAGACCCAAAAATACCGGCCACAAAGCGTAGTCCGATGAGGGCGTTCAACGTGGGAGCCAGCGCGCAGCCAATCGTGCAGCCCATGAAACAAATGTTGCACACGTGATAAATGATCAAGCGGCCGTACATTTCCGACAAGGGCGCCAGAAACAGCGGACCAAAGGCGAATCCGAGAACATAGACAGAAACGACAAAGGCTGCAAGCTCCGTGTTGGAAGACTTGAACTCGACCATGAGCTCTGGGATGCCCGGGGCAAAGATGGACGAAGCCAGAGGCGTCACAAAGGTGAGAACACTTATGAGCACCGTGTTGACCATTTTTGGCCAAGTCGCCCAGTTGTACGGGTTCTTTGGATCGTCGTCGCCGTCCCACCAGACAATATGGCTTTCTTGCGCAGCCTCATGTCCACTTGTTTCTTCTGTGGATGGATTTTTGGGTTCGTCAAAACCGCTGTCGGCGCTTGCGGCTCGGGGGTCGTGCATGTTTATACTGTGGGTGGTTCGGAGCTCGGGTCGTGGAGGGACGAAAGCTGGACGATTTTAAAAATGGCTCCTCAAGGCCAATCGATTTGAAGCCTTCGACGTGTCACGTAGGCAGCCCGAGCATGGCACAAAAGAATGACCTGTACTCTCGGAAACGCAAACATAGGTGGTATATATGTGCATTTATCAAGGAGATGTCCATGTTCAATTGAATGTGGGCCCATATTCTGTTTTGTGTAGCACGGTTGGGCTCTGCTTGGTCGGATAGTAACTATTCCTGCTCTGGAGTTATTCTCCGCCCAGAAAGTATGCAAAGAAACATCAAGGTAGCTCAGGGGTCATTGGTCATGCATATGCACAGGAACACCGTGTTGCTAGTCAAGTCTGGGGATAGTGCACGGGACTTTCACTATAACTCTACTATATCCAACATAGTGCGCCGCTTCCGTCGTATTGTGGAGTCATCAGTGTCGTATTATGGGGCATTCTTTACGACGTACCCAATCAAGTGACAGACTTTTACAATGACACCCTCAGACTACCATGCGGGTAGGCACATTCATGTCCATCTTAGAACACGGCGTATTCGGGAGTCGTGGCGAACACGGCCGGTAATGAAGATCGACTGCCACGACACATGTAAAGCGTTGGCACGAAAAGCTCAGCGACGCAGATTCTCGGTACCTGTTCATGTTTCACACAAAGAACGAAAGCATCAATCATTTATTAGAGGGGAATTTGTGCCAATGTCACAGCCCCAGAGCCGCCGGCCCGTGCATAGAGTAGATCTTGTGTAGTTGGGCACCTCAAAGCCCCAATCTAGTTGAGGGTTCTCCTTGCATCAACATACATGATGCCCCCACAATCGATAGAACATGTCCGACATATAAACCCGTCAATCCTTTTACTGGAAATCCGACATTGAATGCAACAAACATCCCTCAATATTTCCACCTCAAGCACAATCCTCTGGCGCAGAGCACACCAAACGACTGTTCAGGATGCTGTCCGGCTCATTATTTGAAAGCGTTCCCGGCGGCTGGGTTTCCTTTATTGCTGGAGTTGTCTTTCTCGGCGTCATCAATCACTGGTTCAATCAGCAACGTCCGTATGCTGCATATCCCCTAATCGCAGTTGACGACAAGAGCCCAAAGCAGAGTTGGATGTACCATGCCAGAGAGACACTGGCAAAGGGTTTGCAACAGGTAAATTGACAATTCCTACCATGCTTGCATTGCTCGCAACTTTGGGATGGATCAGGGCTGACGAAAGTGTTTGTACAAAAGACGTCGGGGCCGTTTCAAATCATGAGTGGAACTGGGCCAAAGATTGTTCTGCCCGCTCGATATGCAGATGAAATCAAGAACATCCCCTCGTTGTCTTTGATGAAAGCCTTTGCACCTGTACGTTTTCCTCGGAATTCTCGACGCTGATTGTTATTCTTACAAGCTAGGCAGGATTTCTTCATCAATTATCCCGGATTCGAAGGACATAAGCAATCGTATCACGACGACAAGTTGATCCAGGACACGGTGAGAATCAAGCTGACGCAGAGTCTGGGATTGGTCACCGAAGATCTTGTCGATGAGACTGTCGACTCAATCAATTGTGCGATTGGACAACACCCAGAATGGACCAGCCGCAACTTGAAGGACGACATGACTGAAATTGTCGCTCGTCTATCATCTCGCGTATTCCTGGGATTGCCCCTTTGCCGCAATGAACGGTGGCTCAAAATCTCCAAGGCCTACACGATGGACACTTTTATCGTGGCACACGTAATGCGTCTCGTTCCTAGCATTGCTCGTCCAATCGCGTATTGGTTCATACCCCAGAGCGCCACGCTTCGTAAGGCCGTCAGGGATGCGCACAAGCTCATTGATCCCGAGGTGCAGCGCCGTATCGACAAAGTCCGCCAAGCCCAGGCCGCGGGACAGAAGCCTCCAAAGGTGGCCGACTCCCTCGGCTGGATGTACCAGGTGGCGACCAAGCCAGACACGGATTATGTTGCCGCCCAGCTGGCCTTGACCATGGCTGCGATTCATACCACGACGGAAACCTCGTCTGCGGCGCTTTTGGACCTTTGCGAGTACCCCGAAGTCGCCGAGAAGCTGCGGTCGGAAGTGATTCAAGTTATTGGCGAGCACGGGTGGAGCAAGACTGCATTGTACAAATTGACTTTGATGGACAGTTTTCTAAAGGAATCACAACGGGTTCGTCCAATGTCTATCAGTAAGTGACATCTCGAAACGTCAGGACGCACATTTCTATCGGCTGGCAACCTCGAGTCTGGATATGCATTTCTTCACCGAGAAACTGGCTAACATGTGAATTTGTACCACCTCTAGCCTCGATGAACCGCTACGTGGAGCAGCAGGTGACCTTGTCCGATGGAACGGTCCTGCCAAAGGGTTCGCGTCTTATGATTGCGGCCAATTTTATGGATCCAGAGGTGTATGACGAGCCAGAGAAGTTTGATGCAGAACGCTTTGTCAAGAAGCGCCAAGAGTCCGGTCAAGAAAATTCTTGGCAGTTGGCCACCACAACTCCTGAGTATACCCTCTTTGGCCACGGCCAACATGCTTGTCCGGGCCGCTTCTTTGCAATCAATGAGCTCAAGGTTTTGCTCTGCCATCTTTTGCTCAAATATGAGTGGCGTTTTAATCCGGAAAAGGGGAGAATGTCGCCTCGTTTCATTGCAAATACCAAGGCAATCGCAGGTGAAACCGAGATCCAATGTAAGAGTAGGATCCCAGAAATCGATCTCGATAGTATCACTTTCAATAGACGACGGCAGTCATCATTCTTCCCCCAACGTGCCAACACTAGAAGCGTGTCTGTACCGGTGTCTTGCGTTTTCTTGTGATACAGTACCGAAAGCAGCCAGCATCGACTGTTCATCCTACCATATCAAGGGCAATGGGATTTGCGTTCATACACTAGACCGATGAGCGGTATCTTATCCACAAACACATCTGATTATCTAGGTATTGACGTCAAGATCCATGGAATCAATGTCAATCTCGTTTTTCAGGCTGTACTTTGGCCACTCAATCCAGGCCTGCCATTCCTGACCCAAGGCCCTCTCCACCACCAACATCACGTTTATCCCCCAGCCTTTGCTGGACCAAGTGACGTGCTCATAGGAACGTACTAGTGCAGCGAAATGCGCGAGAATGATCAGTGCAACAGGTTGCCCACCAGAAATCAAACCAAGAAACGAAGGCGGCAAAGTGAACGGCCACCTCCAAACGGTTGCTTCATCTGGCTGGACATTTTTGCAGGCCCGATGCGTAGTCCTCAGGGTGTCTAATGCTAACAAGCATACAGAACGAGTGTTCATGACCTCCAGTCCTTGCGGAAGTGTATCAAGGAGTGGGTTGATTGTGTCAAGCCGAGCTGAGAAAGGGGACTCGATGCGGGTCTCTACAGCAGTCCGAGGATTCCTGAACAAAATGGCGAGCTCCGTGTTCTCGGCTGGCCATCTTTCAATGGGTTTGTAGTCCAAAATACCCCTTATTCCTTGTAAAAGAGACAAGGATTGTGCAATATCAGAGCAGGTGATGGTGACCCCCATACTACCAGATTGGGCTATTGAACATAGGCTGAGCATGAAGATGACGCATGCCAGAAAGAAGTAGGCATCGCAATTGTCATCATTCATGTGGTCGAGGCGCGTGGCAAACCATTCGATCGCGCGGGTCTGGTACTCCATAGAGATGAGAGTATACTCATTTCGATGCTGCGGGTATACAAAGGCGTAGTGTGAAGCAGCGATAGCCAGCATACCGTCCATGAGAAAAGCCTATGTTGGATGAGCATGGACATGACTCCTGCGAGCCAAGACGGCAGAACCTACATGTGAATGCGCCGCTTCAAGCACGGCAGTTTTCCACACTTGTACATGATGCTTTGACCGAGGCAGAACATAGCACGTCTGCGTAGTGTAGTGATGCCACAAGCGCAAGCTCTGTAGCCACTCCGCCGAAGAGCGTCGATCAGGTCTGTCGGCAATCCGAGGGGCTGTCTGCGATTCTGACCCTAATGCTGCTGCTGCTGCCTCGACTGGCACGCAATCGACGGCCGGACGGGTAGGATCATCAGTTGCAGAATGGGAATGCTGTTGCTCAGATGCTGCCTGAATCTCAGGCCCTGGAGTGGTGATGTCGAGAGGTAAAGTCGCTGGTGAAGAAGCATGGCTCAACAAGCTGCACGGCAGTTGATGCCGCAAACATTTACTACAGGGGCGTTGCTCGTCGCACTATCATTCTCGGTTGAGCTTTGATGAGACACAGACAAGTCGTTGAAATCGTCAAAACGCGACGGGCGCAGTGTCAACCTACCTTGATATGGCGTTCCTTGCATTGCACACATCCATTTCGAGATTTCCTGTGTCCGAGGCGTCGTTGGCGACGAGTATCCATTGTAGGGACCGAAGTAAGTACGCCAGGGAGAAGATTGTGAGGGCGGGCTGCGGGAGCGCATCGTATCCGGGAATACGAATCCGATGACGAGTGACATGCGTGCATCCCAAACTGCGCTAGTCGGCTATTTAGCGTGACTTTGGACCTAGCTCTGAACTAAAGAAGGTGGGGGCAATTGAATGGTGCTGCTCAGCTAGGCGTACAACCCACCGACAGCTCACTATAAATGTAGGCCCACTTGCCAGCCCGCTACCAAGACCATAACACCTGCTCAGTGCCTGGCTCGGAATGACAGCACCTTGGGAATTCTGGTTGCCTGAAGCTATTTTGGAGTGATTGAATTTTACGCCGCTTTCCGAGCAAACCGTCCTGAGCATCCTTTCAATTGGGACAGTTGCCCTGTCTTTTGCTTGGAGAGTCTTTCTCAGACTTGCAGGATATCTACACAGGTACCTAGTACGCTTAGCTGAATCTATCTCTACGCTAAAAACCAACGTACACAGCTTGTCTACATCTTATTCAAACTCTGAGGTGTCATTTTTATACAATAAAGCATTCTGATATCGAATTGACAGACATTGTGACAGCAACAAAGGCGTCTAATGGTAATAAACCATGACAGCTTGAACCAATTCGTATACCAGGGAAACCGTCGGTATATTTTTTTTAACTTACGGACAATCCTCCATCATTTCTCCATCCTTTCTCCCCTCCAGACCAGCAAACATGATACTTCAGAGAGAAAAAAGCTATGGAGCGTCTAAAAAGGGAAAGGCGCACACTGGGGGGGAAAGGGGGAACTACACGTCTCAAAGTTTTTTGAAACACTATTATCACGAGTAATATTTACTCGCATACCGTCTGTCCCAAGATTGCTGATGTAGCACTTATTACTGTCCAGGTCAAAGTCTGCTTGGTTGCAATTAATGTCATGGTTGCAGGTGTCGATGCACGCAAAATAGTCGACTGCCGTGTCGTCAATGTACACATAATTGAACCGGAGACTGTTGCTACCGCATATAACAAAAAAGGTGCACCCGCAGCCGTCTCCTCCCTAATGATTCAATGAAAGGTCAGTATATAAAACTCCAGTCAATATTTATCTGTCTCTTGCGCATAAAGAGATAAAAGAAACAGAGGAAGAGGAGGAAATTTGGAAAAAGATAAGGTTGAAATACTAACCGGCGCTGGTCCGGTATAGGCATCCCCATCCGCGGCAGTGACTGTGGCACCACCGGGGGCAGTGGATGTGCTTGTAGACGTGGTCGTTACTGTCGTAGTGATCGAAGTTGTTGCAATAAAGGTAGTAATTCCCGTGGTGATCGACACGGTCGGGGTCTGAGTCGTTGTGCTGGTCACTGTCGTAGTCGTAGTGCCCTAGCGGCACCTGATTTTGCAAAATAAAAAGACTTGATACATGAGTTTCCGGTATATGCTGTTCCGGGCGACCGGTCCACAGTAATGACAAGGCTCAAAAGTTTCCATGTCATGGCCATCTCGGTTGGTCGATGCGGCACGAACCTGACAGTGTCAGCAGGACCAACAACAAATGCACGAGAGCAGGTTTTCATTTCCCAAGACTCACTGATTTATTGAATGCGTGGCAACTCCATAACATTATTCTTGTCGCCACTACCTCCTATCATCCCAACACAACAATCTGGCCACCTCCTGGATTGTGGCATCTTTTGACAAAAGGTTCGTCATGCTGATTGAAGCATGAAACGGTTGCTGGATCCAGGACTGGAATTCACTAGCAATTATGCTCTCGATGCTCAAAACGTCAAGACTTGTGTCATAACGGAGCCCATCGCGAGGAATCTATAACGGCTGGCTGACCCGCGCAACAATTTGGCTCTGGATATAGTCAGTCGCGTCGACAGTATCGCCGTTCGCCACTACGCAGCAGGTGCCGAGGGCTGCAGCTATTCGCCTCAGAACATTATCCTAGTTCTTAACCAGGGCGCAACGTGAGTCATATTATTTGGGTTCGCTTAGTAAATCCCTCGAGTCTCTCGTATCGGTATCCGTAAGAATAAAAATGGGGCTTCGGACCTGTCTTAATACATATATCGAGAGGTCTTTAAGCGCGGCACAAACGAGCTGGTAGATCTCGTATAGAGCCTAGATAGATGCCACGTGGATAATTGCGGACGCCAGATCTTGTGCCTGCTGGACATGGCACAACTCGTCTGCGTCCCGAGAAGAGGTAGGATCTGCATTTGTGTCTAGCAAGACCAGGAAGTCGAAGTCGTTAAATTAATTACGTGCTGTTCTCGCCTATTCATGTCCTAGATACGACTTTATCATCCATGGTCGAGTTAAGCTACCGAGTGTACACTGCTATGGAACCAAGTCTAATTGTCGGTTTCTTGGTACAAAAAAAGTAAAGTTCAGGTACTTTGAGATTATACGAATGAAGCGTGATGTTCATTTCTATTCTCGCTGAATAACACCACAAGTCCCAATCTCGCGGGACGTTTATGTCTCTGATCATTTATTGCTTGAACATAACTCAACCCAGTTTTCTGTTTCCATTTGATCTATTAAATGAGTTCCAGGGGCTAATCTATTCTTTTGTGTGTGTTACCGGCATTCCCTTCGGCTCAAACTTGAGATCGGCAATGTCCGACTCGTCCAGAATCTTGACGCGCATGCCGCGGATGTCCGGGCGTTCCAATAGACGCTCGTAAATGACCCCAAAGTCGGACGCTCGCACGACACCGTGGGCATCCGCGTCGTCGTCGACCTCGACCCGGTACGCGAGGTACAGCTCGTTGAAGCGCACATTGGTCTCTTTCTGCTCCTGCGCTGCCACTGCCGACATGCTGAACAAAGCCCCCTGGGCGATCGCAGGCATCTGGTACAGACCCCAATCGCCCTGGGCGCCCGTGCAGATGGTCCAGGTGCTCTTGGGGTTACCCTGCGCGATGAGATACGGGACCGTGGCGCGGTAGGCGACTATATGTAAATTGTTTTAAGTCAGTTGATGCATTTGCTGCGATGAGCGTAGTAGATCACAAATCTTTTCACTGCAAAGGGCACACGGGCTTCCGCAGAAGACATGAGAAATTGGGAAAAAACTTACGGAAATTCACCTCGACGCCATAGGTCATCTGTTGTCGGAAGTATTCAAGAGATATGGTCGATAAATCACGTTGAACATAATCACCGCCACCTATAAAAGACTGTCAGCCACCACCCCGCGTGAAAGGCGGCAAAGCGAAGTAGAAGGGACGGCATGCGCATTAAAGGCTACTCTTTTTTCTTCTTTTCAACTTTCTTCTTCGGAGACTTACCAGAGGAGAAAACGTGTTGGAAGGAGGGCAATTCGCCCGTCTTGACCCGGTCAACGACGCTCTGAATGCCGCCATCCGACATGACATCAACCTCGACCGTGGTGACGCCCTCGCGCGTCCCGAGGTACTTGTACAGCTTCTCGGCAGACGCCTGATTGCGCACCAGCGCCAGGACCTGACGCTTGGAGCGCAGCACGGCGATTGCCATGGACACGCCGATATTGCCCGTGGCGCCAACGAGGAGGACTGTTTCGGTACTCATGGTTGAAGAGGTTTTTGTTTTCACTTGTATGATGGGTGGAATCGATCGTCGTCCCTAGTGCGCACTCTGATAAAGACAGTAAGGGTTCAGATGCATGAACTGCAAGTCGTGCTAATAGTTGGCAGGATGACTTTCAAAAGAAATACATATATGCATATAAAATTATACTGTGGTATTATGGCGAAACCGACCAATGAGGTGACACCGTTATACCGGACATTTCATTATTGTGCGAGCTTACAAATTTCCCCGGTGATATTGACCAATAAGATTACACCTGGTTCCCGGACATTTCACTAAGTATTGTGCGAGCTTATGAATCACCCCATATTCGGCATAGTCGCCCAGCTTCAATCGATCAAGTATTCGGTAAGTGCATAATTTTGAGTTTGGCTTATAAATATAGTGGAGGTTCACTGGGTGCGGTTCCAAAGCCATTATGCGTCTTATACCCGCTTTTGAAAGCGGAGTAGTGTGACTGAGCCACCTGGTAGAGCCAGTCAAAAAGAATATAATTCAAGAGACTAACCCGCGGCTTATAAATTCTAGAAGGGTGAATTGGTCGGTATCTTGAAGTTAATATCAGCGACTTTTTTGACCGAATGGTGGGCGCTATCCGTCCGCAGTATGTCATATCCCCATCAGCTCAGCTGAAACAAGGTTGTTTATTGAACGGTTAAGAATATACATTTATTTGTCCCGCGCACTAACGGCAAGGACAATCTAATCACTTATCCAACGGACAGAAGAAAACACCAAATTTAGAAAGAGAATAATGAAACCAAGCATCTTGTAAGGACGGAGAGTGGTGCGTGAATACAGGTACACGGAGGTCACCAGGAGAAAGAGAAGTGGATCAAAACGAATAAATGGATCTACCAAGCTACAAATACGAAGAGTAGTGAATCAGCTGGTTCTTTCAATCTTAGTTATGGTAATGCGAAGCTATGATGAGTGACTAAAAGAAGAAGAAGGCGAAACAGTCAGAGTGGCTAATGGAGGGTTTGTACTAGTACCAAGGGTAGCGCATCTTCAACCAAACTCTCACAAGACAGTTCTTGAGAATTGACTGGAAACTTTTGCGATAATATGGCTTTTATATAGGACGGTCCGCATGGTCGGTTGCACCTCGGGTATAGGACTTGCCCTCGCTAAGCGCATAATTGAGAACCGCGTTCCAGAGATCACGCCATTTATCTGTCTGGCTTTTGTCAAGCACCATACCAATGCCTCAAGGCAGATCTGATCCGCTAATGCGTCTTGGAATATTAGTCAAATAATCTTACCCCGTTGGTTACGCTCCCTCCTCGAAGCAATCCGCCGTAGAAAGGTCACTCGCTCATCGCGTCCTTTCAACAATGAAATAATGCGGGCAGGGTCATCAAGAGCCAAGAAAGACATTTGTGGCTTTTGTAGCATGAACATCTGCGCATTTTTGTACCCAAGAGCCATGATCTTGTGCACGATATCATCAGGATAGTCCTTTGCGTCGAGGAAGGTAATAGCGGCTCGCGTGGGGATGTTGATCCCATGGAAGTAATCTCGTAATATGCCGCTGCAGACTGACATTGATTCGTCTTGCGATGCATCTTGTTCCGTCTTGCCAACCTCTCGTGGCAGCGCATCCCTAAAAGAAACGAGAAACGAGACACTGGGCTGGCACTTCTGCCTTCGAGCCATAGAAGTCCCAATAACCTAAGAACGCTCCGAATACGGCATATGCGAACTGATCAAATGCTAGTCTCATTGACTAGATTCCCAATGACGCCTGTCTGGCTAGTGGTCTCCCATAGTGCTTCAGATGGGCCAACGAAAGTGATCAATACACCCCTTGGCTGTCATTAATGCCTCTGTGGGAGAGACCGAGGATCAAACGTCCTCCCTGGCCGCACTTCCGGATCTTGGAAACTATGAGTGTGAGCCTCGATGCCTGTCATTAAGATTGGCGATGAGCAACATCAGCTAGTCATGTTGCTTCACTTTCACTCGGCCGGCCGTTCTAAGCCAGGCTGGAGCATTCGCGTCTCATCCAGCGAGGCTGGAATACGGCGCGTTATGAAAGTCGCGCAGTAACCGAGCATCCCGATAATTGCGAAAGGTGGATTCCAGGCCTGGGCTGCTGGATGAAACAGCAACTTACGGCTAGCCTCGAGAAATTCGGAGTCAAACGGTTCTGTAGCACAGTGGTACCCACCCATTCAGCAGTTACAGTGGTTGTTTTAGTGGGCTTACAGTGGCCCGACGGGGCAATTCTAAATCAGAAGGTTCCAAAGCCACATAAAGAGTACAATCAAAGAAAATCCCTTCTATTATGATTGATTGAGCATTTCAACAACCGAGATCCTAATGTACCTGCCTTGGGATTTTGTGAAAGTGATTCATCATGAATCAGTATATCTGTATGCACCGAAAAGCACACATGCTTACTTACACAATCAGATTCATTAAAAAAAAACACTAGGTCTTAGCAGCAAATTCAGGGCTTTCAAGCTCCAACCAAGCACGACGAGAAGCTCGATTGGCAACCCCTTGGACTTTTCAAATCGACATTGGTCCTATCGAGGTCTCACATAACCATGCTGCCAGGCTGGACCACGAGTTTGATTTCCTACTAATAGATTGATACTTGACATAAGATGTGCTAGCGAGGTATCCGCCTCCCCACGGCACTTGTCCTGGCGCACAGCACCATTCCCCCACAGGCCGGCGATACTTCCGGCAGCACTGCCGGCCTTTCTGGATAGACTTTTGCCGTAAACGGCAACGGCTGGGCAGATCACTTGTCACCAACTCGCTGCGTCCTCTAGGTGGATTGAATGGAGTATGAACAAGGAAGGACGATTAAAGACTGGGTTTGGATGTGACGATGGCTTCCCAACCCATGCAAGTCCATGCAGTGGCTATCAAACAGCATATGATCTTGGAGGGAATTCCAACGAGCCTATTAGATCCATACCGACATCATTATTAATAGTGGTCTTTATTGGCTTTTCAGAGACTCGGGCTTGCCTATAGACATCTACCTAGGTTAGATGATCGGACCGGAAATTGCCGTCGAGATTTTCGCAATCGTGTCGAATTCGTCTTGGGGAGCTCTGCCCAGGCCGCATTCCGTGGCAACACCATATCTCTTCCCTTTTAGATGACGGGCGGCGACTTCCAGTCGCTTGCGCGAGCCATCTTCATCGTGAGGATGCACCAGGCCGATGAAAAATTCCGTGTCACTGCCAGTTTTCAAGCCCTCCAGCGGCTGGAAATAGGCGTCATCGTCTCTATCTCTGGGGACGGGGAAATGCACCCAATTGATCGGCCGGCCCGCTTTTTGCGCAACTGAATTCGTGATTCTTACAATGTCCTCCGTGTCCTTTGGCTGAATAAAGTGCTTGTGCTTCATGTCGCCGTAACAAATGTGCATGCCCACCTCCACACCTGGCGCCACACTGCCCACCAATGCGGCAATCCTTTCCACGGAACCTTCAAAGGCGTCGTCATTCCAGTACTTGTCGAAATGAAAAATAACTTCGCCGGGAGGGGTCTGAATCAGCATTGTCTCGGCGGCCACATCGACCTGCACCGCCAAGTCCTCGTGTGGGATCTCGGCCTCGATGCGCTTCAGACACCCGAGCAGAGCCTCGGTGTAAAGGGGTTCAATGGCGGCCGCAAACTCGGCCCGCAAGAGGGACATGACGCAGTACACGGTAGGCAGACACACCAGGAACCGAACGCCCTGGGGAATCGTGCCCTCGGCGCGCAGCCGCTTGAACTCGGCGTAGCTCTCGAGGGCGAAATCGTCATACTTGGGTTTGAGCGGGGGCATGTTCTTGACCACCTCTGCAACCTCGGCCGGGGACGCCCTCTGTTGGGGCACGACGGTATCCCCGTCGTCCTTGTACTGCTCCAAGACGACGGGGGAATGCGAAAATACATCGCGCTGCCAACCGGTGAAGCTCCAGCGCGTCGCGGGTTCGCCGTCGGGTAAGCGGCGGAGGCGAGAAGGGAAGGCAGAGACGCATTTCCTGAAGGAGTCGGCGGCGGTCTGGGCGCCGCAGATGGATCCCACAAGGTGGACGCCCACGGGTGATGATGGAGCCATGGTGGTAAAAGTATATGAATATGGAACTAGTAGATCAAATTTCGTCTCACTAAAAGAATAGAGCAATGTAAGAGGTCATGGACCATATTGTGTTCGTAGAATGTTATTGGAATACTTCTTGACGACGGTTATATCATTGATTGCGTTAGTCCAAGTAAAGCTTTGTTAAATTCTGGTATAGGATATTCATGCTACGACCAAGTGTCAATTGTCCCACGGCCATCTAAAATCAGGACAACGAGGAGTTCGGGATCGGGCATTTGGATATTTCACCGGTTTAAAATTAACCGAAGCCGATACAAGGACATCAATTAGGCTTTTCCTCAGCCAGACCATGTTTTGCCGGATTTCTATTCGGTGAACGTTTGGGAATATGCATCTTTGTTTTTCTGCCAATGCCCACTTTGACCAAGCGAGACGGAAGTTTCGTTTACCTCCAAAAAGAAATGCTAAATGAGCCTTACTCAAAATGCTTCCACGCATTATTCGCGTATTTCAGTTTCCCCTGGCAGGACTCAGTAGCGCATATATACATCTGCTTGCTGCTCAACCGCGAGTGCTACCTATAGATACAAATGGGTTGAGAGGATCGAAACCATCATTCTGCCCTGACAAAATGGGCCACCCATCGAAAAAGTCGGTGGGAAGAGACGACGTTGAAAGAGACGGAAATACAAGGTTGGATCCGGGATTTTGTATTTCATTTGAATGTGGCATTTCAAATGTGCTGTCAAACCCAAAGCCTTGGGCGACAGTGGAGCCTCCAATAAGTGTAGACATGCTTTGCTGTTGTTGTGATGAATCCGTCTGATCTCCAACGCCTAGTAAGCGGTTTAGGCGTGAAATGCTGGGCGGGAGTGTGGGGATTTGATTGCTAGGTGCGAGAGTAGTAGTAGGAGGAGGAGACAGCTGTTGATCCTGAATCATTTTGTCAGTATCATATTTTCCTCAAGATGTGGACGTGCAAAAGGCACATTTCTAGCACTAATACAAGCACACGATACTCACATTTGAGTGGGCCAGAGATCCCGAGGAGTTGTTGGTTGGCGAGCCCATTAGCAAGCTCTGGCCCATGGGTACGAGATCTGATTCGGGATTTCGCTGACGAGTCTGCTGCATGCATTGATCGATGCGACTGATCTGGACGCGGAGCTTGGCGCCAAGGCTAGGAGTGACAGCACGAGACTTTTCAATCTTTTCCAGAAAGTCGGCTAGAATCAGGAGGATATTTCTGACTTGCAAATATGACCACGCGGATAGAGGGGCTTGGATGGCGCTTCCAAGAACATGGCCGATGTGTGCCAAGTGGTGCAACTGTGGGGAACATTAGCAACAAGGACAAATAGCTGCGATTATCATTTGTCTTACTGAACCAGTACTAGATGCATTGAAAAAGCCGACGGGGACAGCTCCAAGTTCATCTAACAACTCGCTTGCTATAGCGCAACGTAAATGTACGTTGGGATTCTCAGCTCCAACAAGAAGCATCTTGAGATTGTTCGTGGTGAGGAGAATATTGACGGCTGCGATACTGCATTAGTATTATCCAACCTAGACCAAGATGATGTCTTGAGGCACATGTCTGCAAGATTGAACCTTACACATGTTATTTGGAGGCGAGACTTACCAACAAAGCCGCATCGATCCTTTTGTGGATTTCCAGTCATGGCCTTGACTGTCCGAAGTTCCTGCGGCAAGTCCCTGTGCAACGTGGTGATTAGGTGGAGTATATCAGATGCAAAGTGATGCGTAGGCCGGACACGGGCAAGAAACGAGTTCAAAGTCCCTCTGGGCTCTTCCTCTGGAACCTGCTGCCATGCTCTTAACTGCGTGTCCATGTTTTCATAAAGCCGATACAGGTCTGTACAATAATTCCAGCCTCGAAGAAACGAGACGCGATCTGGCCTCAATCGAACAAATGTTGCAGAGATGTCCTCGTCATCAAATACCTCAGCTGGATATAATACAGTCGTCTTTGCTTCGCGTTGCCGAGATGGCAGGCCGAAATTAGTTGCTAGATATTGGTCCTGCTGATACACGCCCCAGAACTAAAGGAAAACTCAGCATTGTCTCGTATACGTAATCCTCAATTTCTCGCTCACCAGCCTACGTCGCTCTTGCTTTTCGATCTCTGTCAGTCCCGCTGGCCAATTGGCTTCTGCATAAAAGCCATGCATAATCGAGAGAGTAGTGTAGTCACCAAGATGGGCAATAGTTGATTTGAGCTGGCCATTTTGAAGACAAACAGACGCCAGTATGGCATTCGCCCTCATCGCCTGGCAATAGTCGGTAGCAGTGGCCATGTCCCTCGGCAGAGCTTTGACCGCTGCCGCATAGCATTCGGATGACAAGGCGTCAACCCTGGAGCGGACATGGTCGAGATGTGAGGGGCCAGGCACGCCGCTGTATAGACGTCCCGCCGTCAGGGCGCAGACAGCCATGGTAACAACAAATATCCCCCAATCAGAGCGGTAGAGTTGTTGACGGATCTGAGACTGAAATGTAGGCCAGTGGAAGTATGGTCGTCTAGAGTCATAATCAGCACCGATGGAGCGAAACCAAACCTACACGTACATGGGATATATAGTGTGATGAAAAACCTCGACAAGCCCCTCAATCACATCAGGCTTGATCGAGTCTTCATACAATGAGTAGCCATGGGAAAGGCCCGGAGAGTTCACGTTGGCTTCGTCATTGTTTGCCCGGATGCTTCTCGAAGCTAAAGATGGCCCACTGGGAGTCCCAACCGAAGGATCAGCGGCCATGTGGTCCATGCTCCTGGGTGAAGGCTGCTGGACCGATTGCCCGTGGTTTATAGCGGTTGGCGGCGGCGGTTCGGCGCGCCGTGACCCGCGAACCGGAGGCTGACGAGAGCCATCAGTAAGTACGCTCAATCAAGTTGAAGAAACTGGAATAAACCCACCCCTCGTCGCTTTATTGGTCTGTTGTATGTGCAGTCAACTGCCTGTTCCTCGCAACGCCGACAAGTGACACCGATGATACCAGGCGAGCACTAGACCATGACATGAGCTCCTTGATTAGGGCCGTGGCGGCGGCAGATGCGTAGATAGAAGAGCAATCACCTTGCAAGCATTTTGATTGCATCGGTCACAGGCACGCTGAAACTTTCAATTAGCACAAGCAACATCAAACACCAAAATTGAGACACTCACAATGTTTCGCTTGCGTCGAGATCCATCGCTCCCTGTCACAGCTGTAGAGGATAGGTCGCGATCGAGTGCATTGACATTGACCTCGGCATTAGAGGACATCGTGTCCAGCGTCTAGCAGGAGCCTCGACGAGAAGAGCCTGACCAACCCAAAGAGAAGGCAACACAGGCGTGGTTCAGAGAGAGCATTGAACTGGTAGGTGGAACGAGGGACTAGATAGGTAGGCAAGCAGAAAAAGTGAAGTTTGGCCTATTCTATCGATCAAATGACCTCGTATATGTATAACCTTGACACTGATCCACTGGATGCTGTAGCTCAAGCAAAGTCAAACCAAGATCCCGATCCTGCCCCATGCGGGTGCTGAGAGGGGAGAGGCTAACCCCCGCAATCCCCGCATTACCATCCCTGTTAAGCCCTGCAAAGACCTAACCATTCGGCCCATTTACCAAGGCCTTGCCCCGTAACTGGTGCGAGTGCCCTGTAACTCCTTGCAAGCTATCCTCATCTCGTCACCAAACAACTTTCACCAAAGAGAAGCGCAATGCACCCCATGAGAGTCAACAGGAAGGTACATAATTGACTGCCTAGTTCAGTATATCAAATATAATCATAGTCTGAAAATCAATATTGGGTCGCGCAATGTTAGCATTGTCAACTCCCAAGCCTCGGGGCATAGTTCCTTTAGAGGTCGAGTCTCACTGCGTAGTGGGCCCAAGTTGCATCAAATTACCACCATGCCCTAGAGTATGCATAGCACAGTATCTATCCAAAGCCTGTATGTATGCTAGACATGATATACACGAGCTGCCGCCACGGGAAATGGGGGCAGGATAGACAGAAGAGGAGGATCCAAATGGCGTCCAGTCGTGAAAGATTTAGGTTTGCTCTTATTAGTGGATTATATGATGTGTATGAGGTTACAGGCGAAATAGCTCGTACCCGCACCATGTGCAAGCGATCAGTGAGTCAAGGGACTGACAGGAGACTGCTGCAGCAGCTCAATTGAAGAAGAAGAATACCTCCCACTTCTTGATCGTGCTGAGAAGTGCATCTCGTATTGCTCTTAAAGCTTTACGCGAAAAGCCGGGGAGTCGAAGACCCTTCCCTCTCACTCTTTTTTTGTTCCCCTTTGCGGGGAAGCACGGAACCCTTGTCATCTCGCTCCAGATCTACACTACAACGGTCTTTCTCCAGGTTCTTCTCTCGGCGATATTTTGCCAGCAGTTTTTTTTTTTTTTTTTTTTCAAAGAGATGAGGTAGTATTGGCGCTGTACGCAGTGTCAAACGGGGATAGGTGGGCCGCAACTGTTGAGGTACGGTTTGATCGAGGGACCAAGACATGGACAGCTCTGAGTAGGTATGTAGCAAAAGATCACACAATGGCGCATGTCAAGTGTATAATCACTCAAGAAAGACATATATGTAATTTTGAAGGGCAAGAATTACATAAGGTATAATTTTGAATTAAAATTTTAAGCTTAACATGCGGAAAGTCGTACAAGCCATAGAGAAGGGCCTTGCATTAAACGTCCAGCATTTATGTCACTATAGGGACCAACCCGCGAGCACTACAAACTTAGCGTACGCACGTCCTAAGCGGCAAGCGCCGACATCCAGTGAGCCAACTCTTACACCCGCAGATTTGCAATGTTATCATTCCAAAGCCCGAGCTTATAGTGAAGCTAGGGGGAAAGGGACTCGATGGTAGGCATGGCAGGCTATGGAGTTGATGCAGCAGGATGGTTGTGGTTGGTTTGCAAGATTGGGCCGGCTGATTGGTAAGATTACCATCTAGTCACCTCTAGCCTACATCCCGACATGCACCCATCTACCTGTTCGGATAATTATTTCTGGGGTAGGACATTACAGTTCATAGTTTGGTGAACAGTAGTGTTCTATTCACTCCTCTATTTAAGGAATCCCGTTGCTGTCACGATGTGAATGCAGATGTTCAAGTCGCCTTCGCTTCTTGCTTGATTCCCAACGCTACCTTATGTATTGAGACACACTCTCGACCTATCGACCCAATATCTTGTGAATACTCGTCATCATGTTGTCCGGCATGTCAATAATAGCATTGCTGGCATTGGCCACCTTCAGCCAAGTTGCTCCGGTATTGGCAACATATCCGGCGGAATGCACCGAAGAAAATATACAAGTACGAAGAGAGTGGTATGTGTTCTATACCCATCTTTAGCAAAGCCTCAAAGCTCAAAAAATGGATAGGTCAAGCCTGGCACTGGAGGATCGTAAAGCATATATAGACGCGGTGCAGTGTCTGATGGATAAGCCCTCCCAGCTGGACCCAACAGTGTACCCGGGGGCAAAGAGCCGACATGCCGACTTTATCGCAACACACATCAACTATACCTTTACCATCCATCTCGACGCCATCTTCCTGCCCTGGCACCGAGGGTACGTCCGGCTGTATGAGAAGGCTCTCCAAGAAGAATGCGGATTCAATGGTACCCAGCCGTACTGGGACTGGCCCGCCTATACGGACAAGCCTCTGCGCGAGTCGACGCTGTTTGATGGCAGCCCGTACTCACTCGGGAGCGACGGCGTCTTCACCAACGAGACTCTCTATACGGGACCCAACCAGACCTACCCTAGTGGCACCGGGGGTGGCTGCGTCTTCGCAGGTCCCTTCATGAACTATACTACGCCCTACCGCGATTTCCCACAGTCTCTGATTACCGACAATGTCAATGGTTCTTTGCCCTCTGATTCTTTTGACTACTCCCCTGGCTGCTTCAAGCGTAACCTGAATGACTATGCCCTCCGGGTGAATAACAACTACAGCAGTATTGCCGAACTTTTGAACCAGACCACCATGGGCGACTTTCAGAACACTCTGTCCAGCCCGGAGGGCGCGAGTTGGTTCGGTCCTCACGGTGGTGGCCACTTTGCCATGGGCGGCGTGGGCTCGGATCTGTTCACCAGCCCCACGGATCCTGCCTTCTTCCTGCACCATGCCCAGGTCGACCACGTGTGGTGGCAGTGGCAATCCGCAGATCTAGAGGCGAGAGCATTTGCACTCAACGGCACCATGACCTTGTCCAATGTTCCTCCGTCGCGGGACTTGACGCTTGGCGACTATCTTACCTGGGGACCGTTGAGTGATGACAAGCAGGTCAAAGATCTGATGCTGCCTTATGAGGGCCCTTTTTGTTATCGGTACGAATGATTGGGAGAGTCATCGTGGCTGATGGGAAAAGATCCGTGGTTTTCCTTAGCATACAGTCTGAGTGCGCACTTCTGCTGGCCGACAACAAACTCTTGATTGGCGCATCTCCTGGGCAATTTTCTCATTCCCCCCACAAGCAGTAGTATATCATGTAGCATAGGTCTATCAAGAGCAACTCTGCGTCAACTAGTGCTTCGAATGCAATGCCTGCCTCGGACGCCATGCTAATTCATCTTGCGCCCAATGTTTGGAATGCATCTGACAATGGGCACTACTGAGGGTGGAAAAAAGAGGGGGAAAAAAAACACACGCGCCGGTGTAAATTTGAGCTACATGAAACTTTCCACCGTACAAGTGAGCAACAAATAACACGATGTGCGTGTGTTCGAGTTGCTGGAAGTGCATGTCCGTTAGCTTGTTGGAAGATCCCAAGCTGTGTACTGGGATATTTAGCCGGAACCCTGTAGTGTCGCCTGTAAAGTGGCCCTAATGCACTGTAATGACAGCGTTACTACCGCATACAGTTGCGCTGTGGGGCGCTGGAGATAGGGCGATTGGATGTGGTGTAGTGTTTCTCTCGTGATTACATTGATAATTGTGTGTGTAGTATACATGCCTTTACATTTTAATAGGAATACGTATAAATGAAATAGCTTGATATTTGAATTGCAGTCCACTCTTCAAGATTCTGCCCCAAACCCCCAATATGACGTCCATTAACAACCAATGTCGAGAATCAGTAATGCCAGCCGACGGAACACAGATTGGGAGCTCGAAAGAACAGCCAAGTACGGAGGAGCATGCAACGTCCTCAGCAGACCCAGATAACGTCGACTGGGAGATATGTGACCAAAACCCAAAGAATTGGTCATTGCGGCGAAAATGGATCATGATATCTGTTGTCTCTGCAAACACTTTGCTGACGGCGCTGGGCGCAACAATACCAGCGCCAGGTGTGCCAACCTTGATGCAAGAATTTCATTCCGACGGCAACCTCTTGCAAAGCTTTGTGATTTCGGTCTATGTTCTCGGTTTTGCACTCGGTCCACTCTGTAAGCTTAATTTCCCCTGTTCTTTGAGCCCGACCATGCTGATTCGGCCAGTAATTGCACCACTATCGGAAGCATATGGTCGACAACCAGCGTACCTCGTTGGTAACGGAGGCTTCCTGATATGGAATATCGCCTGCGGATTTGCGCCAAACATGGCTTCAATGATGGTTTTTCGTTTCCTCGCCGGCAGCTTTGGTGTCGCCCCATTTGCTTTGGGAGGTGGCACGATTGCCGACATGGTACAGCCCGCTCAGCGAGGGACCGCCATGGGTATTTGGATGGCCGGGCTGACGGTTGGTCCCGTCATCGGACCCACGATTGGAGGCTTCGTGAGCGCCTACCTGGGATGGAGGTGGAATTTTTGGATTCTTGCCATCATGGCGGGTACCGTTTTGCTAATCAGCGCCATCGTTGTGAAAGAGACCTTTGCGCCGGTGTTGCTTGCCAGAAAAACAAAGAAGCTCCAGGAAAAGACGGGACACTCAAACTTGCAACCGCGTCTTCAGAAAAACGTCACTGCGAGACATCGCCTTTGGCTTTCTATTGTTCGACCCACGAAGATGCTGTTTACTTCACTGATCCTGTTTCTGCTTTGTCTCTACATTTCACTGGTTTATACTATTATGTTTATGTGAGATTTCTTTCGCCGCGCATAGCTCCAATACTAACAAGGACATGAGTTTATTCACAACGTTTACAGAGGTCTTTGAGGGCCAATATGGGTTTTCTACAGCGATCTCCGGACTTGTCTACTTGGGCTGGGGCGTGGGATCCATCATTGGCCAGGCCTTGTACACCCTTTGGACCAACCACTTTGTGTCCCAACGTCTCGAGAAGGGCAGCTTTAAGCCGGAGGACCGACTCCCGCTAATGGTACCCGGTGGTCTACTCTTATCTCTGGGCCTCATTTGGTATGGATGGTCTGCTCAAGCCCAAGTTCATTGGATTGTTCCCATGATAGGAACAGCCTTTGCTGCAATAGGGCTGACTATTGTGTTTGTGAGTCACGAGTTGCCTGAGAAGATAGTATGACAGGCTTACTAACGTCCTGGTAGACGGCGCCTTTGGCATATCTCATTGACGTGTTCACGACCTATGCGGCCTCTGCAATAGCAGCAAATGTGATTCTAAGATCCATCTGCGCTGCTATTATCCCACTCTGCGGCCAGAGCTTGTATGACAAATTAGGTTTAGGTTGGGGTAATACGCTTCTGGCACTGCTATCGCTGGCGTGTTTGCCCATAACCCTACTATTCTATTACCGCGGGGAGAGAATTCGGACGAAATATCCGGTCAAACTATAACAAAATGGTCATTTGCCGTGGAGCCCAAGTTGAACTGTCTTAATGACTAGGGTCACAGTCAAGATCAGGGATCGATGAGAAGAATGCAGTGAGTTGTAGCATAGAAGCCAATTCGGGGTCAGCGTAAACGTTACATACAGAGTCATCACCGTAGGAGTAATTCACAGAAGACAAAGCATTTGGTCATGCATCCAGATTCAACCTGGTCAATTACCCATGCTCTGCAGATCTCTCCCCAGTGATTATGCTACCGAGCTACCCACTGGGCCCTCAGTGACCAGCATGCTATCACACCGGAGAATTGGAGATCAAGTGGGACCGCCGGCTGGACATTCGGGATAACGTCTCGGTCGCTTATTCCGACATCCCTGTTACCCCGGAACGACGATTGAAATGCATGCAGAAAGCCGATGCGGAATGTGACGTTAAAGATGTTGAGGATAGTGGATCGCTGCATGAAGTACTACAGGAATCCGCGGCAAATTAGCTGAGGAGAGCGTGATGGGAGGTCGTGGGTCAGGTATCTATTGTCTCATCACATTTCACAGGCAAAACAGGGACCGGGAGATGAACCAGAGACATTGAGCAGAGGAGTAGCCAGTGAAGCAATCATGAACTACCCAGAACCAAATCAAGTGAGGACTTTGGGTGTTGGGACTTTGGTTGAAGCTATAGAAACTGATGTACTATAATATGTGGGCTAGTACCCCTGGTGTGTCGTTCTCATAGCACACGCAAGAACACCTTTTTCATGATACACACCTAGATATATACCTTTCATTGAAAACGACTTCGTAGGAGCAACAATGTCGACCTCATTTTCTTCAATCCCATTAGTTGACTTTGGTCGGCTAAAGAACCCCCAAACGAAGGAGGCTGAGCTGGCGGTTCTTCGTGATGCCATCTTTCATGTCGGATTTCTCTATCTTGTAAATAACGGCGCCGAGGTAAGAAGTCATGAACACTAATCTTACTGCCGAATAGATTCTTAACTTCTTCTTTGAGCTAGGCTTTGATCGAAGAGGCTCACGAGCGACTGCCCGAAATCTTTGCCATCTCCTCCAAAGACAAGAACCATATCGACATGCTCAAATCTCCGTCATTCTTGGGCTACACGTCTTTGGGAAGGGAGACTACCGCCAAGGTCATTGATATGAGAGAGGTAGGGATGCGATCACTGCCATGATAGAAGGCTTCTAACAAGTTGACTCAGCAATTTGACTTTGGATCAGAGTGCTCCGAATACAAGGATGGAGACCCATTTTGGCAAATGCTGGAAGGCCCAAGCCAGGTACTGCAGCAGTTATTTTGATCCTCTATCCAGTACAAATTTTAATGACCGTGTTCTTAGTTTCCCAATGCATCTGTGCGGGACCTGGTTCAGAGGTACATGGGAGCCATGGAAAGCGTGAGCAAGGAGTTTGTGGGCTTTGCTGCGGAAAGCATTTCCCTCCCCAGAAATACCTTTGAAAGCTTCATTGGCAAAATGTCACGGTTGAAGTTTGTCAAATATCCCCAAGCCCCGCCAGGTTCCCAAGGGGTCGGTCCTCATAAAGATTCCATTGGTCTGTTCACATATCTGGCGCAGGACAATGTTGGCGGTCTGCAGGTTCTCAACAAGTCTGGTGACTGGATAGATGCTCCACCCATCAAGGGCAGTCTGGTCATAAACATCGCACAAGGATTTGAAGCCATCACTGGAGGAGTTTGTTCGGGAACCACGCATCGTGTCATAGTAAGTCGCAAGGAATCCATTCAAAAACAAACCATGCCGGTTGATTGACTCTGCAAAGGCGCCGACGAGCTGTACACGATATAGCATCCCCTATTTCCAGGCCGTGAGGCTAGATCTCAGGCTACAGGACCTTGAGCAATCAGCTGCAAGCATAGTCGCCAGGATCCCCGTTTCCGAAGACAAGAAGAAGCGGGCAGTGGATGTCCCGAGTGAACTGATATCTCCGCAATACGCATGTGTACGTGTGAACTTGGCCGTTCCAATCATCGTTTTGATGCCAAAAAGACTAACATGTACCTATTGATTAGTTCAGAGAGGCGCAACTTCGAAATCGTATCTTCAGCCATCCAGATGTTGGGAAAAAGTGGTACCCAGGATTGTTTGAGCAGTATTCGCAGCAGCCGGTGGCGTGAGAACTCGGTCAGATAATGATGCAGGTCACGTGTGCAGGATCTATGAATTTGAACTTACAAGCTTAACGTAGTCGCATAGGTACATGGTATAATATGATAGCTTTCAGTACTTTGCAACACTGCAACTCGCCAGTCAAAGTAATAGTCACTTTCGCACTGCTCGTACAACAATGATGATTATACTAGGAGCCGACATACAAATAAAGAGCTATGTCCTACGAACACGGCTCCTGTTAGCTTTTGAAAACCGCTCCGCACTCATAGACATTACGGCGTAAATCATTCTACTTTAACACTGTACAATCTTTCATGATCTTGACGGGCACGAAACAACATTCATAGGATATTTACGAAGATAGAAAATGGTCCTAGATATGCAATCCATATGTACTTGTCTCTAATGATAAATGCAACTGTCCTCCCTTCCGTAATGCCTTTGCGCACTCACTTCATAGTATGAACATTCTCTTTATGCTCCACTTCCGTAACTTCTTTCTCGTAGTCAATCTTCTGGCCACCAACACCGCCAAACAGCTCATCCATCTGGTCGATACGCAAACCTTTCGTCTCGTGAATGTAGAAAAAGGCATAGATGGCTGCGCAGATGAGCACACAGCCAAAGAAAACGTAGATACCGTATCCCATGCTCGTATACATGTAAGGCAGCGTCTTGGTCGTGACAAATGACCAAAGCCACACGTTCAGGGATGCAAAGGGTCCAGCGACGCTGCGCAGGCTTGGCGGGAAGATCTCCGAGGCAATGACAAGGGGGAGGCCATTGGCTCCAAACGACCACATGAAGCCAAATAAGAGGATAGCGGCCGTCGCACCCTTTCCCGCGGCAACCTCTGACGCGGTTTCCGGGACACCTTGTACAGGATACGCAAGACTCACGTAACCAGCAAGATAGTACATGCAGACCGAGCAGCCGACACAGGACACGATCCAGGGCCACTTTCGTCCAAATCTATCAATAAAGACGGTAAAGTAGATAATAGACGCGCCCGCCTTGATGACGCCGTAGATACCAGTCCACAACGTGGTATTGTATAGGCCAATGGACCTAAAAATGGTTGGCGAGTAATAGTTCACTGCTACCGCACCACACCAGGGTTGCCACATTGTGATCATAATGACCAACAGAAAGCGATTACGAACGCCCTTTTGTACTGACTCCTTGCACACACAGCGGAGATATTCGATGAATGACGCGCGCCTGCTATTGTCCGTTGTGATGGCACGTTCCAACTCGATCTGCGCCTTGACAAACGCGATATCTTCGTGGAGGTAAGGGTGAGATTCAGGCAAGTTGCGAATATATGAATATACCTTTAATGCCTCTTCATCTCTATCTTTCTTGAGAAGCCAAGTCGGGGACTCCCGTAGCCACGGAATTGCAAGGAGGACGATGCCAGGTGGGATCAGCTGAACTGCCATAGGAATCTGCCAGGCGATTGACTTTTTAGTGTCAATGGTTTGGTCGATGCCAAAATTGATCCAAAAGCCAACGAGCGAGCCGACTTGGTAAAAGCTCTCGAATAGGCCAGTCATGCGTCCGCGAATAGCTGGCGGGGACAGCTCCGAGATATACGTCGGAGCAACCGAGACGGCACCGCCAATCCCGAAACCACAAATGACTCGCCCGGCGTACATCATGCCAAGGTTTCCATTCGCCGCCGTACTTAGAATGGCACCCAGGACGAACAGGGCATTGCTTCCAGCGAGTGAGCTTTTCCGGCCGAGGTAGTCTAGCGGAAACAGCATGAAGACAGAGCCCCAAAAAGCGCCGGCAGAGTATACACTGATCAAATTGCTCGTTGTATCATTTTTCTCCTTTGTCGAAACCCCGTCTAGTCCAAAATCTCGTTTGAAACTGTCCACGGCAAGAAGGTTGCCAATGAAGGAGGAGTCGTAGCCAAACACCATGATGCTCATGGCGATAGCCATGGCGGTGGTATATATTTTCCAATTGTACTGCCAAAATTCATGTCAGCGACTCTCAAATGGTGAATGGTTGCCAATGATACGAACCACTTCAGGAGGAGTCGGCCGATCCTCTGCCGCACGTGCAAATGCGTTAAACTTCATGTTGATGCGACGGCTCCCGCGTGCATGGACGTAGATTGGTAGACAATAATGTTCCAAACCAAGCGCTTCAACAAATGAATGAAGCGGGAGGCAGAAAGTTGCGAACCCTGATTTGAAAAGGAAACTGGACTGGATTGAGGATATTTCAGCCGCCTTGGTCCGCTACGTTGGTGGGTACTTGCGCCGTTTCGACAAAATACAGCCCATTGATTCTGCCGACCTTGGGAATCAACTATGGGAGAACGCCTCCGCTGTTTAACAAACATACAATTCTCCCTCTTCCAAGCACCCATGTCAAGACAGGGCAAGTATACATTGGGGTATACCAAGACTCCATTGTTCCGCGTGCCTGTAGTGGGTGTTACTGTGCCACCATCTCCAACTGCCAGTATCCTGGTCTCTGATAAAAGTTTGACCCACCTGCAAACATTATGCCCGATGATTCGGCGCAACTGTACCACTAAACGGCACTCGGTTAAACATTGAGACGCCGTAAAGGCGAAAGAATCGACACTCCACTACACATCCTACACCGGGTTGCAGAGACATCTCCTTCTTGGTTCTCAGGTAAAGCCGTATACCGGTATATGCATGCAGTTGCATGGGAACGCCGTATTCACACCACGTCCACCTGGACCAAGCAGGGAAACAATAGTTTAGGCCACGTCGAGAGGATCATTCTGCCTTTTGCTAATTTCCACCTATTCACAATTTGGTCTTCTCATCTCTCATCATCCAAAACGCGAACATGGCTTCGGACAAGCTGAAAGAGCTGGCCCAATACAGCGCCTGCGACGTGTGTCGTTCCCAACTTCCTGGACAACTTATACAGACACTTATCGATTACTGATGGTAGATCTCCGATGCCCTCCTTAAATTTGATGTGCCAAATGCCGGCTTCCTTCCGGATATTGGTATGTACATATGGTCTGTAGGACCTCGAGTGGGCCGAGTCATGTGGCTTATCGCCAAGCAGTGCCACTTCAAACAAGCGGAAAGATTGTAGCACCAGCCACGACTGTGCTTTTCGTGAGCAAGACGACGCCTTCTTTTCCTGGTCACGGACCAGAAGATCACTTGCCGAGCCCCGCCGCCTCATCGAATATTCCAACCGGCTCCATCTACTCTGATCTCATGGCGCCAGGAACAATTGCGGTCCTCAGCCAACCTCAAGGGTCAGTCACGGCCACCATGGGTAGTGTCCACGCGGCGCGCATGAATAAGCTAGGCGTCAAGGGCGTCTTGGTAGATGGCAGAGTTCGAGACGTTCAATATCTGAAAGAAGAGCTGGATATGCCCGTCTGGTGCAAAACGACAAGTTTGGTGGCTACAAAAGGACAGTGCAAAGCGCATGGGATCAACGTGCCCATCGACATTGGCGGAACTCGGGTTACAGAGGTATGTTGTAAGCTTCCAATGAAACCTTTTCCCGCATGACTGTGAGGTACAGGCGGCCAGAGATATTGTCGTGGACTTTCTAACCTCAGTCGCAGGGTGATATTATTGTACTTGATCCAGCAGAAAACGGTGCACTGTGCATACCGAAAGATAAGGTCGACCAGGTGCTAGAACTCGTAGCTAGGCTGGTGGAATTGGATCGAAAAACAATGGCAGATATTGCACTTGGGTGTAGCGTCGAAGAAACATCTCAGAAATATGTGAAATAATTGAGCAATAACTGGTTGTCTGCATACCTGATTACCGTTAGTATTTGGTGATTTGGAGCACTAAGAACCAGGGATGGATCTGTTGCCACTTGTACACGACGAAACAACCAGCTTCTCAAAAGGAGTGTGACGTTGCCATGAGCCCAGAACTGAAATTAGAAACACGAAGTTGATGAGTAATATAATTCGAATTAATTCAAGACGCGATTTCCCCTTTTTCACTCGTTAGATTTAACCCAGACATCATTCAGACAGTCCTTCAATCCCATGATCTCCTTTTCAATGGCTGAGGTCAGAATTTTCATCTAGTCACTGAAATGATGGTATACGAGCGGATCATAGCTCGCATTTCCGTATGCACTGCCTCCATAGTCGAGATAACCCTTCACGTAGGGCTCAGAATTGACTGTGATCTCAGACGCATTGCCCATGACCCAGACTGTCTGCATGCCCATGATCATGTGGTAGAGAAGGTGGCAGTGGACCATCCAAACCCTAAAACAATTGTCAGTCACAGCTGGGATTACGAGAAATGGCGACGTGTTTGTACTTACCCGGCGTCTTGTACCTTGATTCTCCAGGCTCGCCATCCTTGTGGTGTATATACCGTGCCATTCTCACCAACGAGATTGCTGTCGACATACTTGTATAGCATCAAGGTATCTCTCAAGACGGGGTGATAGCCCTGCAGCCTTTTCTCATTGGCAGCAGCGTCGTAGTTACCGGGGCCGCTGCCAAGATCATACACATGTCCCCCGTGAATATGCCACGGATGGACGTCGAAACCGCCGACTGTCCCAGTTGGCTCGTTGATGAGCACCACGTCAATGATTTCTCCGACCTTTGCAGTGTACACGTTGAGGTTGGGATCCCAGCCGCCATATTTCCCCACAGCAAGATCGTAGTTGGGCATGGCTGCCTCTCCATTCTTGTAGATATCGACCAAGTAGGGCGTACCCGTGTTATTGGCCATGTCGTAGTATGGGGTGCCGCCAAGATGCTGATTCTCATCGGTCCACGTGCGATTGTTGACAGCCCAGAATGGAGGTGTGCTATTCGCAAAGATCTGGGAGCTGTAGAGGTAAACAGTGCGAGACACTTGGTCTGCAGCCGGGAAACCATTGTCTTCCAGTGGCTCGAGCGTGTACTCCAGCCAGCCTTGAATGTCGTTGCTAATCTCCAACGGCGGGGTCGCTGGAGCTGATGCTGGCACGGTGCGGTTCCCTACGCTGGAATTGGTGTACTGCAGAAAAGCGTAAGAAGTGACATTGACAGGGCGATAGCGGGATTCGACCTGGACCCAGAACAGAGATTTCCCGAGCCGTGTGACTTCATCTTCAGTCTTGGTTCTGAGTAAGACATCGAATCGTTGCCCAGATCCAAGTTGAATACGATCGACTTCGGCCGGTTTGGTATAAGCTCCGTCGGCATTGATCACATCGAATCTGTCGTGGTCCTCTATGACCAAGCTCACCGTGCTTGCTACTACCGCACCAATCATGCGCAGACGATATGTCTTGTTGAACTCTACTTGGAAAACCTCGGGCTTACACTTGTCGTTGGCAGGTGATTCTTGCCATGGCTCATCAGTCTGCGTCTCGTCTGCGCCCAGTGGTGGATAGGTTCCACCATTGATGAGATGCGATCCAGCTTCTCCGGGCCTCACATAAAATTAGCATGATATCGTAAGTATTCATATTTATTGAGACACGAACCAATCGAGCACAGGCATCTGCACACCGGCAACGACCGCCTCGTCTGTCCAATTGAAATAGTCGGAGAGGAAGACGATTTTCTCCTCGTCATATCTATACGGCGGTTCGCCAGAAGCTTCTTCCACGATAATGGGGCCGACAATGGAGGAAGCTTGAAACAAAACATGAGAGTGGTAAAAGTATGACCCTGCCTCTCCAATGCGTGGCTGAATCTCATAATCGAAAAAGTGTCCTGGCTATGGTAAGGTCAGTCCGATGTGCAAAAGATAGAGACGCCTTCGAATGAATGTGCTTGACTGACCGCAATTGCCCACTGGCTAGCTTGAGGTGTACCATCAGAGAAGGGGGCGGTCGCCTGAGCCAGTCCATGCCAGTGCTATGGTCGTTAATATTAATCGTGTTTTCTCTGTAGTTCATTGTTGGTCAAGGCTTGCCATGGTCAAGTTGCGGTCCTCTTGGTCATTGTACACCCGAACCCAGGTAGTCTCGCCCTCTTTCATGTACAGAGGGGGGCCAGGTGATGTGCCTGTCAATCATGGTTATTCGCGGCTGTTGGTTCAATGAGCACATTACGGCAATCAATTACTCACCATTGACAAGCCCGAGTAGTTTCGTCCGACACGCGACATCTACTTTCTCGTAGGTAACATGGAGCGCATAATCTGGAGTAAATGATTGGTCGTGCTTGTGAACGCCTGCTGCTAGGCCAAATGGAACAAGCAGGCCGACCACGGTGGTCAAATGAAGAGCGGCTCTGAGCATTTTGTTCAATGCTCGCGTTCAGTGATACATGCAAAATGCTGCAATGGGCCAACATGTAGAGCTTAAAAGATATACTTTGCGATGTGGAAACAAGTTACGTAGGCAATTATATGTCATATAGAATAGCATGATCTATAATACCACTGGACTTGGCAGTGGCTTCGCGAGTAATTTTGGAAGCTGATCGCCTGCAACACGTCCCACTTTGCTTGTCACTCTGCTACCTACTGCTAGAGAAGAAGAAGAAGAAAATAACTGGTTCAGGCACTGGTTCAGGCACTATAGCGAGCGCAAGTGCTGGCTAATTCCAGCATGGTGGGGAAAAGTCCGATGAGATTTGTAGCGGAGCTACCTGTAGCTACAGTGGTTGATTCACCGAAATGGCCGCGGGCTGACCGACCGTGCGCGGCACTTGGCACTCGAGCAGAGCTCCGTTTGGCGATCATCAGCTGTAATAACTGACTGCGACGCGGTAACAGCGCAAATTCTGCCAACAAGCCATGAATACAGGATCCCTTAGTACCAGATAAAGTTTATCAATTTGGGGGTGATTATCATAGGTACCTACTCAATCCCTCTTTCGGCGCCTTCTGCTCTAACTAGGTCCCTGGCATACTAGGTACCTACATTACCTATGAGTATGTCCCGGATTTGCCAATAGTGGGGGGTTCAAGTAGCTCACGTACCAAAAGTCTCAGGAATTCAACGCAAGTCCACCACAGGTAACCACTACGGGGATCTTCATTCGGGCTCAGCTGTGATTCAGTCGTAGCCCATGCATGTAATCTATCAACTATTATTCTTGTCATTGGTTTTCAAAGTCAGTGGTCCTTGGGCTTTGCACCCTTCCCTCCCTTCAAGGCATCTACAATAGCGACCGCTACATCATCGGCCGTCTTACCCCTCACCCGGTGCTCCGGTCTCTCCTTGCCCAGCACCGTATCGTCCGCAATCGTCCTGTACACTTCAGCGATGCGCTTGTACACATCGGCCCCTTCGTCACCAGTCACATTGTCCCATCCGCCATCTTCGCCAAAACACCTCCCAATCTCCCACATCTCGTCAACCCAGCGACCAGCTTTTGGCGGAATCTCTGTCACCATCCTTGTCGTGCTCTTTTGCAGCGCGGGTTGGAACATTTCCAGGTGGCGCTGAAGTTCTCCATACACCCCGAGTGCCTCGGCCGTGCTAAAGGACTGGATGGAAATGGCAATGAGGCCCTTGATTATAGAGCCGAAACAGCACTTTAGACCACTAGCAGATCCGACCTCTGGACCTACGTGGGTTACGTTGAGGACCTTGGCCAAGTGCTCATTTGGCAGCTCATGCGGACCCGACAGAGGGATGGAAGGTCGCGCCCAGCCAACGCCAATATCAGTAGGCGTTGCTGACTGAGTGCAGTCTTGCTCCTCCACGACCCGTGGCGGCCCGCCAATAATGCCGCCATCCACATACTTGACGCCGGGCGCGTTTTGACGGAATATCTCGGCCGTCTTGCGTGCAAGCTTGGGACTTGTCGCGTTGAGGTCGAGATAGTAAAGTGGCTTTATACGGCCGCTGGTCTTGACCCCTGCGAAGCGCTCGGCGGTGGCTAGAGCATCACGGGGCGGCACGATTGACAGCAGATAGTCGGCCTGGGAGACGAGGTCTTCGTCGCTCCCAAGCAGGACAATGGAGGCCGTTGTGGCACGCCTTTGTGTGTACTCGCTGCGAAAGTTGTCAGGACAATATTCGAAGGCTACACAAATGGCCTATCTAGGTACATACCTGCGGCCAGTAATATTGGTCAGAACAGTGTAGCCATGGGCGACAAGCAACTTGGCGACACCAACGCCCATCTCGCCAATAGAGACGATGCCCACTTTTTCAGAAGGCGCCATGATATCCAAGTCTATGGTTCTCAGTAATTGCAACGCAGCTGAAGAGACAAGACTCTGTCGTTTGAGGTATGTACTATTCGATCACGAGCCTTTTCATGGGAAGACTTTCACCTTTCCTTGCTGTGTCTCAAATCATAATTGTGGACCGTTTATTCGCCCTCATGTGTATCTACATGGATACGCCATCTATCCTCCATGCTCAGGAATGCGCAGATCATCGCCTCCACGCAGGTTCCGTGTCTTTTCAGGCGGGTGTTCTCCCGGCGAACGGACGTCGCTATAATCTAGCGCTGGACCCCACATAATCCATGTTGCACAGGTCGTACCCGCCGCTGTGGCTAAATGAGAAAGTCAGACGCCGACATCTGAGAATCTACCGGCGAAACTCACAAGGTGCTGGCAAACCCAGCATTCTACTTACCAGCTGGCCCAGCTGCCTTGTACAACAATGACATATCGTCTGACTCACTCTATCTCCACTTCATTCCTCTGACGGTGACGCCACTTACGATGCCATGAACCTCAATGTCGGGTACGCCTTGCCACGAGCCTGTTGCACAATGGCGCGACTGGAGAGATAAAAAGAAGTCAGGATGAGGCGTTTGCTCATTTTCGATGCGAATCAAGAAAGATAGATTCCTGTAGTAATCATTCGATACTATTCATCCAAACTTCAATTGATTTACACAAAACACAACATGTCTCCTCAAACCATTTCTCAGTCAAGCAGTACCGTGCCAATTGTGCTTGGTAACAGTGATGAGAGCCCAAGACCCACTCTTGCTCCCACTGACAGTGTAAGCACAGCATACAAAACGAAAAATCGACCGAGTATTAACATTTATCCAATAGTCCCCTCAGTGGCTCAAAGACTTCCATGCCAAGGGATGGACTGTCGTCCGTGAGGCCGTGCCCAAAGAAAAGGCCCTCGAGTATGCCGATCGCGGCTATGATTGGCTCGAAAGCTGGAATCTTGGCTTTGACCGCAAGGACCCTTCCACGCGAAAGGCTGAGTTTCTTCCTTGGCACACTCGTGGTGGCCTATACTTCCGGTGCGCATGAATCTATTGCGACTTCAATGTCTGTTCACCTAACCAATATTTTCAGGTACGGCATCACTCACGAACAGTTTGTCTGGGACCTGAAATCCGAGCCCGGGCTGATTGACAAGTTTGCGCAGCTCTGGAAAACGCAGCAGTTGCTTGTGTCATATGGTAAGGAGAAGCCATCGCGGCCTCCCGGCCTCAACTTGACTAATACCTTTTAGACGGCATCAACTTGTCCATTCCGGAAAAAGAGCGCCCCAAAACTGATGCCATCTTCACTCCCTGGTCTCATGTCGATCAGTCTCCTCTGAAAACCACTTTTGACTGCGTTCAGGGCATTTTGAATCTGCTCCCCAATGGCCCAGAAGACGGTGGTCTGATGGTCTTGGACGGGTCTAGTGCCCATTACTCAGAGCTGTGGGAGCACTTTGATCACAAAAAGGGAGAGGGTTGGAATGAGCGGGCATGGCAAGCTGTCGACGAGGAAATGTGCAAATGGCTGGAGTCAAAGGGCTGTAAATGGATCAAAGTTTGCGCGGATCCCGGTGACCTGATGCTTTGGGACTCGGTCAGTATTTTCGCAATTTCCCCGAAGAAAAGAGCAGAATTTTGTTGACCATGAAGCAGAGAACTATTCACTACGGCGCGCCACCCTCTTCCACCAATCCCCGCTTCGCTGCATGTGAGCCGACCTAGGATACTATCTCTCTCAATACAAATGCAAAACTTGCTAACACAACTACTTAGACGTCTGCTACAAGCCCAGCTACCTAGTTCCAGAAGAAGCCAAGAAGAGTCTGAAGGAATGCTGGGATAACAAATGGTGCACCACGCATGATCCATCAAGCTTCCGCTGCAAGACCCGCCCACCTCCGGAAGACCATCCTTCTTTTGAGGCAGCGAGCAAGAGGCCTATCCAAGAACCAGTGCTATCCAAACGAGCCCGGCAGTTGGCAGGATTGGAGCTTTACTAGCAAGACTAGCATAGAACAGATCGTTGCTGTCAAATATCACCAACAATAATGGACTGGAATGGTAAATTACTGTGTTAGTATTGGGTAGTATGAAAGAAGTACCGAAAGAAGTACCGACATGGGGCTGTTCATTCGGCCAATATCTGATAATCATCTGTTATTCCACATACCTATTTTAAAAATGCTACGGGAAGGGAACAAAATGGAATTTGAAAAGAAAAAAAAAAGAAAAAAAAAAAGGCAAAAAGATAACGCTATCAATCAAACAGTCCTACCCATGATAGGCTGACTGTGCGCGTGCATTCGTTTCTAGCCGTCTCTGAAATAACCTGGGAGCATAGCATTATTGAGTTGAAAAGTCCTACCATATAGATCGGATTCCCCCAGCCCTTGTTTTTTTGCCTAGTAATGCTGCCCTTGTTGTCTGCAAGGAGGATGTGTCTTCATTGTGCGAACTGCCATTGGTTCAAGATGGACGCACAAGGGAAGGAATCCAGATGACCGTTAACCACAATCACTATTCCTTCTTCGTGTGGTAAAGCACATAATCTCGCTCAAGGCCTGCGAAACCCCGGTCTCAAGGGTGGCGACCAACGGCCTTTTTAAGAACCTTGAGCGCATCCACTGGCCAGAGTTTCCCCGGACGTACAAAGCAGATACATGACATTAGTGGAGCCCGAGCTATTGGACTTGCCAATCAAGGGTCGAGTATTAGATATGGTCTACTCCCGTACTATACAACCGAATCCGGCCCAGAAACGCGGGGTCAAGGGGCGCAGACGCAAGCTGGCCTGGCTGGATTGGTATGTCGCCATTTCTAAAGTCGCTTGACAATCGACGTGCTGCCTACCCCAGCAAGCGGCATAGTCAAAGCGAGCAGGAAATTCCTGTGGTCGTGTTCTAGATTGCCACATTGCCCGCAAGGCAAGAGGGCATACAAGAATATCAGATCCGTTATCGTTTGAATCGAGTCCGCGATTTGCAATCAAAGCCGCTTCTCCATCTTTTCCATCCTCAGTATGGCTCCCTCGGCAACCGTGCTTCAGCACGAGGACAAGACCAACTCCGCATCCGGCGCTCTGGGCAAGGCCAAGAATGGAAAGAAACTCAGAATCCGCTCCTACCCCAAGTTTGAGTCTCTGGTTGAGGAGAGACTGTACAGAAAGCAACATCTAGCAGCCACTTTTCGCGTCTTCGCCGACCGAGGCTTTGACGAGGGCATTGCTGGGCATGTCTCTGTCCGTGACCCCATCTTGACCGACCACTTTTGTATGTTGTTTCTGTGAACCACATTACCTCAGGGGTACCCGAAATAACGACGAAGGCTAACACAAATCAAGGGCTGAATCCACTTTCCATGCATTTTTCGCAGATATCCGTCTCAGACTTGATTCTCGTCAATGAGGACGGCGAAGTAGTGGAAGGCGACGAGCCCATCAATGCCGCCGCCTTTGCCATTCACTCGGAGATCCACAAGGCCCGACCTGATGTCCATGCAGCCTGTCATGCCCATTCCGTTCATGGAAAGGCCTTCAGCGCCTTTGGACGGGAGTTGGACATGATTACCCAAGACGCCCTGCGCTTTTACAAGAGTCATGCAGTGTACAACCAGTTTGGTGGCGTAGTCCTCGATCGCGAAGAAGGAAAGCGGATTGCTGCGGCGCTTGGGAACGGCAAGGCTGCCATTTTACAGAACCATGGGTTGCTCACGGTATGTGGTTGTCGGTTAGGAATTATTTTGTGTGCATGCTTGTCTTGCTAACCCTTGCCCAATAATCTAGGTTGGCGGGAGCGTAGATGAAGCGGCATTTTGGTTCTTGAGCCTCGACAAGACTTGTCATGCTCAGCTTCTGGTCGATGCAGCAGAGCGGGGAAGCGGCCATCAGAAAATCATCATCAGTGATGAAGAGGCCGAGTTCACTGCGCAGCAGGTGGGAAGCCCGGAAAAGGGATGGCTTGGATTCCAACCGTATTACGATGAGCAGCTGGCGAAATGCAACGGTAGTTTTTTAAAATAGCGAAATTTAGTTCTCGGGAAGTAAAGCCACAATAGCAATCTCTATCAATCTCTGAAATCTTTACTCCTTAGACCATGCCAAGAGCAATGCGAGTGTAGTCCAAATGCATTCCACACCTCGAAGGGCGCATCTCAAGTTATTATCCTAGGCATTGTTTGGTTTCTTTCAGGCAGCAGACCTAGGCCAGCGATATATCCTGCATTTGGGTTGAGGGAAGTCTGCTCCTAATTATACCACTGTACTTGTGTTGAACATTTACTTAATTCTTGACGGCAGTTGATGAGTCTCGCTCCAAAATTATACCAGTTGCTTTTTGCCTGTTCTCAGATGAGAAGAGCTGACAGAAAAATCAAAGAACAACCTCCAGCCGACATACATATCCCAGCAAAAAGTTGCAACCCAATAAAATTTGCCGAGCCAGCAGCACTGCCCGTGAGAGCACCGGCTATCGGACTCCCAATCAAGCTCGCAAAAGCTCCCAGCGCCGAAGCCATGCCCAGTCTTGTGCCGAACACCTTGGGGTCAGGGCAAACGGTTGCAAAAGCGCTGGGCGGAAGCGAAATAAGAGGGCCGCTGAAGAAACCATAGAGGGCAACAAGCAAGTAAAAAGTCCCCGACGAATGAATACCAATCCATCCAATACAAAGGACTCCACTTCCTAGAGCGCAAATTGCCCATTGTATCATGTTGCCAATCCTGGCGGCAGAGTAGCCGGCAGCTAGCCGACCTATGATTGACGTAGCTTGCGTAATCATGATTGTGGCATTTGCAGCAGAGGAGCTCATTCCGAGTGCAATCTGACCATAAGCTGACATGAAGAAAAACGGTACAAGATAGCCGAAGAACACCATGAAATTACTCGCCGTATAGAGCACAAAGGGCAACTCTAGAAAGGCTTTGCCGTCGAACAACTTTCGCTTCTCTCCTTGCCCGAGGCTACCGACATTGTGCACACCCCAAAGAAGCAATGGAAAAGAGATCAAATAACAGATGAGGACGATATATCCACAGATCCGGACAGTATTGCCGAAGCTCAGTTGTTCAATGAGTTGCTGGAAAACCAACGTGAAGATGATGCCTCCAATGGGAGCACCGCAAGTAGCAACTGCCATTGCCGCTGAACGATGCTTGTTGAAGGAGCGGCCGATGAGCGCAAGCCCAGGCATGTATAGTAAGGAGTTTCCCAAGCCAACTAGAATGCCCTGCGTCAGGAGAATCTGGTAGTACTTGGTAGATAGGCTTAGAAGAAAAATGCTCAGCGTCTCAATAAAGGCACCTGCAAGTAACATGGTGCGAAAATATCCGAGATCAAAGAGAGGACCACTGAGGATACCGCCAAAGATGAGGAGGAAATTGGAACTTGTACCGATCCATGCGACTGTTGATGCCGATGTCGATGGCAGGTACGTGATTTCGTAAAACGCCGAGAAGGCACCTCGGGACATGTTAGTATTAAAATATGAAGCGAACTACAGTCAGACATACCGAATGAGAATGTAAAGCCCCATATATTGGAGAAGATCAGAAAAGAGCCAGCGACCTGCAACCAAGCTCGAAGGCCACCGTCAAGCGCAGGCTCTTCCATGTCTGCGAGCGGCTTTCTTGTGCCATCACTAATGGCTGGTCGAGCTTCGTCTGTCATTATGTTTTCAACATGTTCCGCAGTTCTGTGACCCTTGTTGGCATCTTTCAATGTATCATGTTGAGCGCCTTCCTCTGCGTGCAAAGCATTAATCGTGTTTAATGCAGATGCCATGATGAGTCTGCGGTGAAATATCACGGTAATGTACAGTGCTTTATTCTGATCAAGTAAACCATGGGCCATCCAAAGGATGCTACAGATATAATAGGTATTACATGTCCATTGACAGGAATGCTATACCAATGTCTACTACGCTAGTCATTGATTCGGAGTTTGGCAGAAGGGCAGGTACAACGAGTGCCGGGGTCGCGAGGTGGGGTGAAATGTAACCATAGACAATACATTTATGGACTGTTGGAAAGGCTTAATGACGGCGATCTTTGCTGGCTTGGAAAGAGGGCCGCCATAAAGGACCGGCCGTTTAAGTGGGCGCCAATCCCGGGGTTTTCGGGGTCTGGAGTACCACCCCAGTAAGATTGGCCACTACGATTGTCTGTGACCTCAAGTCGGTGACCGGTCCGCAAACATGTGAATAATCCAATCCATTCGACAATGGTCCATAACTCTCGGCTTTGTGGTCCATGGGAATGATTGCGGGGATGGTGACAAGCGAAGGAATGCGGATTGTGGGGTGAAAGTCAGTGTTTCGCCTTGTCATGCCATTGTGCTGATGCGTTTCCCTGAACAAATTAAACTATTATGTAAATTCAATCTACAACGTGATATAGCGGAAGACAAAGTGTATGACTGGCGCTGTTGATGAGTAGGTAGGCAGGAAATAGTCCTGATTGAAAGGTGTCTGCGCCGAGTGAAATGGTTCGCGATTCAGCAAGTGAACTCAGTATGTTAAAGAAAACGCCAAAATGTGACAACCATTGTATTTGTCGTATAAGTATACCCGACTATCATAGAAGCTCATCTTGTGCAGCTTTCGATAAATGGCTCACTCATCCCAGAGGATAGCCCAAGGATCGCCACTAACGTTAATCTCCGCAACCTGTTCCAGAATCATACCGGTATTTCTGTCACGCTTAAGAATCGTGATTTTGTCACTAAATTCCAAAGCGACAGCCACCAAATTTTCCGCGGCATTCATTGCGTAGGTCCTAGGGGTCGCACCTCCCGCAGGAACAGTTTGCACAAAGTCCAGCACGCCACCAAGATCCTGCCGGACTCTGTATGTATTAATTGAATCCGAAGTTCCGTTGGGCGGGTACTGCTGGATGGTGCCGTTGAAGGATGCGTCGCGGCGATTGCTAATGACTAGAAAGTCACCATCACGACTGAGTCCAATCTCACCCGAGATGCCCTTGCCAATGGGTGGCATGGCAACACCTGGGGCGAGAGTAGTGTACTCCTTGATGAGATCAAATTGGAGCCCCCCTTGGTCGGGCAGGTAGTTGACGCCATAAGCCGTCACTGTACCAGCAATCTCAGCATCAAGGTAGTACACGTACTGCGTCGTACCGTTAACACCGGCCACAGAAATTGGCGACCGGGAGAATACTCCGTGTCGAGGTCCCGAGCCTGGGGCCGCTACCAATGATTCCCGCTCGCTGAGCTCTCCAGATGTCTGATTGACGGCGTACACGCGGACAAGATCGGCGCCCAGATCGTTGACAATAATGTATTGGCCCGTCGGATCGGCAAATGCCATGTGTGGATGCGGTGCACTCTGTCGACTTGCCACTGGGCCTGGCGCAGACATGGTGTAGGTGAACCTCTGCAACGGTGTCATGTTGCCGTTCGAGGTGACCTCATACGTCTGGAGCGCACTGCTGGTATAATGCGCCACGGCAAGTCGGATGCCATTCAAGTAGAAACCAGCGTGGGCGCCGTCAATGAGACACTCGACCGAATCCAAAAGTGTCACTCCAGACGGGCTCGCGCGGTAGGAGCTTATTGTGCCATTTCCAGTTGTAGTTCCGTCAAGGAGGTAGAGAACATTGTTTTGTGTGTTCAGAGTCAACCACGCCGGGTTCTGTGCCGTGGTCTTGGTGGAAGAGACTTGGGTAAGCTCATATTTTGTCTCTGGGGCTGAACCAGCAAAGTAGCCATTTTTGGCCAAGTTGTTGGCTGACGTCGTGATATCGGCGTAGTTTGTCAATGATAGGGTTGAAATATTTCCGTTATAGAGGGCTACATAAAGTGTCTCGGTGCTCACGTGGGAGAAAAAGAATGACAAAACCAGTGTACAGACTTTCATGGTGACAGTGCTTTGATTGTGGTCTTTCTCCAATGGCAATTGATACTTAAAAGAAAGAAAACTATGATGATTTAATGGATGAAATAATCGATGCCACTGGTAGATAAAGTCGTCCTGTTTTCATGATAAAACTTATATTATTGCTTCCCTCCTCAAGAAAATGGGCGATTGTGTTCATGGATCATTAGAAGAGACCATTGTAACTACCAAATACCCCACTATGATAACCATGATGATGCCAAAATAATCCATGTATTCCATGTATGTTATCATGTTATTCTAAGCCTGGATTGAGATGCACACTCTGCATCGGAACTTTGCCCAAACAGTCAGGTATACGCAAGGGTTTTGTTCCTTGTCATTGCCGCGTGTCCTACGCTCTTTCTTACGGCTTTTCTTACGCTGCTTTCTGCAAGTCCGGCATTAAGCCGGTGACCCATAAAATTTGGACTTATTGCTAGTACAGGGCATCAGAGCCGGGATCCTTCGGTTGCGAGCATGGAGTATCGGTGTATTTCAATAGCCAACTAACCCCTGTCCGGTCAAATTGATGTCTAGGAATACCAGGGAAATGTCTATATTCTTGGTGTTCCATTGTCTCGATATGTTGTCAGGCCATTTCTGCAAAAGTGGGAGCCCCACGACCAGCTTAGACTAGCGCACAGAGATATACGCGAGTCCGAGATTGATTGTGTCTTCAACCTGGTATATACCGATGCTTGACTGAGCTGAGTTTCCAGCCTCTTCAACTTGTCATAACACCTAATCTTGTTCTCTCTTTTGATTATGGCTTCGCCCAGATTTGAGCGGTTAATTCGCTTCGTGAGCACAACAGGGGAAGTTCACTTTGGTGAAGTGCCAAAAGAGCACCCCTGTGACCGAACCTTGATTGGCGAAGAAGTACCCCTTTACAAAGGAACTGCACCATGGGATGATACGTTGGAGCTGAGCGGCCTGACAGCCAAGATTCAGGAAATACTCAGTCCAGTCATTGATGTGCCTTGCATATACGGCATTGGCTTGAATTATCGTAAACACGCAGAGGAATCAGGTGTATGTCATTCCTATCATCTATGTTGTCACAACTGACGATGTATCAGTCTCCAATTCCCGAGGCCCCCAAAGGTTTCACCAAGTATCCCGGTAAGTCAATAGTCTTGGGCAGCATCGATAAGATCTAACCTTAGTAGATGCTCTGGCTGGCCCTTATGAAGATATCCCTGTGCATCCAACAGCAAAGGATTTGGATTATGAGGGTGAACTTGTCTTCGTTATGGGAAAGAACGTCAAGAATGTCCGGACAGACTCGGAGGCTCTCGAAGCCGTGCTGGGTTATACTGTAGGCAACGATCTGTCGAGTCGCTATTGGCAGGAACCTGTTCGCGCCAGTTCCTCCAACTATGCCAAGTCATTTGACAAATTCGCACCTCTGGGCCCAGTCCTTGTCTCGGCAAAGATAATTCCAGACCCTGCAAAACTGACGCTTCGCACATGGGTCAATGGCGAGAAAAGACAGGACTCTGGCATTGACGACTTGATTTACGACATCCCGGCCATCATCAAATTCCTAAGCACAGGCCATGTATTGAGGAAAGGCGCAGTCGTCATGACAGGCACACCATCTGGTGTTGGCAGTTTTTTGCCAGACGGACCAAAGTTTTTACAAGATGGGGATGAAGTTGAAATTGAGATTACTAAGATTGGCAAGATTCAAAACAAGATTGTATTTGAGTAGTCTCGTATTGGAAGACTCATCACCGATCAGAGTATAACAGGTTTCGGGATCGAGAAATGGCAGAATCTTGTGCTGAATAGACCGCCAAAAAAAGGTTAGCGCACTTGAAGGTTGCCCTACCTACTTGAAATACCTCCTGTTCAAAACAGACGCAGGCTGGAAATAGCCTTGCTCTCCATTCATGAACGGATTCCAAAAGTAGTTCCGTAATTGAGCTGTCTTGGTACACACGTCTAGTGGCGTATTTGTCTGGTAGATTGCCCTCGACTTGTACCTCGGGTACCGCAACCGCGCTTATGACTCATGCCCAGCTATTGGTAGTTACCTACAGGATGGACCATATTGGTAGCTTAGCCACCGAATCCTAGCGAGCTGTTTCTGTACAGACTCTTGTGACTCAATAAAGCTGCGACAAACATTTTTTTCTACGGAAACTTGATGCATCTTATGACAAGACCCACTATGCCTCTTGAATTCGATCCTTCTCGCTCGTACGAGCCATTTCTTCGACTTCCAACGCCTCACGAGAACATCATTATTACACCGCCTCGCAAGTCTGACGGTCCAAGGGTCGTGGAATGCTTGAACGATGCCAAAGTGTGTAATACCCTGAATGGGCCTCCGTTCCCCTATACGTATAAGGATTTCGAATTTTGGTACGATAAAATTGAAAAGGATTGCAAAAAAGGATTGCAAGAGCATTTGGAGATGACAGGGACTACTAATGTTGGCGAAGGGACAGGTCAACGTAAGTGGACAGGCGCTGTACCTGTCCGGAGCATCAGAGAGGTCGATCCAGCAACCGGCGCGCAGGAGTTTATTGGCGATGTGGGGTTTGATAGGCAAGGATACCAAGGCGACACCTCGATGACCCTGGAGCAACAAAAAGAACGAAGAGAGTTGAATGAGAGCTACGAGGCCGGCGATGAGCGTATCGAGTGGGATTTCGGAGGTAAGTGGGTGGGATTACAGAACCAGTAGCTTTCCGTCGAGACCATCTTTGTGGTGCAGGTGTTCACTTCGGTATCTTTCCATCGTTGCTAATGCCTGAAAGACTTCCTTGCCTCGTCCTACCATGGCCGCGGGATCATGACAGCCGCCGTGCACGCGATCATCGAAGACTACGCGGTGCCTCACATGAATGTGCGACGGATACGAACTAGGGTCTTTGAGCGCAACATCGCAAGCCGGCGGGTGTTTGCGAAAAACGGATTCACCTTTCAGGGGCTCGGGCCCCAGCCGCTGATATTGCCGGAAGACCGAGGCGGCCACGAAGTCTTCCTAGGCACCATGATGTGGGAAAGAAAACCGCAATAGGAGAGTGCTCGTAGCAGCTACGCGGGCCAACCCGTTCCGCAAGGGATTCATCTTCCGTGAAAACGTAGGCCCGGTGGTACACGCTTAAACGGAGCTTGGATACGGAGCCTTCGCTCGGCACTTAGAGCCGTCAAAATGGAGGACAAACCACACGTGCCGCCGGAATGAGTCAGCAGACCCATGTCGTGCGGAGGTGGGCATATTCCCATGTTTCACCTGCAAAGTACAGCTACGAATGCAAGATCTCTAAAGGCATCACTTTATCAAGTCTCCTAGCAGTGGTCAATGTCATACTCCCTGATTAATGTTGATAGTCCGGTGAAGACGCCCTTGGAGACTGTGATAGACAACTTGAAGAGTATCATGGGTTCTATATCTGATATCTATGCGTTAGATCGACATATCTGGGTGAGGTGGTGTTCATGGAAAAAGCGTATGAGGGAGTTGAAATGATATTATACTATTAGGCACCGGTAGGTGCCATTGCCATACAAGCGCAACATGAAATGGCAATCTCAAGGTATCAGCAGACAGATTTTTAAACAGCATCAACTAAGCCAATTCTTCCTCAACCACGACTTCTTTCAAGTTTCCTCGACTGAGACAATGGCACTCAAGTATTTTCTCGCTCGAGTAGATAGGGGTAATAGACTCTTATCTTCCTGCACGGATATTATTACCGTCTTTCCAGGTTTTGCTTTGTTGTAAAATCCAACCGTAGATGGCAGAGACTTTTGATCGAGCAAGCCAGACAAATCGGAATAGTGGGTAAGCAAGATATCCCTCACCTCATCCAAGCATTCTTCTTCCGTAAATGGACAATCCTGCGGAGCGTATTGCATAATCGTTGAGTCGCCGTCGAACGGAATGCAATTGAGCCTGAGTGAAGTTCCGGTCCATTGCAAGGAAAAGAGGAGAGCTATTTGCACCAGATCTTCGGCATCGTCCCCGAGTTTGAGATCGAGGTAATGGATTCCAAGAAAGTTCTCTTGCCCCCGGGTGTGGAACACGGCTCCTTTCACGACTTCTTCTGGTGTAGCTTTTGGGTCACCTTCGAGGCGGCCCTCGGGATGAATAGTAGTACCGTCATATGCCGAAGATGGCTTGCCAGCCCGCGTATTTATTCGGCTTACAAGAGGTTCGGCGTACCTTATGATGATTCCAGTATCAAGCGAGGAGCGTATTCGTTCTATGTCATCAGGCAACAGCCGCGTGTGGATATATACCGGCGCCGCTGCTTGTCTCCTTGGCCAGAGTCGCTGTGATGACGAGGTGGCGGTGCTGTGCGGGTTCCATCTGACATATGTTTGCCCAAACTTCTTGAGATATATTGCCAGCCACTCCTTCCTCCCATTCGTACGGCTGCTCTGTTCTGCGCAATCCAGACTAAGCAGGAAATTGTTCTCTGAGCCCCGCAAGGTTTGGCCAGTACTCTGTGGGGGTGCTCCCAGCAATTTGCGGAGACCCACGTGTAGACGAACGCCGATATTTGTGATGGCTACTTCATTCATTTGATCGAATACATTCTGGTGCCTTTTCAAAGTAGCACAGTGGGCGAACTGGTCTGGAGAATCTGCAAATATCCCGCTGAAAACACGATCGTCGTCAGACTGCCAGGCGAAAAGACTCATGTCTGAGTTCTCGCTAATGATTTGCTGCTGTAATCGTAAGAAGGCTTTTGATCCTTCTCCGTATAATAGAGGCATGCTGATATCGAAGACCCCTAACAAGCAATAGGCCATGTCTTCGACACGTGTGGTCTGCCGGCGCGCTGCCCAGGACATCCTCCTTGCAACAGGAATGGAATGCAGGTTCGAACTATCCCTCAATACAGACTCATCTATTCTAGTGATGTCTGACAGAGAGCCTTCCAAGTCAGACTTTTCGCCGACGAATGTCCACTCTTTGTCAAAGAAAACAAGCTTTCTGGGGGCAATTAATTCCTGCAGCGTCCATCCGCGAGTAAACCATTTGCAGTAGGGAAGCCTTTGTACCAACTGTGTCCGTCTGTCTCGTTCCCTGAGGTTGTTCGGCAATGGATCGAGGTCTGACAGAAACACATAGCAGACTTCTGCGCACCGATACCAGCGAAACATGGAGTTGATGGCCTCACTCAGCTCGGCACTACTAGTCTTGTCGATGCAGCATGTATCGATCCACACATACTTGTACATGCGCGACGCGATGTTGCACGTTTTCTTGATCTTCTGGAAGCCTGGCTTTGTCGATGCAAAATCAAGGTTTTGCATATCCTGGAAGTTTACCTCTTCGCCCGCTGGGGCCCAGGTATGGGAAAGAATGGCAAACACGCATTGTGTCTCATCGACAACTTGTTCCAGTCGCAGTGTCTTGGTGTTGATAAGCCACATGATCAAGTATATGGGCACCCTGCCATCGGTAAAGCAACAGAAACGAAATATCCTAGATCTTGTCTTTTTGCGGAATTTCCCAGAACCCCCGCTTTTGCACTCTTGGTGTCCTGATAAGATACCTACCCTAGTAGGTACCCAGGTATTTGTGGAACTGAAACATATCTCCTCGCTTGTCTCAGCGGCGGACCACCATGGTGCGCAAGGGATGGTATGAGATCGCTACAATCGCGCCACATTTCTCTGCTTTCAAGGCCAATAGTCGGCTATAAGCCAGAATTCGAACAACTTTGCACTCTCATTGACTTCTTCAAGAAGTACTGATTTCATGAAAGATCCATATTATCCCTTGCATCGCAGTGGTCCGTAGCTAGGTACGTTGGTGGCTAGGGTCCACAGGTACGATTTGTGTGGGCTTTTTCAGCAGATTCATTGGGTGCATTCACAGAAGACGTGGTGCATTCAGTTCACGTTCGCCGAGCGAAGCTTTATTAACAACAAGAACCTTCGATATTTAGTAATCTGATTCGATCACAGTCATCTACTTTTTATGGCGATGCGACCCGCATTGTTAAAGCTCTGTCATCTTGTTGCGCTGCTATTACCGCTAGGTCGCGCGCTAACAGATGCCTCAGGTAACCATATAAGCCAGAGATCCGATGACAAAGCGATCCAAGACGCCAAAAGTATGAAACTAGGAATGCGATGTGATTGAAGCAGCATGCATTTATGAATAACTATCTTGTGTCTCAAACTTCTTCAAGGTGGCCGAATGTACAATGTCCCTAAAAAACGATTTTGGGTGAGCCCTTATGTACCTCTGCTAGTGCGGCAATAAATAAAAAATAAACTGAAGCATGACATGGTAATATGACGATAAATGGATTCTTATATGAGATGCACCCGCGGTTCTCCCGCACGGATCTCAAGTGCCCTGGTAGATACAAAAATGGACTTCTCTATACCATTATCCTACCGCCACCTCCATCATTCGAATATAATGAAAACGCTGCTTCGTCTTTACCAATCCATAAATTTCCTCCCTGGTCGCGATAATTCCACAGCCTGCTCTCCATTCTCACGTCCGCAAGGATGAGATCAAGATCCATGGACACAAATGTAAGCATATTTGAGTCTCGAGCAACTGTCAGTTTAATCACATAATGTACTTGGACAAAATCAATTCCCTCTATCGAGTACATATAATAGACACATCGAGACTTTCGAAACTCCTTTACTCCTAGTCTCGTCCATCCGGTAATACTCCCAATGGTTATCACGACATCCATCCGTATCCCGGATCCCAAACACCTCCTCTTCCCAACTACGGAAACCATTATACCAGAAACCCACCATCAATTCTTCAGGACCAGAATGCCCCAATTATCTCCATTTCTTAAAGCACTGTGGCAAGACAGAAGGACTATTTTCCGTCCTCTGCATGACTTGTCTCATGCTACGATTCCAACCTCCTGAACCCGAGCATTTACAGTTGCATGCGATGTGTTGCGGGGACCACGGAAGGGATCGAAGTCAAGGAGCCCATATCATTAGACGAGCTATTGGCCAGCTTTTGTGCAAAAGCAGATCTCTTGCGCAGGGAAGGGCCCTTCAAGTAGATGATCATGGTGGATGCAACCAATAGCAAGCTTATGAAAGCTAAAACACTATTGGCCCACTGCAAGGGCTGACTTGAAATATTCTTGAAAGAATCATAGTAAGGTATGGCGGCCCAGGTCAGTATCCCGGCCAAGAAGTCACGGGCGAATCCGTTTCCGCCTGTCGCCGATGCCGAGAATTCACCGTAGGCAGCGACCTGTGAATATTATTAGTATAATTTTTGTCTTACATCAGCCAAGTATCCAGTTTCTAAGAAGAGACTTACCATGTAGTCAATGGTTCCCATGTACACTGAATAATTGGCGACTCCAATGATGGCAGATGCAATGACGGGCAGGATCCAAGGCAGGCTAGGGTTGCTGGTCCATGCAAACATGATGAGTCCGATGGGTAGGCAAGGTGCCGTGTACATCAACCACCACATACGACCCTCGTAATTGGCGAAATCGTCGTCTGGCCTCCGCTCTCTTTGGTGTATATTGCGGTTGATGGCAGGAAAGTAAGACAAGTAGGCGACCAGGTAGCCAAGACCAATAGCCACGAATGTCAGACCAATTTGCCACGGCGCGAATCCCCAGAGTTTGTAGACAAGACCAAACGACTGGAATCCCATGAAGATGAGAGCGTCACTAAATCCCGAGAGAAGAGAAAGAACGAGGACAATTGGTTCGGTAAAGAACATCTTGAAGGGTCGAATCCAAAGTGTGACTAGTTCCTTAGGTGCCAATCTTTCTTTCCAAGACCTGAATTCGTCTGGTGCATAGACTAATTCGTTGGCCATGCGCAGTTTCTTGGCTCGCTTGACCATGAGGATAGTCGCTCTCGTTTCGTCTACCAGAAAGAAGTGGAGAATCTGGACAAATATGCCGGCAATGAGTTGAAGCCACATGCACCAGCGCCAGGCCATATAGCTCTCGACGAAACCGCCAATGATTGGACCAAAGATTGAGCCGCCTACTGAGGCCAGAACAACGAAGGCCACCGCATATTGTTGTGTTCCAGCCGTGTACATGTCCGCAACGATGCCTAGGGTAATGCTACCTCCAGCCGAAAACAGGCCACCGAGGGCTCGGAAGACAACAAGGACGGGGAAGTTGGGAGCAAGGGCGGCGACAAGGGAACATAAATTGACGAGTGCAAGGGAGGTTTGAAGGATCCATCGGCGTCCGAACTCCTCGGACCAGGGCGCCCAGCTAGAAAGGCTTGATTAGCTAGATGCATTGCCGGCGAGGAAATGGATGTTGGGATTGGTACAGCACTTACAGTTCGCAGCCAAATGCGTACGTGACGAGAAAGATGGCTGCTCCGGTTCGGGCTGCCTGGATGGTAATGTCAAACTCTTTGCTCATGCCAGTAAGCCCGTTGGAGTAGAGAGATGTGTTGAAGTTCATTGAACATTGCACCAGAAAGATGACGATGAGAATCTTCCATTTCTTCCAGGTCGGAAATGCATAGCCAAGGTATTGGGCGCAATCAGCCTCGTTCAAGATTGAAATTTCGGCTGGAGAAGTTGGCCTGTGATCGGACCATTTCGACTGCTGAGGAAGTGTCGCAGGGACGTCTCGGTCGTTCGCAGCAGCGCCGTGGGGTGGGGCAGGTCGGCTGTCCATAGTGAGCATCGAGTATGATTAATTCAATAGACGGTGGTCGGGATGATGATGAATAATGTGATGATATGTAGAGTAGAGCGATGGAAGTGTTGGACGTGATAGCGTCGACTGTTGTGTAGTATCTTGAGAGAGTGGTGTAGAGGCAGGATTAGTCACTGGAAACGAGGAGCCATGACCAGGTTATCTATGCTTTCAGTGTCAACGCCAACAACGGAGAAAGGTGATTAGCATGAGCTCGTCGGGGAAACCAAACCGTCTGCTGCTTGATGAATTATGCTTGGGGAGTGCGTAGGAAGTATGTACCTCGAAAGGCTGCAAGTCGGAGACGCCGTAAACCTTCCACGGATACCAGCCGGGAGCCGCCATGGCATAGGATCGTAACTGCACTTTTATAGTGATGGGTAGATGGTACGTCAATGCCGCTACTAGTTTGTTTAATTTTCAATTTTTATTTTGTTTACTCTTTTACTCTCTCTCTCTCT